TTCCCGGCTTCCGCTGTGCAGGCTGACTGTGACTGGTACAGACGGTCAACTCGGCCTCCCAGCGCGGCAAGGAAAGACCGTAACACCGTAAACACCCTAGCAAGCTTCTGCGATGAGGGTTGCCCGTACCCCGTAGGCAATAATCGGCGACCGTCTCGGTCTCAGCGCACGTCGAAGAGATACCGTAAGAACCTGCCCGGCTTTCGCGATGAGGGTTACCTAGTCGTGGTATACTTGCTGCTGCTTGCTTCTCCCTCCGTCCACCCCTGTTTCTCTCCGCAAATACGATTTTGGCTTCCCCCCCCCTCAATACACACACACACACTCAGCATAGAATATGCAACATTCAAAACAGATTATCTGATATTAAAACTTCTCTGTAGTACAATGTTTTCAAAAGTGCGCTTTTCCTGGACCCCCAAAAGTGACACATTATTGTAAATGCCTTGAGAAAATAAGGAAACAATCACAGAATCGTTCTGTGGGTTTTCGCGGCTTTTCCAAGACGTCCGGGCCGAAAGCGCCATCTATTTCCGTTGTGTGGAGAAGTTAATGTGTTGTGTTGCGATTTTCTTTGGTGTTGTGTCGAGAAGTTAAATGTGTCATGTTGAAATTGTGTTGTGTGTTGAGTGATTTTGTTGTGTGTTGTGGCACTTATACGCTTCCATAGTGCAGGGATGTAAAGAAGCGGGGGAGTATCGGTGCGGGGGAGTATCGGTGCGGGGATGTAAAGAAGTGGGGGAGTATCGGTGCGGGGGAGTATCGGTGCGGGGGAGTATAGGTACGTAGCCATTTTGTCCGAGGTTCTAACGAAGTCTGATGGGTTCAAACGAAAGAAATGGCATAGTAGATTTGAGAAAGAATGATAAGAATGATAAAAAGACTGTTTACATCGATAATATAGCAGTTAAGCAAGCAGACGATTTTACACTAGCTGCTTGGGTTGATCTCAATATCGGGGGCGTCTCGATAGTCCGAAGGTTCATTGGTCCGAAGGTTCATTGGTCCGAAAAGTGGTAACATTTTTATCGATTTTTTAATCAGGGGTTCATTGGTCCGAAGGTTCTATAGTGAACATTCGGACCAATGAACCTTCGGACTATTGAACCTTCGGACTATCGCTACGGCCCCTAAACTGGACTTGTCGTAACGGGGCCGTAGCGATAGTCCGAAGGTTCAATAGTCCGAAGGTTCATTGGTCCGAATGTTCACTATAGAACCTTCGGACCAATGAACCCTTGATTAAAAAATCGATGAAAATGTTACCACTTTTCGGACCAATGAACCTTCGGACTATCGAGACGCCCCCGTCGTAACCATATACACAAACAGCTAAGGAAAGCGAGACTGGGAGTTTACTTTCCAAGAAAAACTAAGGTCGGCTTACCGAGACGTGCAGAAGAATAGTGGGGTTGGATTTCCCCTCTCCTAGAAGCATTTATATGGAAAAAGGTAGCTTCCAAACCGTTAAAATTATTAACGATAACTTTCACCCTGCTAATAAACTAAATTTCTCCCAAGCAAATGTAGACCTTTAACTTTAAGAGGAAGCAAACAGTTTTTAAAAAGCTTTTATCCAACCGCTGCATTTCTTTTAAATAGTAAAAGATAATTTTAACAATTACTCTCAACCTATCTTTTTATTTCTGTCGGTATTGTTTTTTACTATTTTATTTTATTTCTAATTATCTATTTGATCTTTCTTAAACCCGAGATGTTCAAACAATTTCCGTTTTATGTGTATTTTATAAAAAATATGTATACAATAGCCGAATAAACTCTTTTATTATTATTAGGTTCTTTTTCTCATCGCACGAAGTTTGAAGTTTAAATTGAGCGAGTGACAGAGAGTAAGAGTGGGTAAGTGAGAGAGTCGATAAAAGAGTGAGCGAAAAGGATGGCGGAATGGAGCCAGCGAGCAATTAAGATAGTGAGAGCATGGAAGTACAACATGGTGCATCCACGGTAGGAGCGAGCGGCTGTGGTGTGAGTGGCAGTTAAATAGGTGCTACATCGTTACTTCCATGCAGTTTTCTGATTCCCCCTGGTAGCCATGAGACACATGAAGATAATAATTAAGACCAAGCTGTACGTTTTAAATGTATGTACTGTACATGCATAAAAAACACCCCAGTGGCCAAAACGGTGGGGTGGGGGGTGGGCATTGGGGAGAGTCACGCTACAGGAGCATGTCGATGCAGGTATTATCATAATTCAATGCAGTAATGATCCATGAAGGTAAACTATAGGTAAATGGACAATTAATGGGATGAGAAAACTAGCAACAAAATTTTCTTTGTTTTTTACACTCTGACGGATGCAATTATAAATCATAAATACAAGGCCCTAATAGACAATACATTTATTGCTTCATACCTTTTACAATAAAAATCAACGAATCACTGATGTGCACTAGTTACTTCTAAAAACAAAGAAGCGGACGGAAAATGTTCAGATTAAGTAACTGTTGATTATGTGCATAAAGGCTGCAACAAAACAAATGCTATGAAAATAATTTGGCGACTCTTCTACACTGAAAAAAAAAAAAGAGTGCCATGATGCATCAAACTCAGGGGAAGGAAGAAACTAAGAGTGGGGTAAAGTTGTATCTTCAGCAAAACAAATGCTATGCCTGCTTATTCTTTGGATCCTGCTATCCTAACCAAAACTCTTGCTCATTACCGAAGGTGTTATTAATGGTAATTAATTTGGAAATAATAAATAATTGTACATATATATGAACATTAAAAAAAGAAAAATAAAACTATATTTTCTCAATTCTATATCCTTTAAGTTAACAAACCCTTCTAACAGCATTTCGCTTATTCCGTTTCAGCTGTATCTGATATTCACTAATGTATGTTACAGTTTGCATTACAAACAAAGTTTAGGTTAAATCACTTAATCTGGTAAGTTAATAATTCCAGGCCTACCCAACTACCAGACTCGGCACCTAATGATCCTGAATTAACCGGTATATCGGACCACACTACCCGTTTTCAAGGTGTGTGTCAGATTGCATTTCGGAGTATCATACCCCAGAACAAATTTTGTAGCACGACTGCGGGCTCATCCACGCTCGGCTGAACAACCTTAAACTGTACTCTTACTTTAGAGTACTCTATTTTATTGTCTCTATGGGTATATATGGGGACTTTACGACATTCGGTTTGAATGTTTTAACCACTTTTGATAGGGCTTTTTTTGCATTGTATTAGATTAATGTGGCAGTCTAAGGTTCATCTACGTGGCTTTCAAATTTATGCACCCGGTTTTAAAATCATATAGCGATTTTACGACAATCGTTTACTATCCAATCAAGGTGACAGCTGAGCATGCCAGGGCTCATCCTGTCGGTGTTCTGGCTGATACTCCGAAATGCGATCTGACACACACCTTGAAAACGGGTAGCGTGGTCCGATATACCGGTTAATTCAGGATCCTTAGGTGCCGAGTCTGGTAGTTGGGTAGGCCTGAATTCTCTCTTAACTGAAAATTACCAAACACCTGTTCAAGCCTATAAAATCAAATTTGTTTACATAAATGGGGAATGGGACCAAGCTAATGTTTGCACAATTTGTTATGAAGCTTAAACTCTACAAAAATACATTTTCATAAATGTTATAGCCCATTTCATTTTGACAAAATTAGAACAGGCTTTTAATAATAATAATAATAATAATGCACATTTACCAGTTAATTAGACAACAAATAATACAACAGAAGCTACATTGGGCAAAGCTTAATCATTTCTCAAAATATTCTTTTCATGTCTAACACATCCTGAGGAATGTTCAGATCTTAGGAAAGTACAGAACTGAGAATGAAAAGCGATGTAGAACTACCTTATCATGGTTACAAATTTAGTTATTTTATCATTGGACATACTTCTTATCAGTGAAAATACAAAACCCAAATGAAAATATTATCACAGATTTAAAAATGTAGATAACCATAGGAAATCTGTTTAGATATTTTGCATGCACATCAAGCTAAAACATGCTTAAAACAATATAAAATAATTATAAAACCATTACAGGTACAAAACTTAATAGACTACAAACCTGTAAAAAGATATAAATAGCTTTATGAATTTTCTGTCTCTTAATCATTATTAATATTATTTGGTGGAATGTCTTGTGGCACCACTACAAAATTACCCAGTACTTGTGTCACATCAGCACCAACATCCATAGTTAAAGATCCACCACGATACAAAACAATATGCTTTTTTATATACATTTGCATTCTGAACCAGAGGCATATATAAGCAATAATCTAGAAAAGAACTAGCAGGACGGTGATAGCCATTCACCCTGGATCTGGGTTCAGTTTTACAAAAGAACAAACATGAAAGTTTCTTTTAAACTTTTACAAGTATAAATATAGTCTTCCTTGATCAAAGTCAAATCAGTAGCAGTCCAATTAAGTGAGGACATGAGACAAACAAAGTAACAAATATTAAGCAAATGTTTAGGAAAAACAGTTACTTAATTTTGTCTATTGCAGGATGTATCCTGATACAGTCCAAAAATTGATGGAGAACAAATTTTATATATCAAGACATTCTTCAGTGAAACTGGGCCCTGGGCTCCATTTCATAATGACTTAGCTTGCTTCCAACTATAAGTCACAGTAATAGCTTCAGAGTCTTATGAAGACAATCTTTTTTAAATTTCAAACCACTACTTAGTCTTGTCAGACAGACTTTAAACCTTTACTGGACCCAACAATTTCATTTATCAACTGCCTGCCAGCCAAAGCACTCACAATCCCATTAATGTGAATGTGATATCTACTGGAAGACGGTGCATAACATGAAACAAAAGGTTGAAGCATGCATCCAAACACGATCTACTAAAGCTTTACTTTATTAGCTAGAAGAATATCTACACAGCGTAGACAAGGCCATTTCAATACTTTTCACACCTCTATGTAGGAGCATGAAATTCAGACCACAGCAGAATGTGCATATGTTACTGGAACATGATGTACGAGTGAAATACAGACAATGGTGTAAGTCCGAGGTTTGAAGCAGGGTTCTTCTCCTACCTGTTGACATGATCTGCACAAATATGAAGCACTAAGCATGCAATGGGTTTTTGTTAGCCAAATTTTTGTTGGAAACAAACACCAATTTAAGCAAATGATGAACATCTATACGTTCCTGAAACTGGACTCTTGTTGATTCAATGCCAGTATACTGTAAAAACAGTTAACATGCTCTTCTATTTGTCTTGGTATTGATGTCCACATAAGATGCTCAACTTGATGTTGCAAAAAAATGCTAACAGACCAAGAAACTCATTTCACATTGCATGATTTACAAAGTAGTTTACAACATATAATTATCACACAGCCATCTGCATATCAGCGTAGTTGTAGAAATTTTCCACCTGCTCCGCTGCTAATTCTGGACTTTGAGTGACAAATACCATTTCTGAAGAACCTTGGGAGATACTAGCCACTATTTCTTTACAGTGTTTCACACAATCCTCCCCATTGTATTCCAATCCTATCACAGGTCCTGTAAAGCAAAGGGAAGAATGGAATGATCAGAATTATATGTGCGAGTATGAGTGCAATTGCATGAGCATGTGCACCAGTGAGAGAGAGAGAGAGAGAGAGCTTACCTTGCTGCACTACTGTATTATATGCCTCTGAACCAAATACTCGCACTGCCTCTGCTGCCTGCATATTGACCTCCTTGGTCTGAATAAGGACACACCCTGGCTGAATTAACAAAAAGGAAAAAAAGACACTTTCATTTGTAAGATCAATCACAGCTATCACGTGCAGATATAAGTAAGTCACCTTGAAACCTGCTTTTAGCGATAAAACTGAAACTAAACTAAAATATTTACATCATCTTCGACTGTGATTCCAGAATCAACTTAAAACGTAGCCATAAAAACATATCATACCTGCTTTGTTCTCATTTCACTTATGAACTGTTTTACTCTGTTGACTGAATTCCCATCATTAAAGAACACAGCCAAGCAAGACTAACAAATAGAAAAGAACAATTAAATACAAATCCCTGGTTTTCAATGTATAGTGATGTCACTTTCGTACATTTCAAATCATGAGTGACCCAGTGTATAAATGAGTGACCCAGTATAAAACATAAACTATAACATTAAGCATTAAAAGTTTTATTTAATTAAAAATATTGGTCATCAAACATCATTTTGGATATAAAAACACTTTACCTCAGTTGCTGGCTTGCGTCTACTTCCATGAGTTACAGGGACAACACTATTTCCTGGGTTTGTATCAATTTTCATACACGAAAATTGTTCTGTTGTGGGTATGGGTAAAAACTCTTCAATTTTCACATCCTACAAAATTTTGTAGACTTTCATTTTTTTTACACAACATAATAACACATCTTTAAATTTCAACTCTTCAGGGTGTGATAGTAAACACTATTATTACATTTCACAATGATCTTGACCTTCATGTCAAACTTACTAGAATAAGTATAGATAAGAAGCAAATAATGAAATTGCTCTTAAGTTTAACTTGTCATTTAAACTTCAGATTTAATGTTGAAAATATCATGCATAAAACCTAGTCTTTACACAATAAAAAGTGAGGCAAATAAGACAAAAAACTGAACAATATCACACCATACACTAAACCCGCATTGAATAAGTACCTCTGGCAACAATGAGAAATTATTCTCTCCTGGCACTGGTGTGAAATCATGAACTGTGCTCCAGCTGTTGTTATATATACTCAGCCCTGCACTTTTTAACTGTTCTGAAATACAAAAATATCAAACAGCTAATAAAACTTTCTGGCTTAACTCTAGAATAATTGTGCGTGTCACCATAGGCAAGGTGTTATTAACATGCACACAACTAATCACAAGCCCCACAGAGAACCACATTCTTTACTAAAAAAAAAAAAAAAAAAAAAAAATCATTTATATTCACCCAATTGTGATACCTCAAGTTAAAGATAATTCAATAGAGAACAGATTTTAAGTGATAATGGACAGTGTGGGATATGTCCACTTTATAAAGTGACTATGAGATAATTATTCCACATGTCAGGAGGTCATCCCCACTACGATGGTACATATCATTCGGTTCTAGTCCCATATCTACCTTCAAGTTCCGGGTATGAATATTGGAAACATGCCATTTTCACCCCAGTGCTGGCCTCTATGATGGGCTGTGTGATACAGTGCAGGAACACATCCAATTTTCTGCAGTCTCTGGTCCTAAACTGCTGGCAGGACACTGCAATCTGACAGTTTTCACAATCTCTGACGAAAACACTGAAAAATAATAATGATACATGATAACACTGAAGCTTTTCAAAATGTAACAGTTACACTGTTCACATTTTATGTATTAGGGCCTGTCATATTTTCTTAATAAAGTATTTTCCTCTCTGCTGACATATCTTTCACTATATAAAAGTTCTGGTGTTTTCATTCATTTTAATTAAGTTAAAGTGAGTTAAACGATTTAATATTTTTGTTTCTTAAGTTGTTTTGAGAAGACAAATTTATAAGGAGAAAAAGAAATGAGAAAAGAAAAAACGCTATTGAATAATCCTAAAATGCTTCAAAATCAACAGATGTTTATGTACTAGTAGGCACTTTCATTTACAATATATCGCCACAGTTGCCGTTTTTTTTTTTTTTTTTTACTTGGGATACAGCCTTGAGAAAAAGAACAGCCAAAATTTGCATACCTAGTCTTCACTGGTCCCATGAAGATTTTGCAGTTTTTACAGTCATCAACTTGTATTGTGGCAGAATGGTCAAAAATGTAAATATTACAGTTCTGAAATTAAATATGTACTAGTACAGTATCTCATACACTTTAATTGCCACCTGTCTACATATAGAATACACAGCTGAATCTAGAGAACACAGCTTAACATGTAAATCTGAACTGATTTCAATGAACCCCACCTTTTTATTTTAAAAAGTGCAACCATCTGTTTATGACATGACTGAAAGTTAACATTTGCTACTTGCAAGGGTCACTGTAGAAATGCATTTGTCTGAATCTGAAGCCAAAGAATTTTTTTCAAACAAAATGATAATTTGGCAAAAATGTATCCATTAATTTTTTTAACCATTACATACTCTTTTTTGTTTGCTTAAATATGAAATTAGTGTATAATAGTGTAATATAAATGCCCAGTAGGAAGGAACAGCAATATCACATTTAAATCATAATTAAAAAATGACTATGACTGTTCTATATAATGGTACTAGTACATGGAAATACATTTACCTCATTATCCCTGATAATAAACTGCTGGCCTTTAACTGTTCCTGGTATTCTGCCAACAGTTTCTCCTGACAGCTTTTCTATTGTATAATCTTTTGGGTCTAATTTTTCTCTTTTATCCCTATAAAACAGAAACCGAGACATTGTGTTTAAAAACATTTTTCACTGGTGTGCTAGACAACAAAAGATTCATGAGTAGTTAAGCATAAAGAGGCCTGTGTACAAGTACTGATTTCTATCACACATTTACCCTACCAGCAGTTCAGATCATCTGTCCCTAAGACTGGATTCCCATACTTAGATCGATCCATCTGGATTGACCCAACTCCCTGGGGGTTCACGCTATATTGCTATCAGCTCAAGAGGCTTAACTGTCTGTCACGCCTACCGAATCAGCTAGGGTAAAGATAATTACCCCCAAACAGCTTTACTAGGCGTGACAGACATTTAAGCCGGTAAAGATGATCGCAATTTAATGAGACTCCCCAGGGTGATAGATCTGTGGGAATGGTCTCTAAGAATACTTGAATAAGACCTATTCATTGTAGATTACAGTTTAGGAATTCACCTCCTCTCCCTTTCTTAAACTGTACTAGCTCTCCAGTTAATTATTTCGTCTAGTGACTTAATTAAATTGATCTAGAAGGGTTCAGCTCTTCTGAGCCAACAAGTATTCACCGTTGAACACAAAACAAGGGAGATTAAAAACAGCACTGCAGCAGAGTGTAAATACTGGTATTCTGATTGTGGTAAAGACAGTTTTCTCTCTCTGTCATTCCCTTCTCTTTCTGAATCAACGGTGCACTATACTAAATCATGTACTCCTGAGTGAAATTCACTTAACCATGTCTCACCATGAATACTTCTTCGGTTCTTCTTCGGTTGCATTTGTTTGTGTTTCCTGGCGTTGTTCTCGAGAAAATAAACAACCCATTTTAGGACTGCCGGCTTTTTCACTGCAGAGACGTCAAAATCAAAACTCTCACCTTTCTAATGACCTTGATCACGTGACAAATATTGTTGTTTTATTTGGCTTTAAACCACAAAAGCTAGATTCAACTTACATCATGTGAAATTTCTACAGTTATATGAACCCATGTATACTAAGAAATCCAATAACAAAAGTTAGACTTGAAAATACTTTCAGTGAAAATATCTCAATCTCGCGAGATTCGTTCCAGCAGGTGGATCTGTCTAAACATTACAGCAACAGGAGAGGGGATTTCCAATGCGAGTTCAAACCTATTTATAAGAGGAAACAGGTAAAATACGTTCATGTTAGCGTATAGACGTACCTTCACCATCCATATACCATAACGAATTTTGCTGGGGACAACATCCCATTCAAAGGGTAAGCAATGATTAGTACTACATATAAAAAGTAATACTAGCACCAGTAGCGCAACCCACTGGCAGTACTACTACTGTACATGTCTAGTAAACCGAGTAATTCTAGTACGCATATGATTGAATAGAGTTTATTGCTTCAACCTTTACATTGAAAGTACAATCAGCTGAAACTGAGACTAAATCTACAACATGTACAAATAATACGTACTAGTACATGAGTAACACATGGGGTATATAAATGTTTAATAGAAAAAAAATGAGGAGAAAGAAAATGAAGTATTTTTAAAAATAGAACATTTTTCTGGGTGATATGTGCAAATATATGTAGTAAACCCAATGTTTTCATCTCCCTGGATCCTTTCAAAGTTGTAACACATGTAGCACTATGGTAATACTACTTCTGAGTTGTACAACTGACTTCCCCTTTCCCAGTGGCACTGGGTAAACTATTTCGTCCAAAACAAGGCTGACATTCATTGCAAGACTAGAAGAAATTTTCGATGGAGATCTAGAATAGCACAACACGCTCTTGAATCAGTTTTATGAATCTCCAAATTTTAATCCAAGAATATTATTGACATGTTATGTTAGTTGTGACACCATACTGATACTCATCCCCTCAAAGCTATAGGAAACAAGATTAAAAACATTGGGTAACAAGTCATTGACCTGCAGAAGTAGTCCAGTTTCAGTCTATAAATAAGATAGCAAATACAGCCCAAATTTTTCAGGTTCAGTTAGAGTAGTATCAGTCATGGTTAACTTAGTTTGAAGTTTTTTGATAATTGCAAAGACCAAAATTAGGAACTATGCAGCTAGAAGACCAGTAATAATCAGTTTTTGATTTATGGGCTCCTTATTGAATAAAATTGGTCACTTTATTGTGTTTTATCCCTGTTTTGTCCAGGGTGCTTGAGGGCACATCTTCCACAAGCACATTGAGAAACCTGAAATATAATAGGGAAATTAAGAGCCTTTGTTGGAAAAAAAAAAGAATAAAAACTCTTGAGAAATAAATTTGCAGATATAAAACTTACAGATATTATTGAATCAATACAGCAATGTTCTATTGGTAGATGACTGACTGAAAAAATTAAAAATTCTGCAACTTTCTAGCGTCTGGCCATATGTCACAGGATGTGAATTAAGAAAGCAACCTGTCACACCTATTGGTCTGTATTCACATGCATCTCACATTATTAAAATTTACATTTTGAATTTGATGTGAATACTGATATGATTATCACATGACAACAGAATTATATTTTTACCCTACCCCAGTAGCAACTTGACTTTTTTCCAAGAACTTTAACAAATACATTTTAACTGCCTTGATACACGTCTTTAAAAACAGGCAATTAGTACTTCTTACAATAGCCATTAATGATGCTCACCTTGAATTTGTCTTTTCTTAGGAGTGTCCTGTGCCCTGTTCATTTTCCCTCCTGGAAGTTGCTTTATGCCACCAGTAAAGGTCATTTTGTTTTCCAGATTTTTGAGAGCAGATAATAATTTGACAGTGTTTCCTTCAGTAAACTTATTCAAAGCAGCATCCTGAAATAAGAGATGAAGGGTTAGAAACTGGTTAAGCATGTTTTTTTTTTCACCCATTTCACCACTTGCCACTCGTGTTAACTTTAAAAACAATGTGTATTTTTGTGAAATGTTCATTTTTCATAGATTGGCATTTTCATTGTATTCATGACTTTGAAATCCCAAGGGACTGAACCCCTATGCTAGTTATAACCGACAGACAGATAAATGAGAATTTGGAACATTACTCTTACCTTTAAATTTTTGTATGCCTGTACCTTTTCTCCTTGTCGGTCTGGGGGGTATGCATTTATGTTTGCTGTCACTACCACCAAGGCTAAGAACAGTACCAGTGCTGTTTTCATTTGGCACTTGGAACCATAAAAGCTGTCTCTTGCTGCAGTCATTTTCATCGTTTGTCTGCAGAACCTACTGTAAAATAATTTCTACGTATGCAGGTGTTTGCAACACATATTTAAAGGATTAAAACGTGATAAATAACTTTAAGATCTGTTAATTGCAGTGTGCAGAGGTCTTGCTTAATTTTGAGGCCCCTTGCATATGGACATGGACAATGATGTAAATAATTTTTTGAAATATCCAGCATAAGATGATGGAAGTAAAACAGGGATGAAAACAAAACTCATGGAGGTTTATTGTCCAATGTATGCTAAGGGGTGGGACAAAGGGTCTGGGTTATCGGTCAGAGCAAGGGGGGGGGGTCACCCGTGGAAATCCACAGAGTAGTATGTTAACTTGTGAGAACACAAGAGAACAAACCAGTACAAACCAGATTGAAGAAGGAAGGACTATCTTGTTGGTTAAAGAGTTGCATGGTATTTTAATGGAGTTGGGTATAGTTGAGAGTGATGAAGATGTCATGAAAACTGTAGACAGTGGGAATGAGCTTTTTAATTCCATGTAAATAGAGAACACTGTGGACAAGGGCATTTTTTTTCCAGAAGGAGAGTCTCAACTTCCTCATAATGTGCAAGTGCCACAGAAAATAAAACCAAGATTAGCTATTAGACTGAAGTATTACATTCCTGCATCATGTCACCCTAGTTTTTCATGAAAAACCAGCTGTCAATTCATCATATGTTTTTTTGGCATGTAGATTTTTTTGTGTTGTGTAAGAAATTGATACTAGGATACACATGAGAACTGTTGAGAATTGCAATCAACTCTCGCACCATGAAATCCTTTGAAAATTTATGAAAGATGAGGCCAGACAGCAGTCAAAATCAAACAAATGTTGCCGTTTTCATTGTAGAAGGAGATTTCTGTATTTATTAGTTTTGAGCTCAATTATCACATTGACTGCTGGTTTGTGCAAGATTAAAAACTGATACATGATGGTTGATGGACAACATGGTTTATCAGCTACTGGTTAATTTGATTATTTTTGTCCACAACTTGTTCATGGCATTTATCTGTTAAAATATTATAAAAATTATTACTTGTCCCCATAAATTTAACAAGAATTGGTTAATTTGCTAAACAACTATTTAAAATCCTACACTTTGTTACTGAAAGAGATTTAATGTATTTTCTTGTTATTTCACATCAAATATGACAGCGTAATCAATTGTTTGTAAACCTGTATAAAGGAATCAAAAGTTTTGAGAAATCTTTCATTTTTTTAACTTATGAATATGTTAACATATCAACCTACAACAATACTATCATTATATAGTACCTCAAATATTTTATTAATTACTGCTACATGTTTGTGAATTTATCAGCTTTGTTGTCTAGTTATGTGCCTATATTAATGATAGTTTGCTTATAAATCCATTGCTTGATTAATTGAATACATTTTTTAGTAAAAGGTAGACGTTAAAACAAGCCAGGTTGGAGGGAAAAAAATCAGTCACAGATCTAGAGACAGATGATGTATTACCCTCAGTATTTGCCCATGAATGCAACATCTAGGTCTGGATCAATATTTCCACTTGCAGACTGATTTGTCTTTTGTAAATATAGTGCTGCCTTGTAACAGCCATAGCTAGCAGGAATGGCTCCAAGTAATGACATCTTATGGGCAAAGCTATCAATTCTATTGCACTGGTGTCTGTGCCACTAGATTCATCATTTATCAGGCATGCACAGAATATGTATGAAATTCAATGAGCTTTGCTTGTGCTTCCAGAGAGGAATGAACAATGTGATTGAACGTCGTCAAATTCTCAACCTCCTGCGTCGCCACCAAGGCCGCATGGCTGATCTAGAAGATGGTTTATTTCACCATGAACGCATCATGCATCAGGAACCAATAGCTGATATCCCTGAGAGGAGGAAGGAGCGCTCTGAAAGAATCATTGTAGATGGGGATAACCTCAGGTAAATGTGCCACCTAGTTAATGCAGTCAGAGCTATGGAAAATGTGAAGTTAAGAAACAAATGTGGTACTGTAGTTTTGATTTCTTATTAATGTTTTTTAGAGTTTCATGCAACAGTCACTCCCCTACTTATATGTTATTTGTCTTTTCAGATACAATGCACCTGATGAAAAAGTAGGCGTGTATATTGCTGCCCAGCCTTTCACACCAGAGCACAACTACTTTGAAATAGAAATTTTAGACACTGGCGATGCAGGTGCAATAGGTAAGTACTATACTGTGTTGTTAGGAAAAAACACATTAACATGTGTTGACTCATTCTCAGGAATGAATTTTGCCTAGTTCAAAATAATAATAATAATTGCTTGGCTCTTTAAAAATCAAATCACAGCTTCTTGTATAATACAAAAATTGTGCTAGACTGGACCATCTATTTATCTAACACAGGGAATGGACTGGTTGCAGTCATGGCTGCTTCATGTTGCCAGTGTTTAGCTTCAGTACTGAGATATACATACCATAAAAAGGCCATGTTGACTCACTGGTCTTAATGATTCAGGGAAACATTTCATACCATGCACTAAAGCAATTACTATGAGGCTTGATGCTTCAATGAAACTTGTGTCTTGACTGAAATAAAAAGCTTGATTGTGCTTGGAGGTGTGTTTAACATATCACTAATCAATAATATCTGGTTGCTTCCTATACATATCTACCAGGCAATGTCAGGTATTGATTTTACTTGGTCCCAGACCAATTGCATCTTCTTTCTTTGACACTTGTGCAGTTGAGGAAAAGCTATATTAATATAAGCTTAGCCATTTATTTATTTTTCTTCTGTTTTACTTTATTTTATTATTTAAAGGAAGAATAAATTTCTATTCTTAAAATTTTAAATTGAAGTAATTACAGTTTAGCATTTTTGGAGTGTAAAAATGTATATGTTAAATTTCATTAAGAATATTTTATAAGAATGGTACAGAGGCTCCAGTTTTAGTTTGATGAATATTTAAAGCCAAGCCAAGTTTTAAGTAAACCACATTATTACCTTATTGCCATGATGTAGAATTGTGGACCAAGTTAAAGATCGGAAAATAATTCATGTGAAAAAGCTATTGATGAAAAATGTTCGTTCAAGAATGAACTCCTTGGATTAGTTTGTAAATAAAGTGCTCTTTCAGCATTTGTAATTTTCAGGTCACATTTAGCTAAAGTATGCATGTATTCAGTTGGAAATTTGATTTTTAAAAAAATGTCCACAAAAATTTAATCTGTCTGACATGGACATGTGTTACAACCACACTCTGCATTACTGACAGATTTCAAAGATGTGGTCATGATATCACTGTGCCTTCTGTTTGCAGCTGTTGGTCTGGTGCACCCGAGATATCCACTGGACAGGCAGCCTGGCTGGAACACGGACTCTGTAGCTTACCATGCTGATGATGGAAAGTAGGAACTTTTTTTTTTGCATTAGATTTTTTTTTTTGTTAGTTGTGATGATATCACACTTTATAATTTATTTAGTATTTGGTATTGGTGTCTGTCTCTCTAATTAAATGAAATAATTTTTTTTTTTACGAAGCTGTTGGTATATGTTTTATTCTAAAATGTTCACCTTCAAGGCTTAAAAGCACTTTGTTGGCTTCAAATAGTTGAACAGACACAATTTAGAAATAAACTGTAAATTGTTTATAAGCGTTATATACGTCTGGCAAAAGTTGAGACTGTGTAAAAGGTTATCATCAGCTACGTGCTTGCTGCCAAATATTTATCAACTAAGTTTCAAGTGTTTTTTTTTTTTTTGCAGATTGTTTAAGGCCAATGGTTCAGGAAGATCCTTTGGTCCCAAATGCTGTATAGGTGACAGGATGGGCTGTGGCATCAAGTTTGATCAAATCCAAAGAGAAGACAATCCTAGACATTTAGTTCCAGTATTTTTTACAAGGAATGGAAAAGAGGTATTTACAAATTGTTTTTGATTATACTACACATGGAGTTTGCAAGTTGGATGAATATCACCAAAAACAGCTACTGATGTTGATGATGATATCAAAAATGCCGTGCTACATGAAAAAAAAAACATTCATATATTCTTCACCTTTATCATCAAGTTATATATTGGGCAATGTGGGATGATGCAGGACTAAAGACATTTACATATACCAGATACTGAATATTTCAGATTGGCACATTGTCAGTCCCTATTCCTGTGGATGGGTTCTTCCCAGCAGTAGGCATGCATTCAGAGGGGGAAGAAGTAGTTATCAACTCAGATGCTGAGTGGCACTATAGTGATGAAATCCTGATGTCTGTTGACGACTGTGAAGAAGAGTGGTCTAGGCTGCACGATATCAGGTTAAATGGACAGGTATGGTGAACTTTGGATGTCAATATGAAATATTTAATGATATTTCTGACATGAAAAGGATGCAAACCAGTATTAGGCATTTTAATGTTTTATAGCCTCATTGCATTTTAAAATAAAATATTGTTTTTTAAAATAATAATGATAATAGTAACAGTAACAAAAATTACAATGGTCAGTGGTGGTGGTGATAAGTATTTGATATTTTTCTTGGTATTCAAGCTAATTGGACTAAATTCAAGTATTCTTTTAATTAACATCTTTATTGGTTTACTTGTGTTTTAAAGTATTATGAAATTAATTAATCTTTTTCACCATTAGATATTAGAATACACTGGACGTGGAAAAAGCATAGTAGATGTTGGTCTCGCACAAGCCAAACTTCCCCTAGATACTGCAGGACATTATTTTGAAATAGAAATTGTAGATCCGGGTGAAAACTGTTACATAGCTATTGGACTGGCTAGAAGGGTAAGCTTAACACATTAATGTATTTATTACTCAATGCATGAAATGAAAACTCTTTTCAGTGTTTTGTCATATGCCTGAAACAATGCATCGAATTAATTTTTCAATCATGATGAAGGCAAAGACTTTAATTTTTTTAATTAATTAATGAATTAATTAATTAATCAATTATTATAATTACTTTTTTGGTGAACAAAGTATTGTACCAGTAGATAACAGAGCTGTATGTGTACTGGACTGGCTACATTTCTGCCACATATTCATCTAATATATTTTTATTGAAAAACCTTAAAAATTTGTATTTTATAGGATTACCCAAAACATAGACATCCAGGATGGAATTGGGGGTCTATAGCCTATCATGCAGGTATGTACTAGAAGATAAAAATGTTCACAGTATACAAGAGACTCTATGTAATATAATATGCAAATATATCCTTACATAATGGTAAAATGTCAATATCTTTTGAATGATAGTTAAAAACCCTTAAAGTATATGTCACCATTCTTTGAAAGTCCCAACCTGACCAAAGGATGCACTACTTTTTCAGATGATGGAAAAATTTTCATTGGAAGTGGTATAGGTGACAAATTTGGTCCCAGATGCCAAAAAGGTAAATTAATTTTAATTGTTTTAAATTGAATATTTATTGAATTTTTAAAGTACTTTCAACCCTGTCAAGGTAACTCAAATGTTTGTTGGGTAATGAGGTCTTTGTAAGAGCAACAATTTATCTGATATAGTCGCTGAATCTTTGATTGATTGTAACAGTAACTAGAAAAAAGAAACTTGTGTATCTTGTTAAATTTGAAGCCTATGGGTTTGTTTTACAACAATGCACGTGTCACAGCAAGCAAAATTCATTTATTAAATCGTGCCTTGTAGGTGATATAATGGGTTGTGGTATACTGTTTCCAAGAGACTATAGCAGTGAACACGACAGCGATGAGCAGGACATGTCACCAGAAGAGATGGAAGTCAATAATGTCTATGCAGCTCCAAACTACGCAAGTTCTGACTCTGATGATGAAGAGTGGTGGGTTCACAGACATCACATGGATGGAGGGACTAAAGTCAAGGTACGGCATGATAAAATCTAAGGTTTATTGGAAATGGTAGTGATTTATATGAACATGATTTATGTGCATTATCTTTGGAAGGTTATGTATTTGTTTTGAAGACCTTAAAATTATGTTGTTGACCTATCAAAATGTATTAAATGATATCTGAATTTATTTTTTGCCAGTATTGTCAAAGACAACAAATAAGATTGGCTAAAAGTAAATAGTTTTTAGACAACTATTACTGCAGTGAAAGGATCGGGTGTTTAACACAAACATGTTGAGTAGTTAAATGGATAGTGAAAAAAAACATCGTGGCACATTTTCATTCTAACACTAGATAATGCTGAATTTAGTTAATACTTTCCAAATTATAAGATTATCCTCAGTAAGCTGTTTTTTTTCCAATGTATAACACTGTCCGTTGTCAATGAAACACTGATACCCTCTAGAGAAACTATCCAGAGGATAACTCTCTACCAGAGGTTCGTCTAAATTTTATAAAATTTGTCAAAGGAAAGAGCGTACCAGATAGCAGACATTTTATCCACTGGATAGGACTAATCAGCATTGATGAAACTGGGCCCAGTTTTGTAAAAAAGTTAACATGATTACAATTTAGTCTTTTATTTTAGGTTTTCTTTACAAGAAATGGAAAAACAATTGGCAGCAGAGAGGTGAAGGTCCCAAAAGGAGGATTCTATCCCACAGTGGGCATGCTCAGTAGTGACGAGAAAGTACGTGTGGACTTAAGACCATTGACGGGATAGCAGGATAAAGTGCAATTTTCTCTTGCCAACTGACAATTATCCCGCAGTTTTGTGATGTTTTAGGCAGATTTTATTTATAATGAACTCTCATTTTATGTGACATTTTTTTCTGTTTAACAAGATATGGTTTTCTTTGTTAATAATTGCTATCATTCACCAACATTAAGTAGCTTGTTTCATCAACACAAGTAATCAAATCTTCAGTTAGCTCTTTTTGTAAGACTGGATGGTGATGTAGATGTGCTGTGTACTTAAAAAGTATGGAGACTGCATTTTACTGGAGTCTTGGCTATTTTTGATGTAAATTTTTCTTTTACCAGTTATTATCATTATAACCATCTACAATGGTTGGTGTTATGATTAACATTTTACGTTGGAACTGAAATGGTGATTCATGGTGGGAGTGGAACAGTAGCCACAAGTTTTCTTTTCCAGTCCATAAACATGATGTGCTTCAGATGTGCCAAAAAACTTGTGCTTCCTCATGAATGTATTGTGAAGCAACAGAGTTACACAGAAACCTTTAATAACGCCTTATAGGGCAGGGTTTGAGCTTAGCATTACTGCAGATGCCTGTAATAATCTTAGATTTGCCTCTTGTACGTTTATAAAAAAAAATTAACACTTTTTGACCTCATTGGGTCTGTCTTTATGCTTGCGATGTGCAAACACGGTCAATAAAACAACAATGGTGTCTTTTATGTCGTGCTTGTGTAAAAATTGTTTGAAGAAAATATTTCTATTTTAAAGGCTTATGCAACTTGGCACTCTAAGTTTACGATGCATGTTCAGGTGTTCTGTAGTGTGCTTATTTATAAAAACAATACATGGTCACATGGAATTATTGTTGTAGACAGGTTGTAGGCTATAATGTTTGAACCCATTTGATGGAATGAGGTCATGAAGTGACTGTTAGAAAATTTGCTATCCAAGTCAAACAGCACGCCAGATTTAAAAAAAAAAAGGTTAAGAATCAAATTGCCCACTTTGAATAGCATGTTCTCTCTGAAGTATATATTTTGTGCAAAATAAAAAGTGTATGTTATAATAGTTTGTATTTGTCATGTTATTTACAAACAAGAAACTCCCCTATCAGATTTAAAACATAAGATCATGGGGATTATATACAAGTGTCCTTTGCTTCAGATTTAATTTTATTTCAACATTAAAGTTCCTGTATTCTTTTTATTGCAAACTTATATTTTTATTTGGAATCTATGATAATTAAAAGTGAAGTAAAACGGGGGGAAGATGCAGGTATTAAAAGTGGAGACAATTTATTACAATTACTATAAAACCCAGTGTCCTTCAATGACTGGGTTTACAATTTGACTGGGAATCCCACTTGTGGATATGCCTGTGTGATAGGAAATTTCACTATACAAAATTTACATGATATTTCGTTTTTGTACCTACAAAACAATTACTATTAGGGACTAAAAGTAAGGTGAGTGAACAATTTTAGTCAAATGCAACTTGACGATTTCATGGCAATCTCATCAGTTCTTTTAGGACTCACTATAAACCCAATGCTACTTATTTACAGCTCAAATTTTGGAAACAAATATATTGCAACAGTATACTGAAACCACGTGATATATTAAATACACATTCAAGCACCATTCTGATGATTACTTTATATAATACAATGTGTTATCATCTTATAACATGTGAAGGTTCAACAAATAATCTCCCTTTTCCCTTTATTTTGTACAATCATTTTAAAATGACATTGGGAATGATTATACAATTCTTGAACCAAATCTTCCAGTAAAGGGTCCATTTTAACTACTTACAATTAATGTGTGCTTTTAGCCAGGAATGTTTGTAAATATCTCCTTAAACTAAACTAACCAATAACAGACAAAACAATATAAAGATACCTTCATAAACAGTGTTTGTCACAACATACAATTTTGACATAGGATGACATTATGATGTGTATTAAACTTGAAAAGCAGTTGACAAGTTTGCTATTCCTGTAACAGGCATTCAGTCATACTACTCCTTGATACATTAATGCATGCCCTCAGAACCCCCTGCATTGCACACACAACAGAATTTAAAAAAATTTGCATTCAATTTCTTCTAAAGGAATTCAACATAAACCTGATGTAATATTAGTATATTAAGAGGAAAAAAGTATGACAAGAAACTTTGTACAGTGATCCAGATTAATTACAACAAATGTGATATATATGATGAAATAAAAAATACAGAAATTAAATGAAATCCATAATTTGAAGGGGGAAAAAAATCAATTTGAGATGTTGGAAATCTGAAAATTCTTAAATATAATCTCAACCTTAAACTCTACATGATACACCCATGATTTGGTTCTTTGATTTCTGCAGTGGACATATAGACCTAGTCCCAGTGCCTAAGGAGACATTTCCTGATGTGCACACACTGGAAGTACACGAACTGATATAAAACATCACATCTGCTAAAGTCTATTCACTCTGCATCAATTCCTAGGATTCTTCGTCTGAATTGGCTTGCTGTTGTGTGGAATTACTTTGGAACTGTTTCAGTGCATGTTTTCCTTGATAAGCTGCTTGCTGAATTGGTTTTCTTACTTTCTCTGCTTTCCTAAACACTGTTATTTCCTATATGATCAGAAATAAAGAGGTTGGTGTCAAAAAGGTCAAAATATCTCTATCAGGCATTTAACAAATACATGTACAGTGCCCCTCCCCCACCCACCCAACAATACATGTTACTGACAGCCATTAGACACTTGTGTTTAAAGACGAAAGCAATTGAAACCAGAAGTCACCTGTTGTTTGAAATACCTCCTTTCTTCTTCGTCAACTAATACTAAATTCAAGTAGTAGCGAACTGAAAATTTTTTGTTGATATCCCTCATGGTTGGTGTGAGGTCATATCCACTCAGGAACAGCCTGATTGGGATAGACTCTCCTGTAAAACAAAAGCATTATTACCTGCAATGCAGCAACTTATAAAACTACCATAGTATTTTTCTTTTTTTTTTATTATCTATTTATTTTTTGTTTCAGCTTCTTAGGTCAGGCAACAAAGGACAATTTTAGGTGACCCACTAACTGGCACTATTGGCATCAATCTGCAACATGGGTGTGCTGTACAATTTATAGATGTGTAAAAGACATACATTAAGTTCACAGAAAACGACATGAATGCTTTACATGCTCAGAAGATCCCTTTAAATCAGGCAGGATTTTATAAAAATAACCATTTACCTCTGACTGGGGCACCATCCATGATTTCATATTTGGCAATGGTTTCATTTTCATTGAATGTATTTGGACCTACAAGGCATAAACAGTCAACATAAGAGTGTGATCATTCCCTTAAAATGAGATGTTATGTAATCATTTGATTTTTTATATTATAACTTGCTCTTTACAGTTTAGTCTTAATGTGAATAAAGGGTACTTATGATCAAATAAAACTTTAACAAACTAGCATACTGAAGAATTACATAAAACAGTCATACAACTACACACGATGTCATATCTTTGTAATTTTTAAACATCAACATGCTATTCACATACATCAAACATTACATATTAAAGTGAGAACACAACAATAATATAACCAATATACTGGGTGGATAAAAAGAACAATAAAATTTAATTTTCTAGTTTAATCTTTTTTACTTTATGAAAGAATGATTAATCAGTTGCAGACAGCATTAAGCCTTTTATATTGATATTCATGACCTGATATCTTTACAATATTTATCAATATCTCTATTATGTACATGCAGTGGCTGATTCATTACTTAACACATCCTCAGCTAGATGCAGTTATGAATCCTATTTCAATCCATAAATAGCAAATCTGGTCATCCTTCTTTATGAATTCAGAAACTACTTGTTCTACATGTTCTTAATGGCAAAGTATGTTATCCGACTTGCTAGAAAATGTAATTAGTGTCTGGATGCCCCTGAAAAATCCCACCAACCAAGACCCTGCAAAGCACTTAAAACAAGCAATGATTGTTGGTCATTTTTGTATTGAGCTCCACAACAGTGTTCTGAAAGCTAAATCAATCAAAACTTGAATGTCCAAACAGCAACAAAATTTAGTGACAAAGCAAATTTTTTAGATTTATGAAATTCACATTTAAAATTAAATATGGTCTCCACCCTCCTTTTCTCCTTTTTTTAATCCACCCAATATATCTTGGCGAGTGTTCAAGGACAAATCAGTACCTGTTCCTGTTGTTTCTCTCTTGATAATTTGTATCTCCATATGTTTGATCTTTATTCTAACTAGCAGGAAATAAATCTTGCCCACTATCACATCTTTCAAGTGATACCTACATGAAATAAAACAGACAAACAACATAGAGAAAAATGAAAAAAAGACATGCATAACATTAGTAAACACAGATCAACTATAAACAAATTGAGACATGTACCACAATAACAAGGCCACCTAATACGAAACAATGATTTTGAATGAAAGATAAGATGACAAAGTTCCGAGAACAAAGTGCTGTTGTGTTGTACAAGGATTGCACACAAGTTCAGAGAATCAAAGATTTAACAGGAAGCAGTAAGGCCCATTTCTTCCAAAGTGCAATGGTGAAAGAATAGTTAAATCATTTTTAAAACTGTGATTATTCTGGTTATGTGAAGATTTGAGTTTCCATTTTCAATTCTCTGGTACAAGTTGAATACTGCAGCAAAACTGCCCTACCTGCATAATCACCACTGCAGCATTCTCAGTGACAATGCAAAGTAGTTGTTGGAAACACACAATGGGGCAAAGTATACATCTAACCATACATAATATGTGTTACAATAATACATGAACTAAAACATCAATGTCACCAGCAAGAAATCCATCGTGACACAACAAAATGATCACAATCATGCACGAATATGCTGCTCTACCTGCTCCAGTAATCTCCCGTTTCACTATGGCCAACTCCATGTAGCGGATTTTGATTCGAACGAGAAGGAAATAGATCTTTCCAACTATGACATCATTAAGGTGGTACCTGTTTACAGAGTACGTGTAAGCAGCAGCTGTGGGTTAGAGCCTTTTCTTTACATTTATCAAGAAATATGCCCCCCCCCCACCCATCCCCCTCTAAACTAACAATATCAAACATTGAGCCCAATGTTGATGATAAAATCAATCTGCATCACCCATGTTATATCCTGACATCGTTATGCCCCTGTTGTACGCTGAACTCGTCAGTATAAGCCTAAACTGTTAAAGATCACTTTGCTGTAGTAAATCATTTAGCAGATTCAATTCCATCAAAATACAATTTATAATATATGGTGGCATAAGCTCATTTATCTTGTAGCTTTACAAGCTTTATATACATGAAAGATATAATACAAATCACTTACTTTGACTTGTTATATTCAAACTCTATATGTAAACAGTCTTCTATGCCCACTTCCATCTTAATGCTATTGTTCATATCTGGGTACTGGGATAAAGTGTGTACAATAATTTCTTTTTCCTTCACTGCGTCTGATATCCTCTTCACTATTGTTACTCTCAGAAAGTACCTATGGAGAGAAAGAACAAATCAATTTTGTGTTCTTTTACACATCTCTTAAATTTGTACAGTTCAGACCAACTGCAAAGTCCCCAAGGTAGGTATCACAGTGGAGGTTTTGAAATAAAGAAAATGGCCCAAATCAAAACAGAAAGTTATGGCAGATGGAACAACTTGTTTAGGAGTCAAATGTTACAACAATTTTGATGTTGAGTAACAAGGTGGGTAGTGAAGTTTTGTGTATTCTTTGCTCAATATCATAAAAATTAAATCACATCCAATCCACCTCATTTTGTGATTAGAACAGATCTACTGAGCCTAGAGTCTAGATAATTTACCCAATAATCTCTCTTTTGCATACTCACCTTAATCTGACATTTGTTCCTGTGTATGACTCATATGGTTTTTCCACTTGAACAAACTCAAAGTTGTAGCTTGTATTTTGTGAGAGTTCACCTGGTCTGGCAAGTTCTTTGACTAGTGATGTGAACTCATGGTGGTTTCCTCTGTCATAGTATAATTCTGAAAAAGAAAGATAATTTGTTTCATACTTTGTCTATAAAAACTTTGTTAAAAATAAAACCTTACTGAATAATTACTATACAGAAAAAAAAACCAGATGGAGAACTTTCAAATCTAAAACTGTATTTAAAATTTTAATTATGTTGACACAAAACAAATGTTATAGTTAAAAGAAGTTGATTTATACTAAAATATTATGTATACAGTTTGTGTCATAAACAATAGTTATTTCTGAATGCAGGTTGTTTTATTCTAATACCATACCTATTTGGCCTATAAACTCAATTTTTATTCCTTGGTGTTCTAGCTTCGTTCCTGGTTTTTTCAGTGTGACATTAACCTTCAATGCAAAAAAGATGCATACAATACATACAGATCCAATGCCAACACAACAGTCTATAGAAAGATAATTACACTTATTCCATTCTTCTACCAATAATATACAAAGTAAACAATGGCAATAAATGAAGGGAAAAAAGACATATTGCAGGCTACAAAATTTCATTGACATTTTAACACAAGTCACCTTTCCCACAACAGATTCTCCATCATAATAGAGAAAATGCTTTTCCTTCCGTCCATCCTCTGTCTTGATTTCTGCTACCTTCCTTGTATCTTGCCCATCCAAGATGATATCAATTTCGGCACTCTGGCCGAACCCAAAGAAACTCTGCAATTAGGAAAAAATTTTAAAATGCAGTGAATTCTTCAAGAAAAGAATGATATTTCTATTAAAAAACAATGAAAGTGCAATTACCAATAAAAAGACGGTCAGCTAGAAACACAGATGCATGCCAGGAGCTATCAAATTCCTTTCACTTCCTATAGGCACACACTGCAGAATAGACAACTTCTGAATGCACTCAGTACATACAACAGGGATTGTTTTCCACCAGGAGGCTACTTCTTGGCACTATCATGTGGGTCAAACAACTTCCACTGTAGAAGAATCTTCACAGGGATTTGTTTTCTAGCAGCTCGGCTTTAAAACTTTGCATCATAATTTGACCTACATCATAATTTTTGAGGCATGGATTTTAGCTTATTCACAAAGCTCTTGATGGCAAAATTGGTTGGCTTTTGGCAGCATGACTATAATTTTACAGATATGTGCACTTATGTCTTCCCTATAGTACATATCAAAAAATGTGAACAGGAGTAATAATCCATGAAAATTTCCACTTCTACCTATGTTGGCTTGCAATCTATGATATCCTAGTCTTGTAAGTACATCTCAATTCCTAGTCAGTAGCTTAAGTGGCAACAAACCATATCGCAAACTTCTTTCATAAAAACAATTTTTCAGCTGTCACCTTTAATTACCTAAACCCAAAAAACTTAATTACAGAGATGACTTCATCTCATTTGCATTGATCACCTGTCAATAAAGGCAGCATAATCATATTTTTCCAGATGGGTGTTTTGTGAGTTTGACTTATGCAGAGCCAAGATGACTGCTGTTGTTAAATGACTATCAAATGTAAGATGCAACATAGCAAGTGATCATAATTCTAGTCTAAGATTTTTTTCTGAATTTTGCAAGTAATTAGTAGATCTAAAATCAAGGAACAAAAATGCAGATTTATCCCGACTCGACAGGGAATTTCACAGTGCATCTATTTATGCCTACAATATGAAGGATAAGTATAAACCAACATAAATACATAAATAACACCAATATTTAGAATTAATTTACAACAGCAGTTAGCAACATGAACTCCATCATTTCAGACTAGGCACAGTTGAATGTCAGTGCTGTTGTGTTGAGGTCACATGATAATGATTTACCTCCCCCTTTCGATTAGAAACTTAAAGGAGTGAAAAATACTATTCTAACACATGTCAGTGACTACAGACACCACAGCACAATATTTCTTATTCCTCTTTCGCTGGTTTGTTTTTAAAATGTTTGCTTTCAATGGCAAAAAGACAGAAAACCTACCATTTCAGAAGAGTTCTTCCTGCTTTAGATCAATATGGCGAGTTAGTAGCATCACGCATGCGCGACTCCTTTTTCGAGATACACATTTTTGCACTAGAGGTATTGATAGGGACATTTTATTATATTGCTGGCTTACAACTTCAAGTAAAGGATCGTAAAAAGCTAATGTTAAATGTATGTTGATATAAAGACTTGCATAATTTATTAATTGAGTTTCAAATGATTATGATGGAATTTCTTAGGGTCAGATTTTAAGCTAAAAATATACGAGATTTGACGAGAAGGTCAAGGTGAAAGCCGGTGCGAGCGTTAGAAAGAAAGACAGTGTTCGACTAATTTTTTAATCTTATTCCATCGTAAAGATTATAGGGAATTGCAGGTAACATAGATGCGTCAGAATATTTTTAATAGTCTGTAAAATAGTTTCAGGAAGCTGATTTTCCTTTTGACGTAATTGGAATGACAAAATTAACTTCATAGTTTAGCCAAGTTCGTTTACTGAAAGGATGTTGACTTGTTAATTGAGATGGGTGCCAAGCATAATATTCGCTTCTTATTTCAGAAAGAATGGAAAACAGACCGGGTTGCACAGTGTACATAAACAATTTAAATGAGAAAATCAAGAAAGATGGTAAGTTAATTTTCACACACACACACACACACACACACACAATAATAATAATAATAATAATAGATAAGAACCTTGTCAAATTGATTTTAAAGCCTCAGTTCTCAGTTCTCAACTTCATTCTGCAATTGAATTTGTCTGTATCATGTGTATGAAGTTTCCAACATGCCAATTTTTATGAGGGGAGATCACAATTTTCTCTCTTTCTCTCTCTCTCTCAAACTATTATGATAGCTAATAATTAGCTTTTAAACTTTCACATGAGCTTTGTGCTACACGTTATATTTTGTGTTATGCCTGTTCCTTTTCTTTTCAGAATTGAAAAAGTCCTTGTATGCTATATTCTCACAGTTTGGACAAATCCTGGACATTGTGGCATTAAAGACATTAAAGATGAGAGGACAAGCCTTTGTGATATTTAAAGACATAAATAGTGCAACAAATGCTCTCCGTTCAATGCAAGGATTTCCTTTTTATGACAAACCTATGGTATGTGTTAATATTTAGACTACCAGTATCATACATTTTCTGAAAATTTAAAAAGGAATATAGTTGAAAGTGAGACATGTTGACAGCCATATCTGCACATTTTTATAAATTGGTAAAAATTGGTTATTAAGCCCAAACAGAAATTCATTATTCACCCTAAAGGCCTTGAATTTTTTCTCATGCACATTTTTACGAGTGATGATTGAAAAGTTTTAAGCTGGAGTAAGAAAGTGTAGAGAGTCTTTTTTATTCTGTGAAAGCAACATTTCTCTGGATTGTATGTTAAATTCTGATATGCTGTTTGCATGGTTGTAGACAAATATGTCAGTTAGTAGGGGTTTGTCTGATGGCAAAATGACCACAGCTGGTGTTCAGGCTGTGATCCAGTATCTCTCTCTCTCAAAAAAAAAAAAAAAAGGAAATTAATGAGAACATGGTAAAGACATCAGTGGAGGACATCCCATCTTAACCTGCTACGGTTAAATGCTGATCATCTGAATTCAAGAGATCCAGCACAAGCACTGAATATCACCAACGATCAGAAAGATTCATATTTATGATTCAGAAGATCCATGTTTTTTTTTTGATAGAAAAGTAATTGAGCATTACATAGCTAGTGCTGAAATAGTTGCCATAAGCGAGTTCTTACAGAAGACCTGGGAAGGATTAAACAGCATAATGGGTCCTAAGGCTTTTAATAGACAATCAAAAAGACTCCAGGAATCAAAAAGATTCCAGGTTCTAGATGTCAAGGAAGGACTTTCAGCTTTTTGAAGGAGGCACAGATTTCCTATGATATGTCTTATGACCCCCCCCCCCCCAATTCAAACAACAGTGGGGACGATGGAAACTTGGGTTCTCTCTCTACCCCCCTCCCCTTTCCACACACAGACGTGCAGAGACTAAATAAGGCCAATGCTTTGTCCACTGCGTGAAGGACATGACTTCTGTCTTCTAAGATACTTAGAGCCCAACAACAGTGGACTCCATAAGTGAAGATGATCAATGGGGATTTTAAGATGCCCTTGTTTGCAACAACTCCTGGAGAAAAGAAAGCACATTGTGGAATGCTCTGATGAGCTTTAGTTTCAGTGTTTTGGTGTACCTGTCAGTTGTAGCACTGCTCGCTATTTATAAATGTGGCTTTTGAATCCTTACCATCCAACACTTTTATTTGGCTCTTTAAGATCTCTTCTTTTCTAATATGAAAAGGCATCATTTCTAGAATGTATTATGAGAACAATAATGATGTCATATCTCCTGTGGATGGCCTCTTTTGGCTTCTGGAGAGACCTATGAGACTGTCATTGAGGTCTTTTTTGGAACTGCAGCAGCACTGGTAAAAGTGTCTGGACTCTGGTGGAGATTATATTAAAAAGGAGGGTAACGTGAACTCAGTTGTGGCTTCTTGGTCGGGCTCAAAACTTTTCAATTACCCCTTATAATTTATTGAAAGGGACAACCAAGATTCTTAATGAAAAACAAATTTATTTTGATTGTGTGAATAGAGAATGAAGAATGCCAGATATTTATTAGTGATAACCAAACCTTTTTCATAACTTACAGAGAATACAGTATTCAAAGAAAGACTCAGATGTCATTGCCAAAATGAAAGGCACATATGTAGAAAGACCAAAGAAAAAGAAAGTTGAAGAAGAAGTGCAAGAACAACAAACAAAGAAGAAAAAGAAGAGTCAGAGGTCAGCATATTTGCTATAAATTCTTTATAACCAAAAGTAAAATGACAACATTGTGTCTTAGTCATGTCTGTCTAACAATTGTTGTACATGCCGCTAAGAAGAACCCAAGACATTATTTGCTTGAATTTGAAAGTGAAATAATTTGTCCATATACATTATCTGGGTGTTTTTGTTATGTATGGATATTATGCTTTATGATAGAAATTTGTGTAAAATGGCTGTCACAGAACAAAACTTGTTTACAAGGTCCTCATTTTATTTGCATTTCAGAAAGGAACAAAATGCTATGCTTGCTGCAACATCCGCACCAGTTCCTCAGCCATCAGCACCTTCAATGCCTGCTATGGGTAAGTTTTTAAAAGGTTTAGATGTTATATTACATTCACACCTATTGGTTGCCTAAAAGAGGGTTTGCGATGTTATGAGCACTAGAGTGTGAGCTCATTTTACACGTATTTAGTGTATATTGTAATAGTAATGATAATCACTGGTGAAATTGCAACCCACAGGTTAGTCTTTAAGATTAATATTAACAGGTTTTCATTTTATGGGTGATTGTGTAGATTTTTGACTTTTGTATGTTGATATACCTGTTGATTTACCTGTTGATATACCTGATTTCCAGCTCCACAGGCAGCTGCCCCAGTTGCCCCTGCACAACCTGCTACCATTCCAGAGCAACCACCAAACCAGATCTTGTTCTTGACCAACTTGCCAGAAGAGACCAATGAGATGATGTTGTACATGTTATTCAATCAGTAAGTTGGAACTAGACTGTTATTTTCTAAATGCTGGCTTTTACATCCCAATGAACCTTTTTCAATTTCGTTTTTCCTATTAGGAAAAAAGTATGTGAATGTGGTAGATGATTAGATTTTCTTTTCATTTGTTACAGACTGATATAGCGTCCAGATTTATTTAATAGGTATGAAAATTGATGAGAAACCATTGCAATTTTTTTATCCTTCATATTTGTAGATAAGTCTTAGCTGATAATTAGCTTTAATAGTTTCAACACTTTTTTTTTAGGTTTCCGGGTTTCAAAGAGGTGCGTCTTGTTCCTGGCCGACATGACATTGCCTTTGTCGAGTTTGAGAATGAAATGCAGTCTGCTGCAGCAAAGGATGCTTTACAAGGATTCAAAATTACACCCACACATGCAATGAAGATATCATTTGCTAAAAAATAATGTTTTTTGTACATAATTAATAAAGACTTATTTACTTGAGGTTTAAAAAAGCATTAAAATATTTCAATAAGAGAACTGTTAGGATACAAATGGTTATTTTTTCAACAGGGATAATCAAGTGGGAGACCAAGGGTCCATGTATAACATGATCTAATCCTTGTATTGTGTCAGCATTGCACCTCTGCTGACTGCCAGCATTGCACACAGCTGGTGATATTTCAGGATTGTACTGGTCTTTCTGCAAAGGAGATGCTGGCTTTGATTTTTGTTTTGCACTTGGCATTGCACAAGGCCATGTCTTTTTCAGCATAAATCTTCTCTGGAAACTTACTGTCCTGCAGGATTTGTATAAAAGCTACGAAGAATTTTTTTTTTTTTTAATTAGATCTAAGATATTTTTGGAACTTGTGTCACAAAGTAAGTATTGTTTGCTGCCCAGTGGCAAGTGGTATGTCATGGAACTACAGTGTGTAACCACTTCTAATGGTAGGTTTTTATTTGTTTGGTTTTTTGATAACTTTTAAAGCAAGGACAATTTCATTACAATACTTAAGTCTGTCAGTTCCTCCTTAATAAGTTGCATAAGATTAAATCATTATGAATAATAAAGATTTTCAATGACAATTTCTTGTTATTCAATTTTTTATTATAAAATGGCATATGAACATGTAACTTGAAAAAAACCCAGTTTATCAAATTTTCAAACCACACCAAGATGGTAGACTTCCCAGATTGGACAGGGACAGTGGATACAATAATTTTTTGTGATATTAATTGTGGTCATTGTTTTGAACGTTAAAATTACCCTCGAATAAGTTCATCAAGAAGCAATTCATGCACTTTGAATGTTTTCAAATTCCTGGCTTGGATTGCTTAAAGTAATTTTTTCCAGTAGAGAAATTTACTGATGTTAAAAATAATTCAAATGTTTTGTGAGAAACTTAACAATAAAAGACAGTTCCTATGCCTAGATCAATCCATCTGGATCGATCTAACTCCCTGGGGAGTCTCACTAAATTGTAAGCAACTAACCAACTTAAATGTCTGTCACGTCTATTGAATCTGCTAGGGGTAAAGATAATTACCCCTTAACAGCTTTACTAGGCATGACAGGCATTTAAACCGGTCAAGTTGACAGCAATTTGGTGAGACTCCCCAGGGAGATAGATTGATCCAAATATCTGTGGAAATGGTCCCAAAATTGTGTAATGCAGATTAAAAAAAAAAATCGTGATAATTCTGAGCGACGAGATGCTTGGAAACCCTAATTACTTCAAAGCATTTAACTGGGGACCACAACAGTCGCTGTTAACCATGTTAAAATTCTATTGTTTTCCAAGTAGTATTAACTGCCATGTAATTGGCCAATCTTATTAATATATGTAAGATTATGCAGGATGTCGTGCAATCTGTCATCCTGTTGACGAGAGGATATAAACATGTTTGCTAAGGGCAAATCTTACTAAATTTTTGTTAATCCCTATTACACTGAAATTGGGGCCCAATTTGTAAGATCATATTAACTTGGAACTGTATCACATAGCAGTTACCAAGGTATTACTTAGAAATTGCTATGCTTTCTCAAATAATCTGGACAATTCCATTTTAATACCCTCCTAAAATTGCAATGAAAAATATTACAGAGTAACCCTTTATGAATTTAATTCTCCACGTATTAGAACCTTTACGAACCAACCTGCAAAATCTCTCATGTAATTTTTTTTTTACTGTATGCCAGACTTTGGTATAATAAATGATGACAATTTAATTGAGAGGAAGATGCATGTTAATCTATTACCAAATTCCCCCATCGTGACCAAACAATTATGTCAAAAGCGGGTACTCCATGAAATGCTGTTGGAGAATTTGGTAAAATAAAAGCTGCCCAAGACAATATCAAAGAAGTTTAAAGGCTATAAAAAAGAACAATACAAGAATACATTAAAGATTTGTGTTATATTCAATAATTTGCACAACAAGTTTAAACAAGTTCTGAAGGTGATAGTAGTATAACTATAGATACCACTACGCACTCTTCATCCAAATGGACACTAAATACAAAAATACAGATCTGGGGCCTCCTTGTATCAAGTAGGTATATGATCACAGGATGTTGATGCTTATTATTACATAGCCCCACCAACCAACTAAATAATATAGACATAACAAGGAATTCTAGAGGGCAATAAACAACTAATTAATAATAACAGTTGTAAACTTCCAATAAATCGTATTCTCAGCTTATTTTCATATTAGGAAAGGGTAATGAAGGGATGCACTGCTATTCCACTTCATTATAACATGCAATATTAACCTCCTTACAGTAGTGTTGTGCTCAGAATAATAAACCCCCTCCCCTTTCGTCAAGACAACAATATTACAATGTATAGAGTGCTTTTAGCTAACTGTCTTCAACTTGAAGGATATAAATATGAAACGGCACAAAATATAGTTCACTTAAAATAGTAAAAATTGTTTTTTGGGTAACTTTAAACTGCAGGAAAACTGAAATAAAAGAAAATGACATGAAAGAAATCCGGATGCAGTATCAATAATCACTTTTCATGGATACTACTGCCATTTGCTTTCTTGGTCTCTCAATTTTCAAATTTCTTATATGCCTAATAACTTAGGTTTGATTGCAACTGCATTATTCAAGATTAATGGCACAGAAAAGTTGATGAACATCTCAGACTGCATCATTCTTATACTTCACAAGTCCACATGCAGATTAATTCACCTGGAAGTTACCAAGATGATCAAGTCAGAACAGAAAAGTACAATGCAAAATTAATTCTAAATCATAACATATTCATAGATTTCATGAAATCATGGCAGTGATACGTTTTTTTTTTTAAATTGCTTTTCTTGAGCCTTCCCTTCACCTCCGATTACTGATCAAATTTTCTGTGTGCATTCAGATGTGGCATTACCATCTCAATAGCATTTCAACTGCTGGCCATTTTTTACTTGACTGTTCTGACCCTGGTTACCTTCTAAAACTTAAATAAAATATATATCTAACAAAATGTGGAACTGCATGCAGTAATCGTTCTGATTAACGATGCCTTCTATCCAAATCATAACTTGCTTCATGACTGAATGTAAATTAATATTTCTTCCTCATTATAATCCAACAACTTAATAATAATAATAACTACAGCATCTTGAGACAATGTTGCTGTTTATCCCATGCAAGGATTGCTAAATGTACAGCCTAAGAAATTAAAATAGCCCAAACTAAACCAAGAAGATACTTCCAACACAATCTGTGTGATATGCAATGCACATTTCTTAAGCACTAAGAACCCTCACATCACCAAGTTGCAATGGAACACCAACACTGAAAAGTGATCACTCAAAGGGAAGTCTTCGAATAGAAATTTGGACAGAAAAACCAGCCAATCACAGGTACACGTTTCGAGCAAACACAGCAAACTAAATGGGCTCTCACTTTCCACAAGGACTGAACTACTTGCTACATACTAAGAACATTAGGTACCTGACCTAACTGTGTCACAATCTAGGCTGTGGATACAACGATATACTGCTGATAAGAAGTGAGAGCCTCAACCAATACAGGCAGTCCCTTTGAATTACTTGCAAGATGGTGGGTATATCTCACTTAAAACCCAGAGCACTACAGTAGCTTGTCATCAACAGCACTTGCTCATCTGTATCAGTGCTGTTGTGACAATATCTATAGCAATTGTACAATATGAAGTATAGGGCAACTGTCAACTTACAAGCAATTACAAAATGAACTTGTCCCCCTCCCAATCAACTGTCCTACTACCACTTTGCAAAACTTCTAGTCAATACCAATTTTATCCATTAATTACTGAAGAACTCTCCACAAATAGTGAATGAACAGGAAATTGATCCAATATTCGCTTTATCCTATTGCTTCTGGACAAAGGAAATGTGCTTCATTTTATGATAGCAGAAAGAAAAATAGGAAAGAGAGGAATGAGCTGATGGTGGTCTCTTTAACATTGTGGAAGTTCACTCTCAATAGGACAGTGAATCGACATGTTTCTCTTATCCTGGTGCTCAGTGTCTCCATCAAATTGTTTTCACATTCCTTCTCATCTGGAGTCTTTCCTTACAGTGCATCATCTTATTAGAAGGGCCTTGGACATACAAAGACAGGGCAGACAAATTTGGACATCATCAGAAGTCCCCTTGATCCCTTTACATTTCCGATGCTGGGACAGCCAGCGCCATCTAGTGTGTTGTAGCTATCACCTGTGCACATTCCCTCTGTCAATTGTGAATACTTCTTTATTTGCTGCTCTCCTCTGGTTCATCAACATCTTGCTCTCCACCTTTTTCCAAGAATTCATTGAAGATGTCCCGAAATCTTGTCCATGCCCTTTCTGGAATGGTGATGGCAGTGCGGAAACTGTTTCGGGCCTGCGAGAAACAAAAAATAGTCTCCTTTACACTGTACCAAATTGGGATAATACTTTCAGTTATGTACATATATTACTTTGCTAACAAAAGTGAACGCACTGAACTCTGTTCCTGGTGTATTTAAAAAAAAAAAAACAAATTATCTTTAAGTTACCAGTTTTAAACTCTAGACTAGTTGTTGATACACAAGTTCATGTACCTGAGACTCTACAAGGAAAGATATAGACAATTTTTCAAAACAATTCATTATAATGCTTAGCTAAATTAACTTATATTTGAAATAAAAATTGAACAGGCAAATGTGACTTATGGGTTAGTTGAATATTAAAAATAAAAACAAGAAAAAGTCTTGTTTAAGTTTGTTGTAACTGCAGATATGAAAATTAAGTAAAAAAGTTGGATACAAATGGCAACAGGTCAACTTCTAAAGCATAAAAAACACGATTACAAACCTGTACCTCTGAAACCCGCATGAACACCCCACGTCTGTTATGACCAACATCAAAGTAGAACACTTTATTTTCTGTTCTCAAAGACCTTGATTCTGGTAAATCTCCAGCAGGCTCTAAAATGTCAAAAACATAATAATTTAAAAAAATTCCATGCCACAAAATAGTTTATCATGTTCAGAAAATATCTATAATGTAATCCAAATGCTCAGATGCTACACATAAGTTTTAAGTGTGGAAGTTAAGCTAAGAATCAGACGGCAGCATGACAGACTGACTCTTGAGGGAGCAGATTTTGCTGAACTGAACCTCACTGTCACTGACCTTGTTGGAAATACATACCATGGTCATCTGTGCCAAATTCATCGAGGAGATCCGTAAGGGCATCACGAAATTCAATCATACCCTGGGCTGGGATTGCAATTTGTGAACGAGGCCCTCCACGAGGAATTGTTTGTGATACCTGTGAAGAAATACAATTGAAAAAAAATTTTTTTATGTTTTAGTTTAAGAAGTGATATCCTGAATCCCATTCTTAAAATTCTCTATATATTTCAGATCTTGAAGGGGAAATAGGTGAGACATTAATAAAGTAAAGTAAAACAAAGTAAAATCCACTTCTTGTATACTGCACTCCACATACATATATCGGTGTGGTTTACATTAGATGCCTGTCAATTTTTGGCCCCGATACAGACTGGGTGTTGACGTTCTAGCTTTCTGGGGAGGAAAAAGCCCAGCTGCAGTATGAGGTGATGAATGCTAGTAAATGAACAATATCTTTCACTGCAAGACCAGGACCTTTACCCCTGCTTCAACCCTTAAGTGCCAAGTGAGGAGACAGCAGGTATCATTTATGAAGGACTCGTATGTCCCTGGACAGGATCGAACTCCAGCTCAGAGGCAGACACAAGGCCATCTGGTCTTAATATCAATATGTTTCTGAAAATTATTCTTACCCTTAAAAATCTACCCCTGGCATTCTCTTTTAAATCAAGGTAATATCTTCTGTTGTCTTTGACCATGGTCTCACTTTTCAGTTTGCCATCTTCAGGAAGGTTGTCAGTACTGGCAGGGCCTGTGAACAAAATAGTTCCCCATTTCAACAAACAAGTTAAAACATTAGAAAAGCAAAAATTATTAGTAGATCAAGGTCAAGCCAAGGTCAATAGCAACTTACCCTCTTCCTCATCAGAATGGACAGTCTTTTCTGGGCCTGAAAGTAAGAAAGAAGGTTTCATAAAAAACAACAACCAAGCAGCCACCAAGTTACGATACTTCATGGCAAGAAAGCTGTAGCAGAGGAGGATGGCTTTAATCAAAATTCAGTAACACTGAAAATAATCAAGAACATGCAATCAGTCAGAAAAAATGTTAGCACATAATGCCATTGCATGCATCATTTACCCAAGAAGCCATGGTCATATACTTACACATACTCCTACATGTAATACCTAGCTTTACCTCCCCTAAACAAGATTTTGAAAACTCCACTGTGAATTGTTACTGTGTCGTTCATTTGTAAATGTAATTTAGGGCATATATAAAAAGCAACAAACTAATTGAAAAAAAAAATGACTATCAACTTAACATGAAACATATTTATGTTCTGTTTAGAATCATATGACCTTTTAAGGCCAAAAGGATATTTAATGGTGGGCACTCAAATGAACTGTTGTTAATTATTTTTAAACAGCTGAAAAAGTAAACGCATAGAGGAATTTCAATTCACTTGGATCCACCAGATTGCCTTAGCTTGGATTGAACAGAATATTGAACCATTTTAAGATTTCCCAGGACATAACAATTTATCACTTGAGACTATAATGTTATTGTCCACCAAATGGGGGATCAGGAAAGTGATCAAGAAACAGCAGCACAGTCCACCTCTCAGAGTCCAACTCACAGAAACCAAGAGTTGGAGCTCCCATGGGAGTATTCCAGCATGGTGAGCCAGCCTTTCCCACTGGACGGGTGGAGGAAGGACTTCCAGTTNAGGCCAAAAGGATATTTAATGGTGGGCACTGAAATGAACTGTTGTTAATTATTTTTAAACAGCTGAAAAAGTAAACGTATAGAGGAATTTCAATTCACTTGGATCCACCAGATTGCATTAGCTTGGATTGAACAGAATATTGAACCATTTTAAGATTTCCCAGGACATAACAATTTATCACTTGAGACTATAATGTTATTGTGCACCAAATGGAGGATCAGGAAAGTGATCAAGAAACAGCAGCACAGTCCACCTCTCAGAGTCCAACTCACAGAAACCAAGAGTTGGAGCTCCCATGGGAGTATTCCAGCATGGTGAGCCAGCCTTTCCCACTGGACAGGTGGAGGAAGGACTTCCAGTTAATATTCAACCAGCAGATGCCATTAACAGTGGAGCAAGATCATGATACTTCATCGAAACAGAATATTTCCCAAGTTTGTTTGGTCGTAATTTTTTCCCCAACGAAAATTATCAAATCACGCTTCTTTCAAATTAATTACTTATTAAGTGAGCATCCCCTAAGCATGTTAGTTTTTCATTGTTCAACACATAAGTCTGAAAAGTGAAAGGTCTGTCAAAAAATTTCAATAATTTCAATCATTTGGCACTAAATTAGTTTTACTGTTAAAATGAGAAATTGTTAGTTAAATGATAGACTTTAACTACATAATCATTACATAAGGTAAAACTCAATCCAAAAATAAAAATAAGTACAAACTGTAACACTAAACAAACAAACAATATGATCAATTTGTAGTCAATAGAGTTCAACTAGCAGATTAGACAGAGAAACATTGAAATTTGGTGCAATACTCCACCTCTTCTTCTGTATTATTATATTTTAATATATTTTAAGAAATATTTAATAAAATGTATTTTAATGTATTTTAAGAAAAGTTAAGAAAAAACGCACTCATTATTTCCATTAAACATGTACTGTTTCTAACCAACCAGTTAATCTCTTAATAATCCCATTTCTTGTGCAGCACAAACAACAGGAAACTTTCAATACCGTGTGCTGCAAAAGAAATGTACCATTCCTTTAGTTAATTCTTATTACCAAGAGATGCATAGTGTTCACTGAATTCCGTCAGATGGTCCCGGAACTCTGCTGCTGTGGACATGGCCAAGAGAAGACGGCTTTTCTTTCCTCCTGCTCCAACCTGAAACAGCATAGGCAGTTAGTCGCATACTCTCACATGTAAATGTTCCATTAAACATATGTAGCTCTGAGAAGAAAATTTCACACGTTTTATCTTTTTTTGCATTACCACTCTTTAAAGAGGCTCCTTTAAACCTTCTCAACCTTCAATGCTGATCATTAATACTGTTATTTTTTTTATACACAAGGCTTTCTTACCTCTGCAACCTTAATAAATCTCCCCCTTCTGTTTTGTTTAACATCCAGGTAGAATCTCTTCGACTGGATCTGCAGCGTTTTGGTAGCTAGCTCTTGTTCTGAAGAGCCTAAAATCATAGAAAAAAGAATATGTGACAAGTGACTAGCAACGTATCCCTTTTTAACCTAAATGATATATGTTTTGCATATAAAATTCAACCTATTTGAAAATTTTTTTCAATGCATAAAAATACTTAAATACTCAGCTACACAGAAAATTTTACAAAAATCCAACTTTTCATACAGCAAAGCTCATTCAAATTCAGGCAGGTATCTTTTGTACTTAGTTTCAACAAAATTCCTGTAAATATATGCTCCCCATTCCATCTTTGTTGATGAACATGACAGGCATTGACAAGAAGCCTCTTTGGCTATGAAAACATTCTGGCTTTTTTCTCATTTGGGATCCATTACTTCACTGGAGTTTTTTTTATTACTTCCACATACACCTCCATTAAAAATCACTTTCCTGGGTGGTGACATACTTGTGACATGGATGACTAAGGCTAATGAATTTAAGTATCAATGGACTAGAATCTCCCACCAAGTATTCTAGTCACAAACTGAATTCAATATTCACAGCATACTATAGCTAGTAGCATTCCCAAGCAGAGAAGTCAGCTTGACGTAGGTGGTAGATGAAGATATTTAAAATCCTAAATGCTGATCAAATTACACAGAAAAAGAATCGATTCATATATGTAAGGAGATTACATAATGCCATTACTGTTACTCAACTGGCAAGAAGGGGCCTGAATATACTGTTCATAACAAAGATTGATTCCTGTCACTTGCTTATCTATACAATAAAGCAAGAACAAATCAAACAAACAGTTCTATTTTTGCAATTTAACTTATAGAACCCCTACCTACTTTGGCTACACCAAAGAGTGAAAAAAGTAACTAAACTTCTGATGAATAAAAGCACCTGAGGCTACTCTTGAGGGGGCCTTCGATTGATAGGGAGTTCACTACTAATGTGGCTCCACCCCTTCATTTAAATGAACACATCTTCTGGGAAATGAATTTCCTGTTTTTAATGCAGCAAATAAACCTCATCTACAATGTTAAAATTAATATTTTAATCATAGTTTAAATGTCATACTTATGTGTCATGGTTCTGCATATTCTCTTCTTTCGTTGCTGACCTTTTTAACAAAGCCTATCACTTGGCTTCCTGAAGTGTAATCTACAACACCTAATCCACCACTGCACAGCAGGTATACCAATACCCATATTATAGCCAGTGTCTGTGTAAGGCAACTGCTTCACTTATCAAGTCCTTTCCTCTATTTCACCAAATGTAAACTCACATGAAAGAGGTTACTACTACTAGTCTCCCTCACTAAATTTACAAAACAAGCAGTTCACTCCATACTTTGTGAGTAAAATATTACAAATCCCAAAAGAAAACTTTGTGAAAGCTGCAGAAGCTTTTGCATTTTTTCTAATCTATTTTCAAGATGGAAATGGGTTACCAACACTTCAGAAGAACATCCAATTCATCTACTATTCCAAGCAGGGCTTTTCCCAGGCCATCCAAAATTATCACCTGTAATTCCCTACAAAATTTCATGTAGTCCAAGCCATCATGTTTCAAAAAATTATTAGCCATCCAGCTGTCTTTGAAAATGGTGGCCGTCCAGTCCAGTGATACCAGCAGCCGCCCAAATGACGGCTGGACAGTTCGCTGGGAAAAGCCATGATTCCACCTTCATTTATTACTACTCTTTTACTCTTAATACAGAAAATAAGAAAACAAAGTGGGTGCCTAACTAACAAATATAATTTATATGCACTATTTAAGATATCAATACATAAATCAATATAAAGTTCCTCATCATTGAAGACACACCTAGCACATTGAACAGAGTATAATCCCAATTTACAGATTCAGATGGTCACTGTTAGCATAAAAGAAATTATCAGACAACAGAAATAAAAAGTCTTTCGTTTAAAAAATTGTAAAGGCAGTGGGAAGGTAGGGCACAATATCTAACTACCACAATCAAAAATCACATCTGGACCTTTTTCACCTATGTTTTGGTACCCCCCCCCCTCCCCATTTCCCCCAACTTCATCTGAATTTATGCAAACCATAAAAAATGTCCAAAGCACTTTATATACCTTTTTAAACCCAGCATCCTCCCACTGGAACCAAGGCTCACACATGCACATAAAACATAAGAACACTAAATTAATACAAGCACACAAGAAGATAGAGCTGTCAGCGCACACATCAATTTATCAACCTGTCAAACTGCTTGACCTTAAAGTCCCTGCAGAGAACACATCAATATCAATCTAGTTAAAGAAAAAGGACCCACTTCCAAATTGTACATGTCAGTCCACACCTCATCCTACCTGGACAAGTATCTTTAATATACTGACAACCAATGTGTTGGGCAATCAAGGCAAAATCACAATTATGAGAATTGTTAGAAATCTACAGTATCTAGTCTAATTTCTCACTTCAACAACCACATTTCTTTCCAATATATAGCAAAAGGTCATTAAACCCCAACCTCCTATTGCTCTGTCTAGGTCATCTGGTGTTAAGCCTGCCCACTGTAGGTCATCCAGGTAAGAGGTCCACTAGCCTATGCATTCTGTGTCACAGTTCATGCAGCGATAAATGTGAAGTCTGGACATTTTTACCTGGTTGGTTACCAACACAAAGATAAGGGTAACAACAGAAATACTTCTTTTTCCTACACTATGAATTCAACCCTATTTTTTCCTAGCACCTGGGTATCAACATAATGAACTAAGTCAAATTTTGACAGTCCAATGCATTTTTAACTCCGTCATATTCGCTTAAGTAAGTTTAAATCCCTTAAAAAAAGTGTAAAAAGGCATGGTAAGGAAGAGTTGCTTGCCCTTTGGAGGTCATTTAGCAAAATGAATGTTCAACCCAACAAACAATCCAAATCCTGTCATTAAATGCAAACTGTTTGACATGTAAATGAGAATATAATAAATTTATACAATATCCAATTCTACATTATGTCTTTTCACAAATAAAAAGACTGCTGCAAGCTAGTATGTTTGAAGCCATTGCAAAGGAGAGGGAGATTTCAAAATAAATTATGATCGATCTGCTTTAAATGACTAAATATGTCATGTACAAAAATTCAAACTTCCATGAAATTTGACATCACGCACGAAGCCTGGAATGAATTTAGTTAGCTCCAAAAGAAATTTAAAAGAATCAATAATTACCTTTGGATACAGTGTATTGGATAAATGAAGGGTGATTGTGGCGTATCTGACATTAGGTATTAAGGTAAAAGTATTAAAATGCAACCAGAATCTGATTTCAAGGAGTATCCCATGTCGCTGGTTAGCCTCCCATGCCTTCAAGCCCTTTAAACACTCATAATAGGACATATATCACAAATTCTGGGCATGAGATTCCAATGCCATAATTGTCAAATTTGTCATGAATTGTATGAAAACAGTCATGTCTTGTTTAGACACATATGAATAGAGAAACAGCAGCAGCCTAAATTTTGTACATCGGAAAATACATAAAAAGTTCCATTCCATGTCAAAAATATTAAGGCCTCTGCACTGACATTTGCAACATGACGAACAGAAAACATGATGACACAAACATTGCCAAACAACATTGCATAATCCAATGTGCAGATAGAGCAAATCATGAATATCTTTGTTTTCTTTTGACCTCTGCTCGTATCCACCCTAAATAACTATTTATCTTGAGATATATGTTTGCTGCAGCATAGAGCTAATTTATCTTGAGACAAAATCCCTGTGTCTGCAGATTTAGAAGTCCAAAACATATCAGTCTCCTTTCAATGGGAATGCATGTCCATCTGTTCCACATGGTATTTTATAAATCTCTGCCAAAAAATCTGGAGGTTGGGTGTGGCTCCTTTTTAGACAAAACAATGGAAGACAGGTACACATGCCCTCTTGAATGTGAAATGGTATATGGCTACCATCATCAACAAGTGCTCAACGCTATGGAACAACCCTCACTGTCCAAGTATGTGCTATACAAAGGCATAACTTGATTGTATCAGAAAATAAATTATCTTGTTCATTCAGATATCTTCTCCTTCCAGAACATTTATATAATTTTAAATCTCGAGTTAAAACCCATACTCATAAAGCAACGTTCAAATATATATATCATAATAGCTGTTTTAAAAGTATATAAATCTTCTACGCAGAACAAACTGACACAGAGCCCCCATAGAGAATATAGTGCTGCATCCCAAATGACGTACAGACTAGCTGAAATATGGGTTCAAATTTAAAGGCTGGTTTTTATAAAGGATATAATGTACCTACAGTAATTAAAATTAAGTTAAAAAATGATACAAACCCAATGTTAGTAATCAAATATTTTTATACTTTAATCTGTGGAATAGCAGGACTCTATACTTTGCTTATATCCATAACCCCTGTCTGCATCTATTCCAACTTTTATATTATTATTATTTTTCTTTCTTTTAAACACAACTTATAGACAACATGCAATTTTGGCACAAAAGTGAGAGGGTTGAGAAACAGAAATTAACAAATTTCCCTAGCACCATCATTTTCTATCCTTTACCTGGATCGTGACTCTACAGAATGGTGTTACAAACTCACAACTGTCCTTTTAGTACTTTTTCCTTTAATTTGCCTTAAGACACGTGAACATTCATATGCATTCCTTGCATTTTCATTTCCTGCAGTTTTTTTTTTTCTTTCAGCAGATATATAAACTTCATCATTCTAAAAGGACATAATATGCTTTTGGAACATATCTACAGCCTATCTTCAAAAAAGAAAATAAATAAAAAAATAAAATAATAATAAAATGAAGAAAATGTAACACAAAAACCAAAAATCCCACATGTACCACCAGACCAACATTTTTCAAAAATAAGACCTTGCATTCTTCTACATCACATAAAGATCATAAATTAGATAATTTAATCTCATTTGACAGAGAAAGATCTTCCAAAGATATAAAAACCAAAATTTAATAGAAAATTCTGCATATCACCCCCTCCCCCTCTATTCCAAATTGAGATAGCTAAAACCACATTCTATCAATTGCAATTTTCAGTAAGCCCATCAAAACAAGGCTTGATGATGTTGTATCACAGAAAGTATCAACTCGTTCTTTTTCAAAACGCCATGGTTGACAGGACTACAAGAACTCACTGTCACTTTAATAAGTTATACAGCACAACCTATATACAGCTCATACATAGTTACTTTAAATAAGTATTAACAGGACTTAAAATCAGTTCAACCATGGTTATAAATCCACTCCCTAATCAAGCTGACTAAATAAAAGATCCCTGTGGTTATTCCTATCAATATTCAGAGATTTAAAAACTATGGTGATCCCATAGTGGACACCCTGAGCTTCAGAGATAACTTGACACTAACCTCTTCACTATTAGCCTATCTTCATCGTGTCAAGTTACCTCTGACCACATTCGATTGCCTCCGCCGCCCGCCAATCAAATTTAAAGCCCGCACTCAATGACTCATTGAACGATCTAGCCAATGAACGCGAACGAGTCAAAGCGCGCTTTGTTCAAATCCGGACCAATCAAAGATAAGGCTGAATATCAGGGACTTGCCGTAACCTGTGGGCAGCACGCAAAATACATCATCCCTCAGTAGATAATTATGCAGGGCATCAAACTGCTCTGGTTTCAATTCTGATATACTCCATGCTTTCTTTGTGTACGGTTATGCACTCGGAACTACTCGGATGTCTCCGCACTCGACAATAACTATGTTGTTAGTATGGAGCTTGCGGAATCAGCCGAGGATTGCCGATTGACGGTCAACCAATCAGCGTTTTCACCAAACTTTGGTGAAAAATTTTGAAACATGGATTCGATTGGCTTATATAAACTAGGTCAAACTATTTTCGTCAGAGGTAACTTGACACGATTAAGATAGGCTAATAGTGAAGAGGTTAGTGTCAAGTTATCTCTGAAGCTCAGGGTGATAGTGGATGGCCTTGCAATAAATGAAGAAGAAATGCACACCTGCAGCTGTTTTACACTATGTAATGCTAATAATCCACTCTGTTAGAAAAATTCAATGACAATTTAACATGCCCAACTGATCCACAAAGGTATACAACTGTAGTAGTACTTGTATTTAGATTACACTAGTCCATTAAAGCTATATTGAATCTAATCACTCAAAGGAATATATATATATATATATATATATATATATATATATATATATATATATATATATATATATATATATATATATTAGAAAGTGCACAAGTAATGTACTTGAGTGAAACCATTTTATCTATAACTTAAAACATACGGTCTTTGCCACTAGTTTAACATAAATTTTTTTGCTCAACTTCATTGATTTCACTTTCAATGTATGTTACTATATGCTATTGTTTGGATCATCTACATGTACTAAGGCATGGCTCTCAAAATTGTCCAAGCATGTGCCTCCTGGTACAAATCTGATCAGCAAATGTTTTAAAGTACACATGGATAGTTTTTAAGTTAGTCATTCACACTCCTTTCTCAATTCAAGGTGACCACAAATTGAATGTCAAAATAAAACAAATTTTGCAAGCAATACATCAGCAAATTAGAGTCACCATCCCTTTTAACCACAAAACTCCAAAAATATTTTAACCCAAACCCCACCATGGGTTTAACTGAGGAGACTATCTCAATATTTAAGAGAAATGAATTGCACTGTTTTCCATTCACACAAATAGTTTAAAAGCATATTGTGATCCCTCATAAACATCATCATTTACACAGTGTTCCTATATCTATGCTTGTACTCTCGTCATACTGGCAATCTACTTTAAAACATAACAAGTCTCCTCAATAACACAACAAACGTATAGGCGAGTTATCAGTCACTGCAACAACAGAAGTCTACCAAATCCCCCTCCTGTCAAATTCTCACAGTGACAGTATGCTCAACCTTTATATGATGCTTGGTATATAACATGTGTGACAAGTGTATGTTTCATGTTTCCCATTTAATATTTATGTAGAATCTTATCATCTGCATCACACTGTCTAATGCAACAGTTAATTAGACAAATATACCTAAAGCATGCTTGTAATTTATGCACAAACAAACTCTTGAACGCCATTTTGATTTAGGTACAGATGCAATTGACAGCAACAACAACGTTTCAATTAAACATATACTTTAATGATACTACGCATGTTATATTATTAAGAAAACTTACATATCAGGTTATCAGATGATAAGCAAGGGGGCTTTGTAAAAAACAGCTGTCACCAGCTGTCAAACTGTTCACCCCAGGACCAGGGTCCAACTTGGACACCGCAACGCAAGAAGTGACCACCCAACATATATAACAGGATTGTCAAGCATGCGTGGCAGGCAAAATCATATAACTGAGGCGAATGTGGGGAACAAGGGACCATGTTATTTGTATAAGTGCGTTTGTTCAATGCTGTTACCTCTACCCTGCACCTGCTGCTGCTCATCACTCTCTCGATCCGACATGATTCTGCCCTTCCTCCGCAATCGCTGGCCTCCTTCTGAAACTCCTGAATTATTCATAAGCTACTCTCAAATCCCATGTTTGTATGCTTTTGTAATGAAAATAACACTTGATGTATCCAATTGAATGTTTTTTCGAAGATGTAATAATAAAATAAAATTAAAGAAGAAAAATATGGAATTATCATCTAAATAAATTGCGATAATTATTTATTTTGCTTAATCATTTCAAAATGACAAGAGATTAAAAAATTAAATAGGCCAAGTAATTCTAAAATTTGATTGGTTGCTTCTGTTTTTGTTCTAAGTAGGTCAAGTTGTTGCATGGGTGAAACGAAGTGTGCCATGAGTGGTAACTTGTTCGCAATGTTTACGTTTTAGAACCAGAACAACTTAAAATGAATGGGAAACTTTTTTTAATGTTTTGTGTATTTTATTTAGTAATTCATTAAAATTTATCTATCCATGTTATTTATCACTGTCGTTTTTTACGCCGTATAATTTTCATGACTTTTTTCAAAAAACCATCTCCGATAATTGTTTTAAAATTTTGTAATGACATGTATGATAGAGAGAAATCTAGATTAAATTTTTGTGAGACTAAATTTTTTATATGATTTTATTATTTTTAATTATTAGTATTATAACACTTGTTATTAATGTTTTAATTACCAATTCATGCAGAAATGTTTTATATTAAAATGACTTCTACAATTTTTTTTTTTTTTTGGGGGGGGGGGAGATATAAAAAAAATACAATGCTGATAAAACTTGAAACATTTGCTAATTTTAATTAAAATTGTAATTGTTTAGTTATATATTTCTTCTTTTGAACAAATATTTGAGGTTTTTGTATGATTTTCAGACATTTTGTGACATATTGCTATTGTAATATATTTTTGTTTTCAGTTGGTGATTGAAATATTTTTAATACCGTTGCTGTAAAAAGTATTTTTAAATTACCCGCTCTTGAATACCTGTTATTTAAAAACATCATTCAAACACAGTTTGCTCCTCTGTTTGCCTTCTTTTCACTAATAGTTTATCACTTATTTACTTAAGATCAGTCTCAGAAGCTGAGGGGAAGACTTATAGAAATGTATCAAAAGATCAACCCATATAGCATTACCTGCCTCTTTAAACTATCTTTTGATGATTACGCTACACAGACTCTGAAACTAGCTGACGACGATGACCAGTCATTACATGACAAAAACTGTACTGAATGTTGTTTGGATTCTTTGCGAAGAAATGATGTAAAATTGGAAAGCACTTGGAATTTAGTAAACAGCACAGGCTATATGGTGCGTAAAGAGATTATGAAAGTATGAAGGCTTGTCTCTATCCATTTCAGCATTTGGTGTTACTTTTGTAGCATTTTTATATTCATAAAATACATATACAATATAGATAACAGCTTAAAAGCTTATTATTTTAAAATACTTATAATTATTGTTTTCATAAATTAATACAAAATCACTTTTTACCTTTTGGAATTTTTAACAAAGTAAATCACTTCATTTATGACATGCATTCAATTAATATAAATAATACTCTCATGTTTGAATTGCCAGTTTACCCTGCAATGTCTCTATTACAGGACATTTCAGGTTGGAGCGTGTGCAATCACAGACATTTACCCAGAGTAAATACATGGAGGATTTATTCATACAGTGACCCCCAAACTGATTGCGACCAGAAATTTAGGAGGTCTGTAGCCAAGAAAATTGATTCCAGCTCCAAGTCATCATCCAGGTCTGGAAGTGCACGGTCCCTAAATGGTTCTTTTGGCAGAAAGAATCCAATTGTTCCCCCTAGCACCCCTGTAGACTATGAATTTCACCATTATAGAAATCCAAGACAGTACATAGCACAGTATAGGAGGTAATACTTCATATTTATTTCACTGTATATTGTCTGTTTTTATTTAAAAGAGAAAAAAAGAAACCAAGAAAAATGTATTTTGTTTCAAAAAATTAGTAAACCTTGTTAAATAGTGGTATCTCAAGAAGTTTTACTATCTTGAATGTTTCCATAGGGAAAATTATACATCAAAACAGAAAAACAGACAGCCTCTGCCAGGATTTTCTGTCAGCCATCACAGACAGATATCAAAGGCAGGACTGAAGTGTATTGATGTCCGTCATGGTGCAACCATTCAACCATGCTATCATAGGGTGTCAAACTCTTGGGTGCTAAATTATAGAAACTCAGCAATGAAAAAAGACAAGAAGGTTGGGAATTCTGTAGCACTCATTTGCAATAAACATGAAATAATAAGGATAGCATGAATGTTGCCATACACAAATACTGCTAACATCTATTGTTATATTAAATGACGAATTTATTATCCAAATTGCAACAGCTGATAAGTTTTTGTTTATTCTTTTTTTTAATAGTTGCATTGATGTACATGTCAGAAAAATTATCTTGACCTTTTTTTATTTGTCATTATTAGAGTCAAACAGCAACATCAGAGAGTGTCACATCTGCTTCTGGCACAAGTAGTCATGATATCCAGTTCCTAATTCAAAACAAAATGACCTGTCCAAAGTCACCATCCTCTCAAACAATACAGTCCTGTTCTGTGCCAGATATTTCAGCTACACTATTAGATAAGGTGACATCAACTGATAAGGCAGTGCCAACTGATAAAGAGGTGCAAAATTGCCATTTGAAGAGGAAACCGAGCCCTGTGATCAGGAGAAGCAGACCTACCATTCCAAGCAATGCAAATGGCACAGTTTGCCAGTCTGCTATTGAGACTCCCATATACATACTGCCAAGTAAGCAATTTAATATTTCACTTTTCCAGTAGGAGTAGGTTAAGAAAGTGCCATTTTAAAATATAGTTGAATGACGGGTTCAGATAACTAAAAGATCACTTTTTGATATTTTGCTGCCGTTAATGTAGGGGATATTGTATCTAAAGACAAAATTTGTCAAAAATGAAAAAAAAAAAATAAAAAATTCAAACAGTCTGAATGTAAACAGTAGAAATGATGAACATTTATGTACTTTATTTGTTCATTTTTCAGGCACAAAATTGAATATTTATCTACTTTATTTGTTTATTTTTCAGGCACAAAATCACCAAGGATTCATAAAGACGGGAATAAAGATTCAATAAAGAAGAAATAAAGCATATGGAAAAAGAAATATTGTAACAAAGATGGTATCTGACAGGCAAGGTTGCAACATTTCTAGGATGGAGTAATCAGAATTTCTTTAACATCTTTTGTAGATGTACTCAACCTATTCTAAAACTGCATTTATCAAAATAATATGATATGATAAAAATAAGACTTGCCTTTGTGATCACAATTTGAGTATTCTTATTTTGTTTATATTAAACATGTGAAACTATCTTTGACTATGTTAAAATTCAGATGAATATAATCACGTATATTTTGACTTAGTGATCATACAGTTTCATAAATGTTTATCAAAATGTAAAAGTGTGACAGCTTTGAGTAAAATGTATATATATTGCTATAAAAATATTACAAAAATCTGAAATATCTAATTAGCATGTAAACAAAACATTTATGATACAATAATTAACATGATCTGCTTTTGTACATGTATAATGCAATATAAAATGTGCAATGTATAAGCTTTAATAACCCAAAAGTTTAAAAATAAAGAAGGGAAGATGATTCTCTATTTTCAACACAGATATATTATGTAAAATAGTTTTTCTTTCAAAAATCTGACTGGATGGAATAAGAAACATTAGCAACTACTGAGAAGCTCAACTTAATGCCCAAGTATAATAACTAAATAATAAGAAGTTTACATCATTTTGATCTTTCATATACAAGAACTTGTAACTTATAAATATTTGAACTATGATGGTACACCAACATCAACCAGCCCTTTAAATGTCTCTGGGAAGACAAAGAGGACATTGCTCTCAGAGAAAAATATGCAGTCATAATTTCCGTATTGAAAACTGAAAGTACCAATCAAAGTCTACTTTAAGTACATGCAATGGGGTTTTTATCGTAATTTTAGTACCAAAAAGGTATAAGTTTTGTGCCTCTAGTTTTACTAGCATCAAGGCTATGAGACTCTGCCCCTTGCTTGCAAAGATGTTACATATGCACTGCACAATGAATGACAGTTACTTTATTTTTTAGGGGAAAATCATCTTTTCACTATAATAACCATGACACAACATTCTACAAGCTTATAAATTATATTTCCTCTAAAACATACTCTAAACAATTGATCAAATGAACACAACTGATGACAAATATGACTGACAGATAAGTGTATCAATATAGCACCAGTCAATGTAGTGGACTGTGCAAATAACACATTGCAAAATTGGTTTCCTCGATTTAGCAAGCCTATTCACTGGTCTCTCTCTGCTAAAGGGCTGTTTAGATATTAAAATGCCCAAGAACATCAGAGCAAACCACGCAACTAAGGTTTTAATATGATATTTGTAGAAGATCCAGGCAGAGGTCATCTTTCTCACACATAGGTAGGAGCATACACTAGAGGTCCATATGTCACATCCATCACCAAGCTCAACTCTGCTTGCCTTGATATCACTTGGAGCAATGTCTGGATGCACATACCCTGGCCATTGTGATGATAATTCCTGGCTCCAGAAAACACCCCATTATTCCTCCGGTAGTCCCTATTGGGCAAGTTCACATTTATGTCTCGGTGCATTTCACTCAAGTATAGTGTTTATTTTTGTATAATTTTTAACTTTGTTTCTCAACATGTTAAAACATATCAGCTGTTCTATCCTAGTTGCATTTTCTTTCTGCATGCTTCAGAACATGTAGGCAAACAATTACAGTTCAAAGAACTTGTACCTGTCCTGATTTCAGAAACACTTCCGATGCACTATCTGTGGGCCACATTCTTCATATTCTTGATAGTTAACACACATTCCCAAGAATGCAGGCAAACTGGCCAGCACTACACCACCTTGCCAAACAGAATACTTTCTGTCCTCTACACTGGAGATTTTAATACTGTTACTCACACCTGCTGGAACCATGTCACTCAGTTCTTTGAGCAGACGTTCTTTCAGCCCTGGAAGCATGGTGGTTCCTCCTGCAAGGGTTCAGAAGGATCATACTTATGTTTTATAACCATGATAAGAAAGAGTGACAAGTTATTAAAATAAAGTCTTGATCTGCTGACTGTAAGCTACACATTTTTTAGGATCCGAGTCTGATTTCCAGTTACTATTTCTTTTTTCACATACTGACTTTAAAAAAATCACATGGTCACTTAATAGCTCAATAGTGTGTTAAACAGTAATTAGTGCTTTTTATCCAATGTCAATGGATCTTACCTGATAACACAATGTTACTGAGCAGTTCTCTTCTGATGTCCATGTCACACTTATATATGCTATTATAGAGGCTTTCATGGATGCCACCGTGATCTCGCCCACTCAAAGAAGGCTTGAAGAGTATTTCTGGGCATCTGAAAATAATACAATGATATGTACTCAAGATTTTCAAACCATATCTATAGTATTAAAATAGGAGATATGTAACTAAAAGAACCAACATTTCAACCTTGTTAATTCAAAAATCTGTTGTTATGTTTTGTTTCTATATTAATATAATATTTAAAGTTTTTAGGGGCTGTTATTATATATATTTTTTTTCAACAAGACCATAAATATAGCTAAGAGCTATTTCAGATGGTAATAAATTGACAAAAGTATTGTTGGCAACCTTTCAAATCAGCGCCTGGTTCAGACACATTACCTGTATCTCTCAGAAGCAAGTTCAATGATGCGTCCATCAGGCATGGTATATTGTTCCTCATTACTCTGCTTCTTTTCTTCTACTTCAACATTCTCTGCTACATAGCACAACTGTTCTTTGATATCTCTGGCCACCTCTGTCTCTGCTGTGGTAGTGAAGCAGTGTCCTGATGTATTAAGCAGCTGTGAAAACAAAATAACTTCAGTTAAATAAAAAGTACTGTAACAAAAATTGTTTAACTTGTACACTTTTTGTTAGTTTCAATGCTGAACCATGAGGTCTTGAAACAGTTATTAAAAGCATATTATACCAATGAAACAAAGACTTCTTCATATATATTATTTACCCTGCTGTAACATATACAGTATGTAACTACCCACTCTTTCACCAAGTCAAAAACCTTGTAGCTTTAAATGACAATGTATGACATTACTGAAAAATGTTCTCTTTTTCTCACTACTAATTCCATTTTACCTTCATCAAATACTGTGTGAGATCTCTGCCGGCTAAGTCTATTCTCTGCACAGCATGTGGCAAGCAATACCCTTCATACACTGGAACTACATGACTGACGCCATCACCACAGTCCAATACAACGCCTGTTCAAACAAAAGAATACAGCATTAGTATTTCTTTCTCAATATCATTCAGTTTAGAAAATGAGAGGCATTTCTGTTTGTTTCAGCATGCTTAAATAAACATGAAGTACTTAAACATATTCCAATATACAACCCAAATTAAAAAACACAGTGTTAACAAATGATTAAATATACATCATTTCTGTTAACTAATACTTAAGACAGCCTTCCACAGTTTTTTTATCACTTAAGAAACTGGCTTTTTCATACACCACCCTTACCTGTTGTTCTTCCTGACGCATACAGAGACAGAACTGCCTGAACTGAGATGTACATGCATGGAACCCCAAAGTTCTCAAACATAATTTGTAGCATTCTCTCCCTGTTTTGTTTTGGGTTGAGTGGAGCTTCTGTCAGTACCAAAGCATGCTCATCGGGCTGGATTCTTAACTGATCAGCAAATGCATGATGCCATATCTGAAACAAAGCAAATACCACAAAAAAATAAACAGTAATTCACAAACAAATTTAGTGTAAGTCTAGTAAGGCTTTTTTTTTTTGCAAGTTTAAGTGTGATTTTTAAAATATTCAGACCAGTCACAGGAAGTCAAAAGTCCTGGTATGTGATTTAAACCCTACTTTCCAAGTCGATCCCATAAAAAAAACTTTTTTTTTCGAATTCACAAACAAACATGCCTTTTCCATATCGTCCCAATTAGTGACCAGACCATGTTCTAGTGAGTGTTTCAAGGTGAGTACTCCACGCATTGACTGGGCTGCATCTCCAATGTAACAGTCCCTGTATCTGCCAATTAAGATGTCCTAAAATAGAAGTACACGGTAATGCACTACTGACAAGGTCCAACAATCTTTTGTTCCCTGTACCTCAAAATTTTTTGTTCCCTGTACCTCAAATTAACTTAATTAAGGCAACTGTGATGGTTACTTTAGACTTCCATTTGAGAATAAAATCATAAATAGGATTCCCACTTACCTCATACTTGGGTCTTCCCACTACAGAAGGAAAAACACATGATGGGAGATCTTCATTGGCAAATCCACATTTACACAGTCCACTACCATTGTCTAACACTACAGTTGTCTTTAGATAATCTAACTGAAGTAGACATGAAAGAATGATCAGTGATACCATAAGATTGTTTAAAAATCAGAACAATTTTGAACTTAAGTTTCTTGTAATTCTTTACAAACTGGAATCATCTCTCAACAAGGCTTGAAAAGTTTGAAATGGCCCAACCTATGCACAGCCTACTGATACAATACTGAATGAAATCAAACTGAAAATATGCAAGCTGAGATATTAATTATTAACTCAATTGAAAAAAAAAACAGAAAATGATTGACCAAGAACCCATACAAGAAGCAAAGAAATACAAACAGGATTTCGCTAATCTTTCAACACACGCAAAACAGTAAAAACCGAAAACAGCATAACATAAATTCAGCATATTTCCATTGAATGCAGAGATCACAACAAAAAGTAAGATAGTAAACAAAGTAAATTCTGTTCTTTATCACTGGTTATAAGGGAAAAAGAGAAATAAAGCATCTCAGATAGAAGCAAGCAAAAAGAACCAACCTCAGGAGGATAAAAGTTAGCAGCCATACTGGGCAAAGATACAGTGGAGGATGCATTCTCCTTGATTCCTAACATCCTGTGTTCTTGATACACTGACTCTAACCTCTGACGAGGTGAACCATCGACATCATCATATGACACACCATGCTCTGGCTGAACTGCAGCCAAGTTTCCTTCCAACACTGTTGGTTTTACCATTTCTAAATTATTTGGCTCCACATTTCTGTTGTTTTGATCACCAGAAACCATAGCTAGGTCAATTTGATCAGTAGTCTGTATACATCTGAGCTCCTCTGTTGATATTGAGGGCAGTTTCCGATGCCCATTCTTCTTTTGCATCTTGGTTTTACTTGCAACAATGGATTTAGAAATATTTTTATGAGACTCAAGTTTTAAAGATGAAGAGTTGTGAAGAGATTCAATCTTTTCAGCTGTAACATTTGATTTTGTTTTCACTGGTATTTTGCTTTTCATGGGATCTTTCTGATCTTGAGTGCTTTCTAGTTCACTTTGTGAAATTACAACACTTTTCTGTACTAATTCAACTGATGTGTTTGTGTCCAATGTATTATCTTCATCTTTCATCTTCACAGGCAATTTACTTTTTGCTAATTTGGACCGTGTCTTTCTAGTTGACTTTGCCTCTTTCCTTTCCTTTGTTTCTCTTCCAACCTTACTAGTTTTACCTTTCAATGAATTTCTTGTGTTCATTTCTGACCCCTGCATTTCCTCAGATCTCTTCTCTCCCACTGGGCTAGAATCCCCTTGCGCCCTCTCCCCATCAGTAATAGTATCAAGTGCCACTCCCCTGTGTCCTTCTACCTGGTCTAACCCATACATGTCCAACTGTCCTGCTGTAGCAAGAGTTTCCAGAAATGGAAGCTCTATTTCCTCTTCCTCCTCTCCTTCTTGTTCAGTAGAATCCCCATCATATGCTGCCATCTGTTGGTCAAAGTTTATGTTAATATAGTTTTTCTGGCCCTCTTCCTTTTGTGTGTTGCAAAAGCTGGCATTCATGTGAATTGGCGTGCCTTGCATAAACTGAGCATGTGTTTCAGCGAACACTGCATCAAAATGACTCCTTTCAGAATTCTTTAGGACACCACCAATGTCTGTATAATCTGAAACCCTCTTCTCTTCAGGTTTTCTGTTTTTATCAAAAACATCAATTTCCAGCTCAGTCTTGGTCCTTACTGGCAAAGACCTTGTATATCCACTGATTTCAGAGTCAGAAATCACACTGGCAAATTCAGGTGGGACTGGTAAGACATGGCATGAGGACATAGTAAAGTCACTTGGGGTACTAGACTTGGTCCTTGTCTGTGGGTGCTCTGTCAGGCTTGGGGCTGTAGCACTAATTTCCACTTCAATTGGCAAATGACCAACAAAAGAAGCATTAGCAGTAACTGTTCCATGATCATTGTAATCACAGGCAGCTGCAGCAACACTTTCCAAAGCATCATGCCCACTAAAACTAGTATTTGGGTTCATAGCATTACAATCAGAAACATCAAAGACAAACCCATCACCTAGAGTATTAGTATTAGAACTGTTAATACCAGAAGAATAAAAATCAACAGCCTCGTGATACGAGGGCAGAGGAATGTTAGTGAACACTTCGTCATCCTGTTTTCCTCCATCTGAAGAATACCTGTCTAATTTCACATCTCCTGGTGTTTTCACCATATCTTCTTTATGGTTACTGGTTTCATCTTGAGCAGTTGGCATATCTCCATTTCCTCCAATTTTTGGTATATTTGGTCCGCTGCCACCATAATCATCACTATGGATAATCTCATCAATGTGTTTTTCCTGCAGAAGAACTGCTTCCTCTTCCTAAAATCAAAACACCACCACCTTATTTCAAGTAATTATCAAATTGTCGCTAATTTTATACATATTATGTAGAAAACTAGAACTTATCAATGGATCCGATTAATACCAATAAATCACTTTTTTGGAGGAGAAATTGTAAACAGGGATGAGGATAAATTCAGTTATTTTTACTAAACTTGCACGTAAATTTCACTTTCCCTCTATGCGTACATAACATAAAATAATGTAACTGATTAAAATTTGTACAGGACTGGATGAAATAAAAACCAGGGAAAGAAATATCGTATAACCTGATTATAAGAAATTAAGCCAGTAGGAGCAGATATTTTTCTTAAAAATTCAAAAGTTCAAGTCATAACATATTCCTATATTATAAATAACAAATACTTCAATCTAAAATTAAATGCCATTTATCCTTGTTCTACCTGTAACAGCTGCTCTGCCCTCTTCAGACTCTCTGCAACCTTTTGCTGCAGCTCTTCTTGGAATCCTGTGTCAGATGAAGAGTCTTCTTCTTTTTCCGTTACCTCAGCGTGTTGAGTATTTGGATCACATTCTGATTGAGCCCTGAAGAGAAACAATACATTAAATAAGCTTCAACAATGCTTTACCATCTGTAAGGAAAATATAACAAGGCTGCTTAAGTTTTGTGATAGCAATGATTGTAATGATATCATAAATCTGGACAGCAATGCTGGTAACTATACAGAAACTTTAAAAAAAGTCATCCCCATCGCTCCATTTTTCCTCTCTGCTATGCAACCATTATTCCAAGTTTCATTCCGTTGCCATACATAAACTATTCCTATATCTTACTTCTGTACACTGCTTGGTTTGCTTGGTTTTTGCCCCTCTGTTCCAGCTGTGCCTTCATCCTGGTCAGAGGCTGCAAGGTGACCTAAAGTCTCATCCATCCATTTATGTATGTCTATCCCATAATCATAGTCTGCCTCTCTTTCAATCCATATACCATGCTCATCAGTCAAAATGGAGTCATTTTGAGTGCCAACATCTGACTGACTATTATCAGCCACCTTTGGAACTGCTTTGTTTTCTAACTGGCTGACTGACTGACTGACCTGTGAGATTGACGGATCGCTGTCAGGCCCATAACTAAGTAAGGACTGGTCAGATTCAGCAAGAATACCCATATTTCTAGCCATTGCCTCTTTTACAAATTCATTTTGTGCAAGTTCTTCTGCTGCTTGTTTCTTCTGAATTTCTTCCAATTCTTTCAGTTGAGCTCTTGATAACTTTGTTAATGATTTTGACTTCTTCTGATTTTTAAAGCGCTTTCCACTCTCCACCTTTGGTTCAAATAAGGCAAGGGAGTCATTTTGTAGTTCCACAGGCAATTGTGTTCCTACTGCAGCATGATTTTCTTCAGCCTCGAACAGAGCAGCCATCAGGTTCAACTTCTCTTCTGGAGGTAGATCGCTCTGAGCAATAGATTCCAAATTATCATATGTCAATCCCATTTTACTACTCATAGAACTCCTTGGACTTAAAGTATTGGCAGATGATAAATCATACATGCTTTTAGCTTTCCTTTGCCTATCTTTTTTTGATTTGTCTTTCGACTTGTCCCTTGGCCTCCGCATCCTAGAATCCATGGTTTTTGAACTCTCAGCAGGTCCAGATATTTCAGTGCCACTTCTATAGTGTCCAATACCAGAATCTGCTATACTCCCATTCTGCTTCTTCCCTTCTGCTGGCAACCTATAAATGAATGATAGAAGCAAGTTACATATATATATATATATATATAGAAGTAGAGAAAAAGTACTGAACTACTTAACAATAAGTTCAAAAGTCTAACAAAACTATTTTCACCTATCCAGAGAAACAGTTGATGGGGTATATATTTTCAGTTATTTGTAATATTGATTTAGGAGGCTGACAAAACTATATTGCGCCACATTAAAAAATAATATGCTCAATTTTCCTTTTTGACATACCTTGTAATTTTCATGGCTCTGATCTGTACATTTTCTGGGGACTCATCAAAGATGAGGGCAGGGTCCACATGCCGGAGGGTAGCTGGCAAGTCTGGTCTTGCAACAGGATAGCTAAGGTCAACATATCTCTCCTGTTTACACCTTTGAGGAAGAGCATCATCACCTTGGGCTTCAGCAGTTCCATTTGTCGTACTGCTAGTGCTATGCTTCTTTAATGGTTGGCTTTGGTCAATCCTTTTCTTTGATCTAGACTTCTTTTTAATAAGAATATCCGGCTTTCCATCATCCGTGCTGTTTTCTTTGTCAGCATTGTAATGTTTGGATTCCACTTTTTGTCCCTCTTTTTTAGCATACTGTTTTGGCAATGTCCTTGCAGATTTTGATTTTGGCATGTGAGTCCACTTATTTCCCTGCTGTGGCTTCTCTTCACTTCCCTTGGCAATTTGTATATTGTACATTGACTTACAATTTCGACTTCTAAGTTTTGGTGCTCTAGTAAGAGAACCATAAGCACTACTCTGACGAGAACTTGGTCTTGATTGGTCAGCTTGTAAGCTTGCCTGTGACTGGCCCAGACTGGACACTTCAGAGGAGCTTGCCCCAAGGCTGATGTCATCCACACCCTCCAGTATGTCTTCCTTCCACCTTAAAATATCTCTCATGTCTTCTGGTGTTACTCTTCCGTGTCCAACAAGTAAGTTCTTTAGTAGATTCACCCTGTAATTTTTTAAAACCAGCTTATCACTATGCTTTCTTTTTTTTTTTAACATTTGGGGCCAATTCAGTTCAATCCACAACATTACTTCAGAAAAGCAGCAACATTATAAATAATAATTCTGTATGGCTCAACTTGCTTCGGTATGTTTCAAATAAGAATTCAGGATAAAATATTTTAACAAACTGTTCATTTAAATTATCTATGATGTGCATTTAACAGCTTGATCTTAAATATCTTAAATACCAATTATCATACCTGTGTGCCAGCAACCTTGCTTTGTTCCTAGTTTTCAAACTCTTCACTAATGGTACTGTATCTTTGAGATCTTGCAGATGAAGTGCACTAGGTGGGGGATGGTACTGCAGCAAATACTGGACATTTTCATCCCAGTCTGGAGTACTGGTCAAACTGACCACTGCATGCGAGGCAGGGAAACGGTGAAGATAGACGGGAATAAACTGTAGGGCCTTGTGATACCACCTTGATACCTGCCAAAACATGTGTAAGCAAATTTATCATTTCTACTGCAGACTATACTGGGAAGTAGCATTCAAATCAAAACATAGGAAATAAAAGGGGAAAAGGATGGCATTGAATTCAAATATGTTACATTGTAAACTTTGTGAAAAGAATTTTCAAGTATCTTTTGTTATGACTAAGACCTTATAATAGAACTAATATTTCACTTGAATCTATGTCAAAAATTACCATAATATTCAGACTCAAATAATACAATGTTATTAATTCAAAGCAACAGTTATATAAATGCAGGTAAGTTATCCCAAATATCCCAACCTACCTTAGCCAGAAGTACATAAAATTGATGAATATCCCTGTAAAGCTTGTAGCGTTTTTCTAAGTTCCCCTTGAACTCTACTACCAGGGATTCAAACTTCCTGGAAAAACTAAGGGCCTGTCTGATATCCATTTCTCCTGACACTACTAAACGCTCAGCTCTGCTTATCAGTTCCTCTGCCTCAGAAAGAGCTTTCTAGAATATATCATAACAAAAATCAAAGAGTTTTCCAGTATCAGGCCTACCCAACTACCAGACTCGGCACCGAATGCTCCAGAATTCACCGGTAGATCAGACCACACTACCCGTTTTCAAGGTATGTATCAGATCGCATTACACAGTATCATACCCTGAACAAATTTTGAGTGGTGATGCAATGCTTTTCAACCCCGCTAAGAATCGTCACTATCACATTGCGTACAAGGCAAGAGCGGTTTCGTGCCTGATACTGTGTAATGCGATCTGATACACACCTTGAAAACGGGTAGTGTGGTCCAATTTACCGGTGAATTCTGGATCATTTGGTGCCGAGTCTGGTAGTTGGGTAGGCCTGAGTATCATTTCTTAAAAGTAAAATGAGCTTGTAATAACCTCTAAAACATCCACTCTACTTTATTACCAGTGTTAATAATGATGATAAAATGTGATATTGTAAAAAAATTTGAATGAGAGAGTAATGAAATTAAGCAGGTTTTCCAAATCAGTAAAGAAAGCAAAACAAAGTATCCTGATGGCATATCTACCTTAGCTGCTGAATAAAAACCAGATTCAAAGTGTTCTTTCACCAACTCTGCCTGTTTCAGAGAATCAGCTATATGAGGCTGCTGTTGTTGGAGACTGGGAAAACCTACCCTTTCCAGCCATCTGTAAACCTGCAATAAAATGGGAGCAAATTAAGTTTTATTAATCAATAATTAATAGTAATAATCAAAGCTATATGGAAAAAAATTTTCTGTAAAGTATATATATATTTGGATATTCTCACCACTAATCAACACACAATTTAAACTAAAGGGAATTCTTAATCATAACAATACATAAGGGAACAAAAGAATGGAGATCAGCAATATTGTACACATGCCTTTTCAGCTTGCAACTGATACTGGCCTAACTCTGCTGCCTGGATAACCTTGCCTTCTGCTTGTTGCCATGTAGACTTTAAAGATTTTCTTGACTCCATCAGTTGCTGCCTGTGTCTGTGTATCGTGGTACTACTGTCTGTAAACATTGTCATATGGCACACATCTTGATACACTGGTTGTAGCTCTGGATGGGTCAATTTTTCAAGGCACTCATTGCACTCATCTATCAGAGGCTCTATGTTCAATTCTCTGAAATATATATATATATATAGGAGACAGAAGTTAAAACCATACAGAAGCCCAATAAAAATAACAGCCACTGATAATATGTTGGCAAAACAAGTGTGAACATGTCATCTCTAAGACTTCCAATATAAAAATGTCTGAAGCACCTGCTTGGGGAAAGATTACAAAGGAAATATCATTCTTGTTACCATATAAAACTCACAACATCTGTTACTATAAATAACTTAAGGGTAAACATAATCAACAATATAACTAATCACCAACAATTAATTTCTTACCATCTGGCAGCCAAATGAAAGACAATGAAAAAAGGTTGCCAAAAATAATAACAAAAATAACAACAATAATAATAATATGGATTCCAAACTATTATAGAAACTATAACATTCTCCTCACCTCATCACCTCATGGTACCTGTCAGACATGTCAGACAGTAACTGTTGCATCTCCTCTGAGGACATTGGTGGGTCATACTCCTGTAGCAGGTGGATCTTGTCAAAGGCATCTGGTAATTTACCATAGACTTCTTCAATATCCTCATACAGCTGGTCAATTACCTGCAACACATAATGAGAAATCCGTGCAGAAAGGGTTTCCTTTGATAAGACTTCTTTATTATATAAATATGGTTATTCACTGGCCTAACTGTTCCATAACTGANACCAACAAAAATTTGTGACGACAAATGCAACTCTAAAGACATTCCAGCATTCTTGAGAAGTATAAGATGGCAAAATAAGTTTGTTTCCTCATGTTGTAGTGAGTGGTGACCTCCAAATACGTTTGGTGCAATCGCTAAAGTAATAAACAAGCGTTCATAGGTACCCGCACTTAACTGCACACATGCGCAGTTACATCTGTACAGGTGTCGATTCCGGTAAGTTATCCGGATCGCGCTTAGAAATCCACCTCGCTTGCAGGATTTTGAAAATGCGCATTGCAAAAATCCTCTTGCGTTCACACTACTGCATTTATTCGAATTGTGACCTAATTCGCAATTTATCCGGATAACTGAGCGTAGTGTGAACGGGGTATCAGATAATAAAATGCTATTCATTCAAAGCAACCATTATATAAATGCAGGCAAGTTATCCCAAATATCCCAACCTACCTTAGCCAGAAGTACATAAAATTGATGAATATCCCTGTAAAGCTTGTAGCGTTTTTCTAAGTTCCCCTTGAACTCTACTACCAGGGATTCAAACTTCCTGGAAAAGCTAAGGGCCTGCCTGATATCCATTTCTCCTGACACTACTAATTGCTCAGCTCTGCTTATCAGTTCCTCTGCCTCAGAAAGAACTTTCTGGAATATATGATAAAGGAGATCAAAGTGTTAACTGTTTTCCAGTATCATTTCTTAAAAGTAAGATAAGCTTGTAATAACCTTAAAAACACCCTCTCTACTTTATTACCAGGCTTGTAAATAATGATGATAGAATGTTAAATTGTAAAAAAAAAAATTTTGAAGGAGAGAGTGATGAAATTGAGAACTAACAAGTGGTTTCTCCAAATCAGTACAGAAAGCAAAACAAAGTATCCTGATGGCATATCTACCTTAGCTGCTGAATAAAAACCAGATTCAAAGTGTTCTTTCACCAACTCTGCCTGTTTCAGAGAATCAGCTATATGAGGCTGCTGTTGTTGGAGACTGGGAAAGCCTACCCTTTCCAGCCATCTGTAAACCTGCAATAAAATGGGAGCAAATTAAGCTTTCTTAATCAATAATTAATAGTAATAATCAAAGCTATATGGAAAAAAAATATGTTAAGTAAATATATTTGGATATTCTCATTACTTATCAACACACAATTTAAACTCATGGGAATTCTTTATCATTACAATACATAAAGGAGCAAAAGAATGGAGATTAGTAATTCTGTACACATGCCTTTTCAGCTTGCAACTGATACTGGCCTAACTCTGCTGCCTGGATAACCTTGCCTTCTGCTTGTTGCCATATAGACTTTAAAGATTTTCTTGACTCCATCAGTTGCTGCCTGTGTCTGTGTATCGTGGTACTACTGTCTGTATACATTGTCATATGGCACACATCTTGATACACTGGTTGTAGCTCTGGATGGGTCAATTTTTCAAGGCACTCATTACACTCATCTATCAGAGGCTCTATGTTCAATTCTCTGAAACATATGTAGCAGACAGAAGTTTAAACCATACAGAAGCCCAATAAAAATAACAGCCACTGATAACATGTTGGAAAAACAAGTGTGAACATGTCATCTCTAAGACTTCCAATATAAAAATGTCTGAAGCACCTGCTTGGGGAAAGATTACAAAGGAAATATCATTCTTGTTACCATATAAAACTCACAACATCTGTTACTATAAATAACTTAAGGGTAAACATAATCAACAATATAACTAATCACCAACAGAATTAATTTCTTACCATCTGGCAGCCAAATGAAAGACAATGAAAAAAGGTTGCCAAAAATAATAACAAAAATAACAACAATAATAATAATATGGATTCCAAACTATTATAGAAACTATAACATTCTCCTCACCTCATCACCTCATGGTACCTGTCAGACATGTCAGACAGTAACTGTTGCATCTCCTCTGAGGACATTGGTGGGTCATACTCCTGTAGCAGGTGGATCTTGTCAAAGGCATCTGGTAATTTACCATAGACTTCTTCAATATCCTCATACAGCTGGTCAATTACCTGCAACATATAATGAGAAATTCGTGCAGAAAGGGTTTCTTTTGATAAGACTTCTTTATTATATAAATATGGTTATGCACTGGCCTAACTGTTCCATAACTCATAAACCTGTATGATCATATGTGATCAAGACTTTCAAGGCGATAAGGTAATTCCAGCAATAAAATTAACAAAAGATGCTGAATGTTTTGTTACTACATGTCTTTGATATGACTTGTGAATATTTAACCACTCTGTCTAAATTCTGAGTACATGGAATATCCATATTCCCATTCCTGCTAAATCTGCACACAGCTCTCTTAGACTAAGCATAACATGACTGATTGCTAATCTACAAATTCTGTATCATAACGAAAATTCTAAATGATTAAGATAATGGGATTGAAATAAGCCAGCACGTGAAATTCTCATTACATGGATATAATCAACTATAAGTACAATGTAAAATCATGAGAAAAGTAAAAAAAAAAAAGACTCCCCATGTTATTTATAATATTACTTTGTAGGTTCTAGACACATCTTGCAATAATACCCCACCTAACAAGACCTTTCAAAACAAAGGACAAAACACCAAACACTGTCCAAACATACTGTGCAGAAATAATTTATGAAAGAGTTTCTTCTGTACATTAAGCTGATAGGTACCCAGGCCAACTGAGAGGTATGTAAATAATTCATTCCAAAAGCATCATGCAAACATATAGTTATCATAACAAAGGAATTAAGGCAGCAGAGTCCCACCTAAGGAAAGGCTATCTTTATTTAATCATCTTTCTATTAATTAATATAAACTCCAACATGACACCATGTAGAATAAACCCATTTTCCCTATATTTTAACCACATACACTTGTCTCTTGGTCACTTAAAACCTTCATCTGATTTCTGTAACAGAAGAAATATAAGTCATAGAGCTTTACACGAAACAGAGGAAATAACTGCAAGCTGGATTTGAGCCATTGGTCTCCACAATTTTGCGCAAGGCAATTGCTTTACCTGACTTAAACCATGTTTCAATAAGATAACAATAGTCTGTGCCGTGCATTCCTGCGTGTCGTGACTCCACACAGAATGGAGCACTGCACTGCACATATTCTTTAGCATCACCTAAGAAAGGAATCTCCGGTGCATTTCTGAAATTTGCACTACATATGAAAATAGAGTTACGTTAGAGGTTCACCCCATAATCAAATATCAATAGTAGAATCTAGATTTTAACTATGGATTACATATGCATTCATGATGGATGGGTCTGGGGTAATTTTATAAATCAAACTGCTAAAAGGAGGGTTGGGATTCCAATTCCATCAATACAATAACTTCTTGATAAGAAATATCTTGCTTTTACCTAATCATTCAGAAAGCTGACTATTTGGACCTTTTGTGTGTTTTTGCATGCATGAGTTTATATTACATTAGTTTCAATGACTCCATAACAAAAGCTATTGTATGCAGCTGCTAGCACCAGGCCAAAGAGTAAACAACTTGAGAATTAATGACCTATGAAATGCAGAAATTGCCTATACATTACATTTCTATGACCAAAGCACAGCCACACCTCCAGTGCTTAAACTATTGGTTGCAGGTCTTTGACTTTGCCCTAATATTGTACCCCTTGCAGATTGGTAATTATTTTCTCTTTTACATAGATTTTTGGTGTTAATTACATGATGACAGTGTAAATAAGTTATACTTCAGAACATACTGGGAAAGGGACTCCATATTATGCATAAATTTCTCTTCGAATATCATTGGCAAATACACAAAATAACAATTTGCTTTGCTTTAACAGGGGACAGTTAAAATATAACAGTTTCAGTGAGAACTTCAGACTTCGTCAAAACTGGGATGAAAATGAACTGTAAATGGCACCCTCTAACATCCTACAAACTTGCTCTAAAAGAGTCCTGTAGACATTTTATGATTAAAACCAATCTAAAGCAAGTATTATGTAAATGTGTACATATACCAACTGCTGCACACTTACATGAACAATCAAAACAAACATGTATATTTCACAAGGAATATGAAAATTCTAAAAATGATGAAATTTGTGTTTGTCTTAAATTTTTTTAGATCAAAAAGATCATTCAATCATAAACTACCCTCTATCTCATACACTATTTTTTTGTTTCCAAAATATATTCAGCAAATGTGACTTAAAATTTTGTTTTCACGTGAAATCATCTTCCTTATTCAGGCATGGCCTAGACTGCAAGTAAGATCATGGAATCACCAGCAGGGAATGATGTGTCTAGGTGATAGATCTGTGTTCCTGCCCCTGCATGTGGTCTCCTACCACTGCCATGCTAGGATTCCATGACCTTAGCAGACTTACAGAGAATGCACAGGTGTGTTATACCACTACTCTGAGGTAAACATGTGGATCCAATTATGTAAGTTTGCTTTCAAAATAACAGCCAACTTGTAAAAAAACAGAAAACTATGATAACACACCAGGCTCCAAACCTGAAAAGCTTCACATCCTATTAATATCAATTGAGTATGTTAACCATTTTGAACTCCTTTATTTCTGAAAAATATTTACTGACATTATGTCACATCACATCATCCAACATATTAAACAGCTGAATGACTCAATTCTAAAATCTATTCTCCACACTGACTGGCATCAAGAAAAAACTTACGACTGATTATTGCTGCTCATTTACATGCTTAACATACACACATACACGCACACAAACTCACGCACACACACACACACACACACACACACAAGCATTACAATCAGTTTGCTATCTTACATATGCTCACAGCATCAAGTGCTTTTCACCTGTCTCCTGCCAACCAAACAACTTATGATATTACGCAACAAATATTTTACCTCATCAAAGTCAAACAGACACCTGTCTCTTCTCTCTCACCTTGTACATATTACAACTGATAACAATTACTCACTTAGTTCACCTAACAAACAGCATGCATTTCATCAACCTCACATACCTTTCTGAATTCTACCCACGAGGCATGTACGTAGGGCCAGCTACCTCCATACTCCTGGGGGAGCTGAGACAGTTCCAAGAAATTATAAAGGTCATCTTGGCTGGACAGGGGGTAGCTCTGAAAGAAATTATCAAAGACAGTAACAGACACTATAAAGGCAGGAGATATGTTACTATCTAAATCATGATAGATTGTTGATGTTTCTCAGAAATTTTCAATACGAACACAAATTACTTGTAAAATTATTACACACAGGACATCCTGACTGAAATCATTGGTTTAACAAATATAAAAAAGAGAAAATTACCACAATATCATATGTTAGCATGTCTATAAGAATGCACAATGTTGATAAATGTCATTCCTGTTCATTTTTTCATTCACATCTTTCATTCGTGCTATGTGCTGATGTTTTTCTTACCTTGAACACAGGTGACTTAGGGTGTTTTTTACTAAGCTTCAATCCCAGTTTCTTTTTCAAAAACCTTTGAGTATCTTTTGATTTTGGCTGAATGACATATAATGCACCAATACTCCCTTGGTTAGCTGCCTGTAATTAGAAGAGAAAATCTTGAGGAAACAATGTACAAGATTTCAGCACGAGAAAAATTAATGAATTTTCTGGGGATCCATAACAATTTTCTTATCTACTCTCACACTATGTATTTCCAAACTCAATGTTAAAATAAAAACATATCTTTAAAGGATGAGCCAAGGTAACAGCTAATTGAAAGTGCACATTGCCTGACCATTTTAAGGGATTTCTCTAGTAATTAGAGCTCACAATTCCACTCATTTTACACATGGATGAAGTGGAAGAATGGCAATTGCAATGAAAACTCAGGTTAGATTTCCTTCCACACTTGGCTCAATCCAACAGTTGCATGCATTCCTTGCATATCTAATTGGAAGAATAGCCTTTTCTCATTTAGCTTTAGAAATCTGCTCAACTTACCTCAACTTTTTCCAGTGCTTCAATAAAGCCCTGAATTAGCTCAAGATCTTTGCATTGCTTTAGATTCACTGCTATCCCGAAGCCATTGGTTTTCCATCTTGCGGGTGTGATATCTATATAATACTGGAGGAGTCTTGGGAGAGCATCAAGGACGGCTCCCTGGAGTTTAGATAGGTTCGCACTAGGGAAGACGACCAATGGTCTGCCACTGAAGTCAACCCCACCTACAGCCATGTGTTATACAACTTTTTATAAATGGACATTCTAATGATTTTTATAATTGAAAATAATGTTAACATTTTTATTTTGTATGTACTTGTATTTCTGCCCATTTTTTTTTTTTTTTTTTTTTTTGTTTACCATTAGACAATCTACATAATACTAGACAAGCAGAGTCTAGTTCAACCGAAGATAAAATATTATTTTTTTATTAATATTTTACATTTCATTGTTGTTGTTTCATTTTACCTGGTAAAACAGCTATTTCACACACTAAGTAGTCTTCATGTGCATTCCGTAACAGATTTGGGACTCTTTCTAATGCTGCAATATGTGACACAATAAGGTTTTTTTTTTTAATAATTGATTTTCGCCAATATTGATGAATAACTAATTTATTGATCTCAAACATATTAATCATAGATTTGTTTGATTTTTCTCCAAGTTTCAATCAATATAAATCAATAAATAAAATTGTAACTGCATATACAAAAAACATCAACATAAGTCTCATTATACGTAATGAATAAGTTATCAATATTGTTCTGAATCGTTTGGTGAATGAATGGATGACTGAGTGGGTCGAAAAGCGCAGACACCGACTAAATTTGACAGTCTTTCTCAGCCTCTTTGGCTAGTAAGTGAACTTACCTGAAACCCTGTATTTCTCCATAACTTAAAAGTGCTTTACATGAAGTTCTTGGCAACAAGTAATGTCTCCGCATAAAATACATCGCTTTCCAGAATTACAAACTACAAGAAATGAGGTAAGGATACAGTCAATCTCCTCGAACACTCGCTTCTTACCGCCATTGTTGTTTGAATGAGCATTTGAGTTTAGTCAGCCAGGTGGCAGCAGGTGCTTTCCCACAATCCACGGAACTTCCTTTTTTCTGCCATCTTGGATTGCTGTGCCACAGTGTAAGTGGATAGACTGTTTGAATCGGCAACAATCACGTTTATGAGCAAACATCCCGCCATCTGATTGTCTTGAAATAAAGCAGTGATAATGAAATTAATACTTTACCTGATTGGTTTTTCAAACTCACTCACTGAGTGTTGATATTTGGTTTATTTTCGTAATGGTGCCCCATGGGCTCTGGGAACTAATGTGCATCTTAGCCAAAAATATATCACCATTTACAGACATGTCATTGTGCCTTAATATGTTTGACTTCAAAATGCTGCATGTCACTACATACAATGTTATCCCCAATATTCTTTGGATACTTAATCAGTGAGTGTATGATCTATTTATACTGTGAATACCTTGTATGAAGCTCTCGTTTGGAATTCGCAAGGCTTGCAGTGTGTTTATGTTGGCAGTGCATAAAATTGACAGATATTCATATGATTTAAGGCATTAGATTAAAAATTTTAACACGGCTGTCAACATTTGTTTACTTATTGATTAATTGAACTTGGAGTTGAAGCCGAAAATAGAACGACAGTCTTGCAGCTTTTTAAAGACTGATATTGATGTTAAGCCTTAACTTAAGGGTGATTTTTGGTGTTTATTAGTAAAGAGGGGGGTCTCACATATGCTGGACAAAGTCATCCTAATCGAAATTGCACAGCATAATTTGAATGACTTTTGCTAAATTTGCTTTTCAGTATGTCACCAGTCTTCTATAATACACTTGCATTTTGAGTAGCCCAAAATACAAACTACCAAATAAGTAATAGAACTCTCAACAGTGGAAGGCACTGGAGTTATTTTAAAGCATGTACTCTATCTATGTACTCCTTAATTACTTCCAGATAGCCATCAACATGGCACTCAGGCCACTATGCAAGCCCAAGATCGTCAAGAAGAGGACGAAGAAGTTCATTCGTCACCAGTCAGACAGATATTTGAAATTGAAGGTACATTTTTGAATGCATGGTGTAGTGTTTGTGATGTCTACACACTCATTTTGTATAGCGAGTCTACTACGTACAGCTTTCTCTCGTTATTAGTGGATAGTATTCTAAAATTTATTTGTCAGCATGTATCTTATTTGCATTAATTAATCACAATCTGTAGTTTTTTTATTACCTTAATTCAAAATGCTACTTTTGTCATTAGTTATACAAACATAACTGGTGTTAGTTGTTCCCAGCTGAACTAGATAATTTCAAAATTTCTACAAAATAGCTAAAATTTCTAGTACCCTAATCTAGGGTCAATCCATAGTTTGTTTCTTCTGTGGAAAATAAAGAGTAAGGCAATCTTAATTTTAAAATAAATTTGTAGGTTTAGAAGTGGGTCAAGGCTTACTGGTGGATTAGGTAAAGATGTAACCAGAGGATCAGTATATGTTTCACCATTTACTTTTTAATATCTATATTATGCTGATAAATGTAAGAGTTTTTACAATTTTTATTTTACAGCCAAACTGGAGGAAACCTAAAGGCATTGACAACAGAGTGCGCCGTAGATTTAAGGGTCAATATTTGATGCCCAACATTGGTTATGGCTCCAACAAGAAAACGAAGCATATGATGCCAGATGGCTTCAAAAAATTCTTGGTTCATAATGTTGCTGTAAGTAGCCCTTTTGTAAATGTAGCTAAGTAAACCCAAAGACATTTTAGTCCCATGCAACCGACAGGCCTTTGCTATTTGGTGTATTTGATTAATTTCAATTCAATGTAAATTTCTTGGTAAGTTTGTTGATATTGGCATGCAATTTGAATTTTTAAATCATATTTTAGGAGCTGGAGGTTCTTATGATGCAGAACAAGACATTTGCAGCAGAGATTGCCAGCAGTGTATCAGCCAAGAAACGAAAAAGCATTGTGGAGCGAGCACAGCAATTAGCCATCAAAGTCACCAACCCAAATGCTCGTTTGAGATCAGAGGAGAACGAATAGAAATACACCTGATATAAGACTTCAAATAAAGTGGACCACAGCTACTTTACATTTAAAAAAAACTCGGCAAAATGTGAATGAATAAAAAAAAAGTATACAAGATACAAGTTTTTTGTTGCTGCCTCTGGGTAGGGGGATTAGCACTATTACAAGTTAGCATAAATGTTGGGCTTGTTCCATTTGAGAAATCTTCATTTTAACTGGGAAGATTGTCAAACTGGGACAGGGCTCAAACATAGCACTGAGCAGGTGTAATTTTTCAAAAGATTATCTTCTTTTAGTGGATTTTCTTACCCAATCCAGTCACTGACACAACCTGTATGTGTTTTTAGCAACAATTCATCCTTGCAAATTTTGTGAAATGGTGAGGTATATGGTGTGTCATTCCACAAAAAAGTAAACACTTTGTGCTATATTTACATTCTTTTAACAAACCCCAATTTTTTTTCATCATTTTACATTATAGCACCATTGATAAAGAAATCTACAATAATTAAAGACTAATATATATCTGCAGCAATTTGACTAATATAAAATTAGTTTTACAGAAGAAATCACTTATGTTGTTAGTGTTCATTTTTTGTGGTATGACCCCTTTATAATCGATTTGGCTGGAATGGTCACCTCACTTTTGCCTTTGGTCAGAAAACTTCCCACCCCTTTCTCAACAATTGAAAGTGCAAAGTGATCTTGTACTCTTGACCACCTAAATCTTTATTAGTTTTAATTAAAATAAAACGCTGCTGGGTGTCAGTCCTTCATGCTTAAATGATATTTGAAAGACCAAGAAGCAAACAAGTTTCTGGCTAAGAATTTATTGATAATATATTACTTTTCTGCCAGAGGACAATTTTAAATACTCAACATGGAACTTCTGTATTACAGTGATGAAAGCATTGGTGATTGCCACTATAAAGAGAACACTCATCTTGGCTTGCTACTCCACATGCTGCTAACAAGTCTAATTACATTTTTATACATAAAATTATTACAGAAATTGGCACCATTTCTTCAAACAAAAATCCTATACAACAGAGTAGAGATACATAAACAAGGAACTCTGTCAACTCCTCGTACATAGAACAAATTGCCAGTCTGGATGCACAACTGATTAACAAGGACTACAGCATGCAAAAAGAAAAATAACCACATTTTTCTTATTTGATTCCACCCTTATTTCCAATAATTGACTGAACATATTCCTTTTCCATAAAAATCCTTCAAGACAAAAGTTCCAAATAAGAAGGGCATTGAATATCTGGCCAAATATGCTGAAACTGCCACAGGATAGGATTCACAATGAGATGATTCTGAAACTGGGTGCATTCAACATGAAATGAGTCTTTAATATCACAAATCCATACCTATCTTACATCAGCAATTCAGAAAATTTATTACAATGGAAACATTGGTAATTTATTAATTAAAATTGTGTTTGCAAAATGTTTATCTTATTTTGCCATGTCCTGCATAGCTCAAAACAACAAAAAAACATCTTCACGTCTTGTTCCCTCTGTAGAGTCAAATTGTGATAAAGTAATACAAAAAATGTTAAGGTCCATTGCCAAAAACCCTATTTCTTAAAACTTTGGACCTGAAGCTTGACACCAATTTTTCAAGCTATCAACAAAGATTTTGACTTTCCAATAAAGAAACATTGCACAAGATTATAAATTCATTTTAGAAAAAAATACACTATTCCATCTTCCAATTTAACTATTTTGATAAAAATGTATCAGTTGGAAAAAATCTGTATCCACCAATGCGTTTGATTTCATTTAAAAGGGCTATTTTGGGAGGATTGTGGTTGCAAGGCATAGAACTTTACCAGTACTCTTAGCGAAGGATCCTCCTCTCATGAAGTCACAGCCTGGTCAGGCCACACAACATATAACAATCAAAGCTAATATGTTCAACAACTGACTGCTATCTAAGCATAACAAATTACAGGACCTTTATCAGAGACCCCCACACTTGTGGTTGGGAACAGAACTATACACAATTATGTATCAAAATATCTCCTTCAGCCAAATAAAAAAATTAAGTATAACATCATTAGATTGTATCATACAATGTAATAATATTCTAGGGATAGCATGTCATGATCTTTACAAATTAGTCTTATACAATACAGCAAACGTGTACTGGCTTCAGTAGAATTACTACATTTGGCTTGTTCAAGTCTGATGGACTAAAAACAGTGCATACATTTGTGTGTGCCCACACCTACATAAGGCTGCAATATTGCCTGGTTCTTCTATTTGACAGCATAAGGCAGACCACGATGTCAAAATGTGGAACTGAAAATGACATTCTAATTGTTGCTTTTGAAGAATGGCCATGTCAGATAGTCCAATATGCCAGAGTCATGGATGACCATCAACACTGCTTCAGAGGACCTCTGTATCCTAGTCTACTGGTGTATGATATCTGCCATTTCCAGGTTGTCCATCTCCTTCTGACTCAAGCATGGCTGATATTCTACGAGACCTTTTAACAACCACATATATTTGCGCAATCGTCTATCTCGCTTCCACATAATTAAATGTGTGAAAGGAGTTCAACAGCCCCTGCATTAATTACATCCAAATATTTTCAATTTCACTTTCCATCCTCCTTTAATCTCCATAGGACATCACTTCCATGATTATTGTGTACCTATCGTTCTTTCATTGAGCTCCGTATTCCCTGTATTGAAAATCCTGTATCTAAAAGCACACCCTGTGTTATATGCTGGAGCGCCCACCTTTCTGTGGTGCACTAAGACTCCCTCTCTTTATAAACAACAATGTTCTTAGTCTGTTCCACGTATCACTTTTTATAAATATTAAGTGTACACATTCAAAACTGTGCCACCAGTAACAAAGCACCTTACCCTTGTACCCTTGATGATCAGCAATTGCTTCAGCATGTATTAGCTTTCCATAATTCAGTACATCGTCCTACTATATCAAGTCACTACTGACCAGATTATCAGTGGCTTTCACAAGTCAGGTAACACTGCTTTGGCCAAGCCTTTTAATTAAAAGGACAACATATAAATTATCTTTTCCGTCCACATAAGAGCTTGGTGTATGTGTTTTCTTGGATCTTTCACAAGTCTACGCTGATTGACCATTCCAACACAGCAATGAAACTGGACTATTAGGGCTATTCACATGAATGTGACATTAAGACAAGCATGTCAAAGTTCTGTACCAGTCTGTGTGTCAGTTCCTCACACAACTGCCCCTTGCTTGTTTCTGTGTTGCAGCAGATGCAATGGTACCAACTGCACCAACTGAAATGTTTTTCATGTAGAGAAATTGCTCCTGCCCTGGTATTAGCACTGGCAGCAGGTAAATTAAGTACTACACTTAAGTACTTCATGACAGGGTCCATCTCCACCTGGACACACCTCACATTTGGCAGTATGGTCCCTGGACCTTCAGATACTGAAATACACATAAATTATTATTATTATTTGGAAAACAACCCAAAATTATTCAAATCAAAGATTGTAGCTCAGTTAAGAAGGATATATCACATCTTTTTTATTATTCTTGACATAAACATGTCACATTCAGATCACAATTATGTTACCTCTGAATATAACAATTCCATTACATTAACATTGCTGACATGATGTTTGACTGAAATTGCCATGTCACCTAATATTCTTATAGTTCTAGATCTTTTACTAACACCATGTGATCTGCATGACATGGGTATGCTATCCTTGTACTATCATTGTACAAGACCTGGTTTCTTTTTCAAAAATATTTCCCCCAACCTGTATGACCAGTGAAGGTCCTCCTTGCACAATCTCTGGAGGTATTTCTGCCAGCGGACAATTCTCTATGCTCATGATCTGCAGGTTGGTGCAGAGGGCCAGCTCAAACGGCAGACTGTTCAGGTTGGAATTGTCATTGATGTACAGTGAGTGCAAGTTTTCTAGAGTTCCAATCTCTGGAGGGAGACTTTTCAAGTTGTTTTCCCCGACACTCAGGTATTCAAGATTCTGCAAGTGGCTGAGGGAGAAAAAGGAGAGGATTTAATGAGAATGAGATCTTTGCAGTGCTTTAATGAGATCTTTGCAGTGCTTTACTGTCTTCAATATTATTTTTTAAATAACAGACAGGAAAGAATTATCTTTAAAAATCATGAATATTGTCACTTTGCTCTCGAAATCACTTGAGAGTATCACTTATTTCCACACATGATCTATGATGATGCCACATTTAGCTTACACTGCATGCTTACCCTACTGCTCTTGGTAAATTTGTCAACTGATTGGATTGCACTACAAGCTTAGTCAGCTCCCTCAAAAAACCTGTAAATTCAAGAATACATAAATTACACATATGCAAAAAAAAAAAAAAAGAAACAACTTTAGAATTGCAACAATCAAGCATTTTTAAAAACAAAATGGTGTGTGTGTGTCAACATATAAAGGTGTTTACCGATCTCTTGCGGCAAGGATTCCAGTTTATTTTCTTCCAGATCTAAGACCCGTAGTTTCTTCAAATTGCCCATGCTACTTGGAAGCCTCTGAAAAAAGCAAAGAATATTTATCAATTACAGTACACTATGTTGTTAGTTAGACAGCTGACATTCAAAGGGCAATCAAGTTTTACATAGCAGTTTTTGTTAACTCAAGAGGTCATAATTGTCAGCACTGAATATTATGACTCTTAATAATTTGTTCTTTGTTTGTTTTTATTTATATTTTATTTTATGGGTGCAGTCAGCACATTTTAAGTGTCCAGTTATAAGCTGGTGCTGTTTCCCTGAATATTTCTTTGTTGGGTTACATCAGGAATATTTCTCATGATAGGAGGGTGGTTGGAGCTGCAATTCACATACATGAGTTTGTTGTTGGGTTTTCTGTACAGCTGGTGTATCCACATTTTCATATTTTTATCATTATACTTTTTTAAGTAATTTTACATGAATAGATGGCATCTTTCTGTGTAGGGATATAAAGTTACTTACTCTCAGCAAATTGTTGCTCAATATAAGCACCTCTAAATTTTGTAGATTCTGTATGTCCTCATGAATTTTGGTCAACTGGTTAGTGCCCAGGTTCAGCTCCACCATGTTCACCCATGTGCCGATGTCTGGAAAGAAAGACAGATGTGCCTGTTTATGTCCTTTTTTTTTTTTTTTGGAATTCCTTCAGGACCACTGATGATTACAATCAAGTTCAATTCTAAGAATTTGTGAATGTCTACAAACACTGCCAAGAATTATTTACATTCCCAGTTTCTTGTTATAAAAGGAAAAAAAAACAGCTCACTTAAACATACATGGGTATTTATTATCAGACCTTTTTATACATTACAATCAAGAAAGTACCATAACCTTGTAATTCAAGGCACTTTGTAAACAGGTGACTGACCTAGAATCGTGTCAAATTAAAATTTCCAGGTAAGCCATCTTCTAAATGAGGGATGTCAATGAAAGTTTGATGTCAACAAACTACTTTCTTCCTAGCTAGTCACTGTTGTGGTAATAACATAATAACATGGGATGGGCGATTTGCAGTTTCATTCAATGGTTTGACAATTGGCATTTTCACGATCGATTTTTTCAGCGAATCACTGTAATGTGTCGCTTTCATGCACGCCATCCTGCATAACAAGGTTTCTGTTTTCATTCCAAATCCAGGATGTGTCTGAGACATGCAATAATGCATAGGTTTTCAATTCAAATATTAATTTTTTTTATATCAGCATGACAGCTGATGACACAAATAGGACTAGAAATATGTTACAGGCTCAAACAACTTCTACCGGAGGTAAAAACAGAACATTTTAAAGATGCATATGAAGTCAATTTTTTTTTCCACAAAAGCCAACCAAATGCCAGCATATAGTTTCAAGTAGTATAACTAAGAGAATTACCAAAAGGCGTTGTTTAATTTTTACCCAAAAATGATGTATGAATGGATTTTTCTGCTAGCATTTTATCCTGTATATCAATGCCATGGAGCAGAAAAGTAGGTCATGTAAGTAGGTTAAATTTCTGACTAAAAATTTAAAGGGGCAGTATAAAGCTCTTTTATGTCTGATCCAGTGATTTATTCAGTTTATCCCTTGGCATTTCAAATTTATTTGTGATATATAAGAAATGGTAGAAGTGGTTGATACATGTAACTGGGAATCCATGCTCCACTGATGCTCAGTTCATTTGTACCTTTAAACCTTCCTTATTATAGTGATTTTTAGAGAACTAAATCAACATTTTATCCAAACTTTGTATCCTGTATAAGTGCTTTCTTTAAAGAAAAAATTTGTTATTTATTAATTTTTATTTATTCATTATTATTGTTATCAATATTTTTTTTTATCTTATAAGTATTAATAACTGTTTCTTTTAAATTTTTTTACTTAGACTGATTTTCATGTTTGAATTCACGCCTCTTGCCCGAATATAAAAAGTAACCACAGATATACAAAGTGCAAAAGTATGAAAATCTGTTGTTTTTTCCAAAACAATGAAACAGCTTAGCTATACCCACCTAATGGTAATGAAGTGAGTTGGTTATCCTTCATATTGAGTTTGGCGAGACTTGGAGCCCTTGAAAAGATTCCAAATGGAATCTTGTTGATCTGATTGTGTTCCATGTTTATGGACTGAAATAATGAAGTATCACAAATGATTTAAGTGCAATCTCATTACATTTACTCTTTTTTAACCCTAAAATTTATCAAGATTTAAATGTTATTTTCATTAAGACTACATATAAAGAGGAAATACAAGGCGGCACCTTGTTAAAGATATGACCAAAAATGATCGCTCAATTTCAACAAAATAGTCTTTTTTAAAGTTTGTTTTCAGGAATTGTTTGCGTGTTTTATAACCAAAACCTTTGAACATTTTACCAAGATATCCAGTCATAGTGACCTTATCACTTACATAAGCTGAACAGAACTGTGAGGGGCCTCCTGCTGGGTATGAGGTAAATGCATTTCTGGACACTGTGATTGTGGTCAAGTTGGTTAAACTAGATAATAAGCCCTCCTGGAAGACAGACCAATCAAATGCAAGTTATATCAGAAAATACTGTTACCAAAACAACTTGCTTTACTATCATAAATCTTAGATAAAGATGATTTTTTGTTCCAAGAAATTTATCAAGTTTTATTAAATTTTCACACTTCTGTAGTAAGCACTGACAACAAATGCCACCCAGACAATGCGGTGCTGATGGTTACTTACAGGCAGTTGAGAAATATTGTTCCCTTCAACATTAAACTCTGGCATATTTACGCAATGAGCCAGAGATTTGGGGACACCTTTCAAACGGTTGTACCTGAAAACCAAACATTTCGCTGTTAATAAAACAGATATGCAGCTTTTGTCTGATTTTGGATGACTTGATTCCAAAACTTTTTTCTTGAACAAGGACTATACCAAAATACAAAACAGGAATACTTGTTATTTTTATTGTAAAAGAATAACAATAAAATTATGCCTAATTTTATTGTTATTCTTTTACAATAAAATTATGCCTAATTTTTCTTACCTCAACCCTAGCCTTGTGAGTGAGCGAAGATTACCTATAGATTCAGGGATGTCTAACAATTCATTGTGTTGTAAATCTAGAGAGTTCAACTGGACACAGTGACCAATTTCTGTAAAAAAACAAGAACAACTCAAAATGATAAGAAAGCTGGAAAAGAATAAAACCCAGTTGCACTGGAATAAGTTTAGCTCAATCAGACATTTGAATTCATTAATCAATGATAGATTTGGAAAAACGCAGTTAAATATTTTCCCTCTTACATAAAGCAAAATTGTGTTTGTATTTGGCTTAAACTCACTATCATGCGACAGCTACATGCACAGAGGATCATAATTGTGAATCCATCATCATATTGCTACAGAAAGTAGGATGACTTTTTAATGAACTTTGAGGAGGGCCACACTCTACATTTTTTCATCATTAACAATCCCCATCTGCCCACATTGAAACATTCTCACGCAAGTTTTTTTTAACCTAAAGATTGTTTACCAAAAACACATCCTCTTCCAGTGTAAAAATTGAGGACAAATAATTCAGTATTAAGGTCAAACATGTGCACTTGGGATCTATCAGGAGAAACCAAAAATATTAAAACACTTCCTCCTTGTTTATGTGGGCTGCTTAGAGTAAGGTTGTGTTCATATCAGGACTAACTCAGGCCAGATACCACACTGACTGAAGTCACTAGATCACCATATAACTTAATATGGGAGTCCCTACATAATCTGGATGTGGGTGATGTCAATTAGTCTCCTTTCTGATCCAACTTAGTCCTAATGTGAACAGGACCTCAAATAAAAACAACCATGGTCTGGCGACAGAGAATTTACATTAAATATCGATAAAACCTATTACGGAGGCATTTCAATACAGATAATGTGCTTTAATTGCAATGCTCTTCTTTAAAACTGCAGTACCAGTGAATACAGGAAGAGTTTCAGCAAAGGGAAGCTGCTCAATGAAGATCTCAGACATCGAACCCATCCTTATGAAGATTGTTTAATTTTTTGTCAAAATGTCTGCTTTAATTTGAAGTATATATAATTTTCACACAAGATCTAAATTTAATGCCATAGCAGAGAAAATTGATTCAATATAAAAAATGCTTCAGTATGAAAGTTGAATGTAACAATTTTCTTTGAAATGAAAATTTCATATTAAGAAAAGCATTGCCTGACAAAACAAAATATATCTACCTCAGTTATACTTATAAAAAGAAATCCAGGACACTGGATTTTCATTGACTCAGCCATGCAGCACACAATATGTGTCAATGATATATGTCCTTCAAAGTTAGCCCCCCCCCCCCCAAAAAAAAAAAAAAAATCACCCACCTTCTGGTAAATGTTCTAAATGGTTATGTGAGACATCAAACGTAACAAGATGCACCAGTTTGCCGATGCCTCTGGGAAGTTCACGGATCTTATTTTCTCTGAGACTCAGCATTGTCAGGTGCTGGAAACAAAGATGTCAAAAATAGAAAAAAATCAGAAATCTTCAGATTGATTTTAGCACAATATCAAATAACACTGGTTGATGTTAGTGGGATTCAGGTTGCAGAGACCGGGAATAAAGTACAGAGCAGACTTTAATGGTAATTCCAGGGGTTGTTTTAACACACTTGTTCATAAATGGTACAAGGAATCCAGGGCCTCACTCTCCAGGTGTTATTAAATCGAAAGTGGAATCATCCCACTCTATGTTATCTATAGGTTTACAATCTATTTTTGAGTTTGCAATACTTGATTCTAGGTTTGCTTAAATTTGGTGTCGTATACCAGACCAAGAAATTTGGATGTTATTCCCATACCTGGCTAAATGCTTTGTAAGAACAACAGTCAGGTAAGTGACTATTTTAAACAACTTTCTGAGAATAACTGCAGTATTTTTCTTTTAAATTGTAAAATGCTGAAGAATTTTGGGGAAAAAAATATATCACAGAAGAAAGATGTTTTTGCAGGGTTATAATTAATATATCCTTCACTTTATAAACTTAAACCTTTATCTTATTAAAGTCTCTCTTACACAAAATAAAAATATAATGGAGCACCTTATCAAACACTACTTACAGTCAAATTTCTAATTTCTTCAGACACCACTTTGATTCTGTTAAACCTTAGAAATAAGGTTGTCAATGATGTTAAACTATATACAACATCTGGGATCTGAAAAAAGAAACAAAATGAAAAATGATTAATAGATCTACACAGTTATCATAAACACACCATTTGAGAATCCTTAGCACCCCCTCAGGAGATACTACCCCTATTTCACAAAACATGAACTTACGGCTTCAAAATAACATCAATTTTATATATGCTTCAAAATGATCCCCTCAAGTTCAAAAACGGTTATGTCATGACAACTGCCTGGTTTCAAGTTTTCTATAAAGAGCCAAGTCGTCAATGTGAATATAACTTTAAGGGGCCATTCAGAAAAGATGATCCCAGTACTAACTGATCTGCCAACTAAATATGGCCGACCCCACTTCAAAAACGATGCCATTGATTCCCGATGGCCCCCCTGCCTCCACACATGCCATTAAACAGATAACATCTTGGCTCCAAGGTTTTAATTGCTAGGCCCCTGCAATCCCCATGACTTTAACTTCAAGACAATGCCTTTAACAATTACCTCATTTAATTTGTTATGCCTAAGATCCAGAACCTTGACCTTTTCTAAACAGGATAATGACGGTGGCAAACTCATCAAAGAATTTTCACTCAGCGCTAATGTTTGAAGATTCTTCAAGTAGCCAATCTCCTGTGGCAGGCTGACCAGGCGATTACCATATAAGTAGAACTCCTCTAACTGGGTCAAATCTTTCACCGATGTTGGGAGGACAGTAATCTGAAAATTAAGTTACAGAATTAATAATGAAACTGCCAATGCATTTAATACCACTATTGCTAAATTCTTCGATGAAACAAATACATTTGGAATGTAAAATTCTGAATACCCACAAGTGTCATAAATTTATGCATATATGCAATGTCTGATGATAAAAAGACAATGTACCAATGTTGTGAAAACAACTGAAAATGTTGCAGTGCATTTGAAATTATTTACTGCGTATATCCAAGGTCAATTAACCAAGCAATATTTAAGGTACATCCACCTTCATCTCTACATAAAAACACTTGCCAATTTCCCACACATCTCTTAAAAATGTGAAAAACCATGTTTACTGTGAATCTTTCAATGCTCTTTGACTGGTCTACTTTCAGATGTGGTTAATTTTTTCCTAACCTGAGATTTACTGAGATCAAGTCTTGTAGAGCCATCCTCCTTACACTTCTGAAATTCCTTCGACACATCCTATAAAGAGAAATTAACAACGGTAAAATAAAATTCATGAGTTGAAATGTTATATCTAATTCGTTTGCACAGTAATGCACGACAGAATTTTACGTAAAATTTGAAATATGTCCACTTCCAGATTTTTGTGGAAAAGAATTGATACTAGATACTGAATTGGTATAATAAACAGTCCCAGACATAATCATTACTAATTTTCAGACCATGAAAAAAAGAGTAAACAAATCTTAAAAACTGACAGCTAACAAGTGAGGCAATGTGAACTGATATCTAAATAATACATTTTTTCACAATGATTATAAGAAATGAACCTGAAACTTTTTACATAAAATGTTTAATACATTTTATTGCTTTCCTATGGCATGCCATCAGAAGCATTCTTATCAGCTGTGATTCATTCCGATCAATGTACCTTTAACTCAATCTTTTGTTGGTTCATTTTCAAAAAAAAAAAAAAAAAAAAAAATGCCCATTTAAATTTCATCATTCCTTTTTCACTGGAAAGGGCAGCATTTGACTACTGTCTCAACAGAGAGGTTCAGCAGCCAGCAACTGGGCCAGAGAAGTATTCCAAGTAATGAAGGAAATAAGACAAGGGGATCAGGTGGGACATTGTTTACAAAGGCTCTTAGCTGTGTATTCAAAAAATTATTGCTATCATTACATTCTTTGCAAATAACTAAGAAAAGTCTAGATGATGACCACGATATAATGGAGAAGACTTTTAGTCCTTACATAAATCTTCGATTCAGATATAAATGAAACAAATTTCAGAAGATCTCCATTCTGCAAGTGATTCATGATAAACCTGTACCTTTTTAATGCTGCTGTTTGAGGGGAAAACCAACTTGTTTAATGTCCTTCACTGTCCAAAAATCTGTGGGGTTCTTAATATGACAACCCCCTCGAAGGTTTGTGGTTGTTTAAAACATGTACTAGTCTTGGACTTTTCACCTAATCAACATTCCTACTTTTGAACACAGTGCTCTTCTTTCAAACCAAAGCATGGCTCCATATGTGAGATATTACAGTGTATTACCTTTATAGTTCTACACCCAGATCTAGTAACAAACAGGAATCTAGTCATTCACGAACAAGCTTTGAAGTCTTTAAATATACCTAAACATTGGGCTAGAACAATTCATAACTTACCAAGTCTGCTTTATGAGTGGGTCTCTTCCCTGCTCCCGGAGTCTTGGCCTTATTGTGCCCCGGTTGCTTCACCCTCACCTGCTTTTCCCGAGCTTCCTCAGCACCAAACTGGATTGAAGCTGTACTGGCCTTCTTATCCTACAACATCCACATGATAAGCACAATTCATTGTATTTACAAAAGCATGTGTAGAAAAAACAAGTGACTTGAGAAACCTTTCTAAGACAGATGAGTTAGCATTAACTGTACTCAAGTGATTAAGAAGCAAAGGACATAACAATCATGAGAAAATACCTCATATCTTCAGCAGAAATATAAGAGAGCACTTTCTCTGCATCTTCAGAATTTCAATCAATACCATTCCAAGGATGGGACAAGGATAATTCAACCTATTTTAAGTACATATGACTTTAAAAATCTCAAGACCAGTCCATTTGTACTTTTTCTGAATTGTGCCAAATATATATGCACCTTTGGCACACACTGATGACTATGGTCTTAAGGGCATGTCTTTGGGATTTTACAAAGGGCAATATCATCAAAATAAATGCAATCTATTCATAAGGTTTTAAACATCAATACTTGTATTCTAGCTATGGAGTTCAACATCTGAATACAAAGTCTTTAATTTCTGACATTTTGTAAAGCAGACAGGAAAATTTCACCAACCTTGTGACATGACAAAATATGACACGTCCCAAGATCTCTGACATGCCAGTGCTTTATTAAACAGAAATGCCATTTGCACATTAAACTGGACCCCAGGAATAGATAACTCCCCATCAATTATTTTCAAGCTGTATCTGGGGTTATTCACCTTGAACTCCCTGGTCATATTACACAGACAGAACTGGCGAACTGGTTAAACAGAATTTCCAGGAACTAGACACTACCTTATATTTCAGGGGTATCTCAGCAGATGGTGACTGCTTAAAGATAAAGAGTTTATTAAAGTTAATTGCTAGTTTGCAATGTGGCCCCTGGATGAACAGGTTATGCCAGGCCAGACAAGTGCAGATACCCTACTCAATGGATACAACCTGCACATTTGCACAGATCCATTATATTGAAAATTGGGAAAATGGCAACAATCCCTGGGGTTTGGCTCTGCAGATTCACTGTGCTAGATTCCCAGGCCAGCTAGATCAGGCATAATGACATACTAGTGGCCTGGTTGAGGCTCCTCATATGCTGCACAGAGAGCTGCTGCCAGACTGGGAAGGTGACACACGGTAAACCATAAAATCGGAAACATTCAAAATATGTTCCCAATACCGTGCAGGCTTCAAACCTGCACGATTGGCATTGTGGGTTTTCATGAGAGACATCTTCCCATCTGGCACCTCGGTTCACCTTGCTATGTCGATGCACTACGCTAACTCGGTCATCTAACAAAGTTCTACTACACGTGCAAGAGGACTAGGATAGTTCACCGAATTTAATTTGCGAGAAATAATAAGAGCGCATTATGCACAGACTTTAGTACATCGTAGCATCCTAGCCGTCCCTGGGAAAACTATCCAAGATAACTTACCATCTCATTGGCAGGCAGATACAATGATTTTCAATTAATCTGAAATACTGCACTAGCAATCTATTGGAATAATTTCCCAGAATGTGCTAAACCAGGTTGCCAAGGGCCAGATTTTTCTGGTAATCAGACATTGCTGCAGACTCCGTCAACTAGACTAAAATGGCGTAATGCTCATGTGACATAAGTAACTATGGTTACAGTTTAAATGGCAGATATGCAATGTGCGATAAAAGTGCGCAAACGTGCAGAGAAAGTTTTATTTTCCGGGTTAATAATGCAACTAGGCACTCAACTTTCCCTATACTCATTGCCAGGGTAGCTACTAAGCATGTTCTAGATGAAAAAAAAATCCCCGAGTGTTTACATACCAGGATACATAAAGCAGAATTTTATTCCATTTATCATATATCAACATCTTAATATAGCCCAGTTCTGACTTGCCATTGTATTTCATCAGCACACGGATGTCTAAGAGAGACCAGCTTGAATATATTGAACCTGAATGACAAAGGGGATCTATGTGATTTTGCCTCCATCTTGAATAACTGAAACTCCTGCCCATTTTCAACAATAGAGGGCAGCATGGTCTGAAAGCTTACATGCCATTAGCCATGCATTCCTTGGTCCACCCACATAAAATCACAGAATCGGTAACTTGTTCTGTGAAATGCTGTGATTATGAAAAGGTCAACTGCTTGACAAATGACAACTCATTCTTAATAACAAAGCTATTGGCTCACGTATGCATTATCATAGAAAACATATTATTAAATCAGAGACAGACAACACAAAGTGAGATTTTTTCTAATCTTCCACTGAATAAAGAATGTATCTGATGACAGCAAGAATTGACCTTCCTGCCAATAACATGATATCTTATTTAAAAGTATTAAATGGTTGAGAGACATGATGGGAATAACTTTAATATCAGTAAATATAACAAAACATTTTTTTCATTAACACATGTATTCAAATTGAGCCATTTTTACAAAATGCTACTAAACAAAGAGATCAAAATGGCAATTATGTAAACCCTGCTATTCCAAATGTTATAACATTATTTAATTCTGATCAGACCTATTCTTTTCAATGTTGGTTGGTCTTGCTATTGATGTAGTTCAATGGCAACGAAAAAAAAAAAAAAAAAAAACTTTTAGAGGAAAATAACTAAACAGAAACAATTCAAGAGATTTTATGCTGGACTGTTACCCCAGACACTGGCACCTTACGTCTATTTGCACTATAACCATTCCCACACCAAGTGATTATTCAAGCAACCACTGCCATGAAGGTCTTGTATCACACCTACTACATACACCCACCACAGATTACTTCTCGCCCATTTAGTTAGCACATTCCTACAGATTTGATGTATCAGTTGCCCACATAGAAAGTTCAATTTCCACCCCTGTTCTTTCAGTTTCCATACTTTGCAAGGTTCAAACAGCTATAATTCTGGAATATCTCTTCCATTATTTTTGTGCAATTTTAAATAAAATTTATCAAATTTGCATGTTCCAAAGAATAATCAAAATACATTTCTTATCGTGTTACAGGGCATGTTTTACACCATTCATTGGTTTAATTGTAACTTTTCAGAGCTAGCTTTCAGTGCATCTTTTTATTTAAATTTAATACTTTAATTTAGAAACATTTCACAAAAATTACTATTTACAGTTGTATACTGCATTACTGAGGCAAACATCAAACATCTTGCATTTTGCATAATAATCACCTTATTCACCCATCTCCTAAAAGTCAAATCATGAAATAATAAATTGTTTCTTTATGATATTGAAAAAGATAATAGAAAAATAACATAATCAAGAGCCTTGTGCTTTTTTTGTATGTGTGTTTCAATTCAATGTTTTCTTTGTATAAATTCCATGCATATTTCTCTTAAGTCTTCAATCTTGCGGTTTAAAAGTGATTCAAAACTAACAAATACCTGAGCTCAATAAGCTTTTGATAAGTTTGAAGGCACTACCACTTACTTCCTTCAAAGGCAAAAGCCTCCTGTATTCATGTAGAGGGTACTATCAGTTCAGGTATGCATATATATGCAACTGTGTCAAATTGTTCAGCAGTGACAGATAGTTGCATCTCTAGATACCAATGCATGCTTTGAATCAGATATTAAATGAGAGAATACTTGAAATATTTGGGTGTTTATAAAGTCATCTCCAGGCAAATAGTTATGCATTCTTTTCTTAACATCAACTGAAACAAGTTCAAAGGGTAACCAAAGCACTCAAGCAACCCCCTGTCCACCTTCTAATACTCTAGTAAGTTCAGCCAAGTCCATGTTTTAAATACACAGAATGGTTAATGTTCCATGCAAACTGGCACCTGTCCTCTCAATTATTTCATAACACATTTTCTTTATCATTAAAAATGATAAAAGATCTTCTGTGTCCCAATAATTTTGATCTTATACAGAATATTTTACAAACAGGTGCTGTCTGTTTTCAGAGATGGGTATTATCCATTTGCAAAGCGATTGTATAATTATCTAGGAATCTGACTGAAAATTAATAGCAATGTTCATCTGCAAGCAATACCAAGAACATAATTAATGCTAAAACATCTTTTCAGGCATATTGGTTGTATATGGTACTTAATGCTTTTGAAAAATAATTATTATTTTTAATCACTTAATCTTATTCTAAAAGACATAACCATACATAGTTCAAACTTTTCCATACTTGATTGCAAAAGTCTGCTGTGGCATTTAAGCAATCTACAAGCAGTCAATTAAAAGAACATGGCAGATCAATTCTTGATTAAGTATGGATTTAGATAATAAGTCTGATACAAGTGCCAAGAAATTTTCCAACCTGTTTGCAGCAGCACCAGGAGATTAGTAACACATTTCAATGTCTTCCAATTCTTGATAATACCTGTGACAGTCAGATTTAAAGACCTTTGCCTTAGCACATATGTATGAATTCAAAATAATTGTTTTTGAAAAGAAAAATGTGTAAGTGCTAAGAATTGCTCTTACATAAGATTTGCAGAGTAAGAATATTAAAAATTGCTCTTACATAAGATTTGCAGAGTAAGAATATTATTTACTAAGTACAAGAGATTTTTCTCGCCATAGTTGTTCAATTCTTCCCTCACCCGACTGATATTAACTAAAAAAGAGTCAAATCTTTGCAAGTTTTTTTAAAAAAATTTACTTGTCTATGTATATTTATATTTTTTTATTGTCAACCCCTGTAGCAGCCAGTCTAGAAAGTAGTTGTCTGTAACTTAATTGTTGTTAAATATGGGTCATATGTTTGCATGTTTGCACTTTCTTTTCTTTTTCACACACACATAAATGTATACCCTTTTCCCTGAATATTTATTATTCTCATAATTCAACCTATTAAATAAGGGTGTCAATTCATTTCTGTACCAATCTAAGAGTAAAACATATCACAAGAAGCTAATGGTCCAGTTGTTTAGGTGCAAAAATATTTTCAAAACTTAATAAAATCAATGTATATTATCATACAAAGTCAAAAATTATTTTGAAGCCATATAGAATAGTAAAATATACAAAATTCAGAAATTAAATTCCAGGGGGCTTTTGCAGGTAAATGTTAATAAAACACTTCTCATACAAGATATCAGTGCTAGCTTTAAAATTCCCACTTTGGTAAACAAGTTCAGTCCAAGTGCATGAGCAATAAGGTCCCAAAAATATCTTTCAATGCACCGAGTGACCCTTCTAAAATGTCTGTGTTGTATTGACATTTACCCCTCAGTACAAAAAAGTGTGCGTGTCTATATATATATATATATATATATATATATATATATATATATATATATATATATATATATATATATATATATATATATATGTTCTCTTGTTCTTACCTCACCTTACCTTAAAATGACATTTCACATGAAAATGTAAAGCCTAGGGCAAAATTCAATATTTTTCTTTTTATTTATTTTCTCTCTCTTTGCCCAAATTAAATGGGGAAAAACTGGTACTTAATAAATTTGGCAAAGATATGAAAAAAAATTCCGATATAATTTTCCACAAAAAAAAAAAAAAAAAAAAACTCTTAAATGTGTTTTTCACATGAACAAATTATGAGAGAAGCACTTTACCTTCAGTGGCTCCTTTTCTCTCACATAAATTCCTTCAATCCCTGAGGTAACATCTACTATATCATGCATGCCACTGGGGCTGGTATTGTCATAGTCCTGTGCTCCAGGAGAGCCAGCCAAACTGCTAGGGCCAGGTTGGCCTGCCATAACTGTACAGCCTTGACTAGGAACAGGGGTAGCGTAGTCTTTAGATCCGGTGTAATCAGCGAGACGAGAAGCAACTCCTGGACTTGACATGTCCGGTTTTCCTTTACTGGTTGTCCTCTTTAGCATCTTCTCCTGCTCAGAAAGACTAGAACCAACACCTCCAGGACTGCGTGCCCATCTTAGTTACTGACCTGAAAAACACAGAAACATATACAACACATGAAAGGTTTAATTACAAAACCAACACTTATCTTAAAAATAAGTCATGATTGAAAAAATAATTTTGCAATGAAATGTATATATAATATTCTTGTGAATAAAATTCAAATATTTCATTTGTGTGACAGAACTCGACAATATTTTGAACTGTAGAAATGGCTGTTAAAAGAGAGAATAGTCTAAAGTGCAGACAACCATGGTACTGGAATCAACAATGAAAATAACTGCCCCTGATCAACAAGTCTTTATAAATTGCAAAAACATATTCTCTCTCTCAAGTCTGAATCGCATTACCAAATATATGTGATATTTGTTCCTATTCCTAAGAGAATTGAATTGTTTGTCAATAAACCAAAACATATAACCACAAATACTTCAAAACAAAACCTTTCTTGGAGGAAAATAAATACAGCCAATTGTCATTGCTGACAGAATAAATTGTGTGACACCATCTCTCCTTAGATAACAGAGCACTAAGAAAAAACAATTCAGAACCTGGTGCAAAAATTCTATGCCCAAAAAAAGGTGAGAAAAGGAAGCAATTGTTTAATTGTCCAAATTATTTAACCTAAACCTGCTCAAGGCAAATTATCTCACAATGGTTAACAATTTCCTTGAAAAATTTATCACCACATCTTACGTAATTCTAAGAAAAAAAATAAAATGACTCAAAATTTTCTAGAAAATTCTATGCACATGGGGAAATAAAACAAGCCAGTTAAGCTGGCAACTGTATAGACACCCTGTCTGGCTTTATATATTGAAAAAGACTATTGTACATTGAATAATTGCAACTTCAATTATGCCCTGCACATAAGACACCAAGACATTTGAAGAAAAAGATATTTTCAATCCATTTTGTGTCTGGTTATTCTCAGTGATTTAAGAGAGAAGGTGCATCAAACATTAATTTACAGGGCCATTCCACAGTATTTTGGAAAATCAAATTTACACTTAACCAAAAAAGTTTGGAAGCATGGTTATTTTCAATAATTATAAAATAACCATGTGAGTTAAGGTAAATATTTTAACCAAATATTGATGCATCATGCACCTACCATTTGTTACTTTTTTATATACACTGAAGATTTTTTCACTTCATTACATAGTTTCTTTATTTACTGAAAAATAATTCCATTTCCATGTTTCCAAACTATTTTGATCGTGTGTGTGTGTGTTTTCAATATATAATAAGCCCTTCTCTCTCTCCCTCTCTCTATCTGTAAGATTTCTGAGAGGGGAAGATCCAAGACTGATGTTGTCTAGAAGAGGTGATACTCCGGCATTATAACTTCATTCTAGCTGGTTTGGACAATAATACTAGTAGGTATGGTGCATGCCAAAGTGACAGGGTGCATGTAAGCCATCCAAAATCATGTGACAAAGGATTATCTCTGAATCCCATTCGTTAAGCATGTGATTAATTTATAAATCCCTACCAATGTCTTCCAACAAGTATGACTCCAAAAGCTTCCAACAGTTCTATCAACTATGCAAAAATGTATTTCCTTGAAAATAAAGGATACCAAAAGACATACATATTTTCTGTATTGATTTGTTTACCAATTAAGTTTTTCACTTGTTTTCCTAGAGTGCAAATGCACTATGAAAACTACCATTTACAAACTACTTTTATGGATGGAAATAATCTCTCTATTCATTCAGGATGCAAAACTCATGGTTGTTCAAAATTCAGTCAGAGTGCTTAGAGTACCCATTCTGTGTACTATTTTGTAGGGACAGAAATCCCTTAGTGAGTACTTCTCCTAAAAAAGACAAAAAGAAGGCAATATGCATTTTATTTAAATTTATTATTATTTTTTTTTTTTTTGAAAATGTGCACCTTGCAAACTGTGACAGGCTTAGTAAGTATACAAATATTATTTAGGTGATAAATATATACCATTTTTGTTGAATAATAAGATTGTTTGAAAGTGTCCCTGATGAACATTATAACCCTTATACTGTGATTAGAAAGTCATGTACTAGTATATAACATTTTAATAGTTCATATTAATTAAATGTATTTTGGAACCTGTCATAAATAAAGCAGTTGCTTTTAATGAAAACTGACATCATTTCACATAGTAAAAAGTGAGCAAAAGAAAAAATGGCCTTTAATCCTTAGCAATGGAAACACTTCCCAGAAACAAAGGACATGATTCAAAACCTCAATGCATTTGCTATTTACCAGTACATATTTATATTTCAGAGAAAATCTTTTTTTCACATAAGTGTTCTACAACTAGACTGCATTGCTGACAAAAGTAACTATTTCTCAGAAATCACAATGAAGTTTATGTCAGAACACTCATTAATTTCCAAGGACTTTATGAAGAGATATAGCAACAAATTAATAAGCAATCATGGTATTTGCTCCATCCAAGCTGTTGACCTGTCTATGAACCACAAAGAACTTAGGAAAGCATGTCATGACTAGGATTATGGGCACTCTTATTTCTGTGAATATTCTTGGATTTTTACACATCTGTATTGCCACAGATGCTACCAACTGTAGACATTTTCCAATCATTGGAATAATTTTAACACTTCTGTTTCTATTTAGAGCTAAACTCATTTAAAGACATTGAAATGTTGTACAATTCAATATATAGCAGTTATTTTTTAAAGTTTTATTGCCTACATCTACCTTTTAACACTTTTCAAATTAAAACCTTTCTGAAGTTTGTACTCTAAGTGGCAATATCAATAGTTTCTATGTTAAAAAACCAAGTTTAAATATCATATGTAGGAATATGCCAGATGAGCACATGAGATTCATTGTATCACAATGTAAATGGTGCTTCATTGCATAATTTTTTTCTCTTTTAATATTCAGTTGGCCATTCTTAAATTTGGTATCCAAGTAATAATCCATAATATGTCTGGTATTTAGTTGTTTATTTATAAGCTAACTTTGCACTTTTGTATGGTGCTAAAGTACAGGTTGGGGATCTGTACTGTCTAGAGCAACAGAAATTACAAAAACAGTGCATGAGTGCAAACTGTCAAGAACATGAACTGCCATGAATACTCTAGCTTTTATTGAAGAACTTATGTCTCAACACTCAATGATGACTTGAGAGGCTGTGTGGACTTTAAAATAGATCTAAAGCACAATCACCACCTAAATTGTTACTATTAATTTTTTCAAATCATGTCCTGTAATTCTATCCTGGTAATCTAAGTAACATAACATATATAATATAACAACATCTTCCCATGTTCAGCTACTACTGTATCAATGTGTGACTCCAGCAATTTATATAACGGCTTTGTGCAAACAACCTCCAAAATAGTCAGTGTACAAGATACATATATACCTTGGTGTAAACTGTTGCCTTGATGGAATTGAATGTTACCTTATATACCTAGTTCACGCAATATTTTATTAAACCATATACTCAATTTATCATTTACCTGCCATAATGCCAATAATATTTAAGTCAACTTGATAATAAAGGATGAGAACATCCAATAAGATTTTGAATTTAATCAATTACATAAATAATAAAGTAAAAAGATTTCTCAAAACAATTCTGTTCATTACTATTACCAATGTGCTCTGAAAATTTTTCTATCAGCAGTCATTTAAGCTACTTAAACATTAGTAATGTATCTTCTGACAATTATTGCATGTTAACAATGTAAATATCTCAAACATTTCATTTAAATAACAATCATTCAGCTATTTTACTTGCAGAGGTGAAAACTGTTTTTTGGCGATTATGTATAATAAAGTAACTAACCAAAGTCAAGTCTTCAAAACAAAAAAAATAATAATAATAATAGTAATAATAATAATACAAGGCTGTCCATCACGTCCATTAAATCACCAAAGTTGGATGTTGCACACTGACAGCCTATCATAATTTGTCCATCTTTCTGAGGCCATCTTTTGATAAAAGTGGCCTGTTTACTTTGTGTGCAAGACATTTACACATAATATTTCCAAAATGTCTTTTAAAAGATTCCAGGTAAAAAACATTTTTGACACTGATAATACCTATACTTTATACTTATTTAAGTTTCGATATCTTTATTGACAAATTTAATTTTGCTTTATGTTAGTTAACATTTCAATAAAGTTACCAACTTAATACATTGACAGCCAGGTATATTCTGAGGACAAATGCCCAACACCATTGTAGCTAATGAAATTTATTCAAAATGTGTATGTGATCAGAAACAATGCTCATAAGACAGCACAATCAAACCTAAGTCTAGACAATGGGCTTATACATAGGAAGGGGTTTTCATGTAGAGTTTGGGAAAATAAGCACCAGTAACCACAGAAATGTCTTCTGCTTTATCAGTAGATTTTCAGACCTACTTAATGCATGAAGCATAACTGACATGGCATGTTACATCTCACATCCTTATCACAACACACCTACCGCCTAACACTAGTATTGAGGCATAGCTATATTGTATAAACCACTGAAAATTGCATACCAGGGCACACAAATAACAAATATTAAGGTTTCAATTTTCTGGTGGGTAAAATACCTGCTGCATAAACGCCTTTATGGTTTCAGGTGAGACCAAATTATGTTAATTACATTCCCATGCCCGTTTTACTCCACTAAGATTTGTGGCAACTGCTCATTTGGCAGGGCGCCCACTACGGCAAGATATTAACAGCACACGTCGCCTTCTTACCATCAATACACACAGAAAGACATTATATATATCAACAGACTAAAAAAAGTCCACTAGAAGAAAAGAATCCACACTTCACCAGTCTGTCAGTGTCAGAGTAGACAGAGACAGTCGCTAGTTTGGCTCTAAGGTTTCTCAACCTTAAACGTACCTATCTGCCCAGTAATCTAGTGTCCTACCTATCCGGAGAGCAATAAGGTTATATGGTAGGCTAAGAACCCTACTGATCTCCTGTCTGTTAGGGCTGAGATCTTGCTGAGTCTTCCACGTTTCTGTTCACTACAGAGCTAGTCACACGCTCTTCTCCATTTCGGTTCGTAAACGAGGCTGTGACACAAATCCTAACAAACAAAACACCCAGACCCACCTGATTAACTCATTTGATTTGCTTCATCGCCTTGGTTGCACTTTCTTCGAGATGCAGCTGTCAAATTCTCCTAAGATTTAGGCATCCTTCGCTGAGTCCCGCCTTTGCATAAAATTCCGCAATACATAAAAAGATGCCTGGGAACCGTACGAATTATTCCGTAACCCACAATGGAAATCCAAGGTTGAACTGGTGCGCAATGCAAGTGCGCATAGGGACATCCCTTTATAAGTGACGTAAAAGAAGAGTTAATGCCTGGGAAATCATTCCAAGATATCGATCACTGCTTAGCTAAGTGCAAAAGTCTTTTTCACAAACAAAGATACTGTTGGCTGCTTCTGACACATATTAAGAGCATATCAGTGTGGATTTTTTTTTGCACGACATACCTCGCCAAGTAAATGACGAATGCAGGCAGGCTGTCTCAACTAGCGCATGCCAACTGGACCTAATCTAATGTGTCAACTGCACCTGATCAAAGAAAACCATGTGCGACGAGTGAGTCGCGTGTGGCTTGTAAATGTTTCAATATAGTATTTCTGACGTTGCAGTGCAGTTTTAAAACAAAAATACATCGAAATGAATTAAAGAAATGGGAAAATGATAAAAGAAGAGTGTTGATATTCATTACAGTTCCATTGGTAATATTCTGTAAACAAAAAGCTAGCTAGGTTATATCCAAAAATGTCGTTTATTTATTTTTTTACAATACTAATAGTGTTTTTTTTTCACATTCTCCATGTTTTTACACATCTTTATTATTTTTTAAACCTGAAATGCACTGTAAATTTCCTCAACCGATGCAAAACCTTTTATATATAAATGAAAAAGCCTTAATTGCTGATAGCATTCCTCAAAACTAAAGAGCAAAAACCCGTTCGTTTTTTTTTTATTATTATTATTTTTTTTAATTTAATGGCTTGATTATCAGTGCCACCTGGCCTCGCCCTGTCCAACATCTCAAAAAATAAATACATAATTATATATTACTGATTTTTTTAAATTCAAAAACAGAAAAAGGTTAATATTTAAAAGAAGAGGATCCTTTTTCACCACATTACAGAAATTATCAGTCAGTCAACACAGAAGGAGAGGAAGTAACTTCCTTTGATGTCAAAAGAATTTCTATGAAAAAGGGGGAATTTTGGAAATATATTTCACAGTAAGGGAGTACATAAATTTTGCTTCTGTGTGCTTTTATGCTTTGAATTAATTTTGTTGTGGAAAAGAGAGGGGAAGGCTCAATGGACTCATGCCAAAACTCACTGTAGTATTTGGTATGATAAATATACTTTTGACAACTTTTATTTATAAAAAAATTGTGAAAGGTACCTTAATTCAAAATTGAACACCTTTCTTTGTGCCATTGCCAGCAGCTGAGATGATTGGGTTCTCTGAAATTCTAAAAGCTGGAAAGGGTTAATTCAATAAACAAATACACAGTACAATATTTCTAAATCAATTAAAGCTTTATTTTACCCACAGAAATTCAAATTACAAGTTATAGCAGTGAACAAAAGAATATGCTTTGATGACATATATGCATGTGTATCTTTTCTGTGTGTGTGGATAAGAAAAAGGAGGACACATGCTTTTGCTTCAGCTATGATCTTTTTTCTTTCCATGCCAAGAGAAGTATGGTTAATATAAAGTTTACCATTGGCTCACCTCTTATGTACCAACCTCCCTCAGCAAAATCGTGGATCCCAAAAATTATCATTCACAGATCAACAATTACTGTTAAATAATGGGAAAAAATGTTTTGAAGACTTTGTTATATTTTGTAACACTATTATAAGATCAGTCATGATAACTGAAATGATAGTTCTGTTATAACTATTCAAATTAAATATCATCAAAATTAGTTGCACTCATTTTTTCAGCTTATTTCATCTTCAGTCTAACCAAAGGTCTAGAATGAATCATAAATGTAATCAACAACAGATGTAAGCTGACATGTACATGTAGGCACAGACACATAATTGCTCACCTTGGGCCACTATATAAGAATTATGTAACTTAAATCGAGTTTGTATATAAAATACGAATACACACAGTGCAAGGATAAAATCATAATTTATCTTACTCAGCAGATAAATACTTAGAGACAATAGCATGAGATACAGTGGAGTATTTTAATTACCAAAAACACCACTGATTTACAGTCTTTGTTCTATCACAGTTATTTCTGCCACACTCTAGAGACCTTACTAGTGATGCATTTTGTTACAAGGCACATTAAACAGTCCAAGGGGCAGCAAAAGATGTTTACAAAAACACAGGTTTCTCATTAGCATATCTCAGCACCATTCTTATCTCTTCAATTAACTCCTTCACCAAGTCTGAAAAACCTGCATCTTCCTGACATTTGGAGAAATCCACATACATTTTCCCAGCAACAAATCTCCCCATCCAACCACATGGTTTAAATGATCTTTTCATCTTCATTGGCAACACAGACTTCTGCAGGTCAAAGGCATATTCAGCTTCTGAAAGCAACACAAAAATGTATTTGGCATGAAACTTGGATAAATAAAATACCCAAGCGTAAAACTACCATTAGATTTGCTTAATAACAGTAATTATGTTACTTTAATGTCTATGTAAATAGAGACAGCAAGAGAGGGTTCGGTGTGGAAAAAATGTCTCGCATCATCTCTTAAAGCACTATCCCAACATCACTGTTCTCAGTTGCAATATCAGAAATACTCATTAGAAATATATTGATCAGATATTTTTCTTTTTACCACCAAATGAATAGGTGGCTGTCATCAAGCAAAATTCTAGTGTTGTGCTGATAAATTTTGTTACTAGTACAACAAGATGTTTGTTTTTGATACCATTGATTTGAATGTGGGCCATAGACCTATAAAGAAATCAAATGGGGCCTTCGTAATTGATGTAACCAAATAACAAGACAAAGGCTTTGAAACACCATTCCTTGTCTTTTTAACATGGTGCTTCACATTTTATCAAAGGGCACAATTTTATAAATGTTTTGAAATTATTAGAACCTCACACGGCCACACATATAATTTACCTGATCTACAGCGAGCACTGGTGTGATACCTGTGGTCCATTGCCATCAGCACCATGGTTGACTGTTCAATGGCTTCTGTTGCTGCCCCAAAGGACATCTCATCTTCCGCCATCCAAACTCTCAGGCCTTCTTGATGCAGAGCTTCACAAACCAGCTTGGTAACAGGCCTACTCTCTGGGTGATAGCTTAGCATGACATCATATCTCCATCCACTGGGCCTTGGGCTTCCTTCATAAATAGAACAATAAGTGTTTCTTACCATGTGGCTGAAAAGGCATGGTGTTCTTATTTTACCTTGATCACCAAGTGTGTTAAACTTCAATCATATGGAATTTTCAATCACAGGTTGCTTATGCTTTAAATTTCAAAAGCATCTTTTATTGTATGATATTGTACCTCTTGGTCTGAAGTGCTCCTCAAGTACTTTGTTGATTTTTTCTTGGGTCTTGTGCAGTTCAAATGAAGCTCCTTGTGCATAGTGCCTCAGTTCCTTGCAGGTGTCATGTTCAACTTGCTCCAACATTGCCACCAGATTTTCATCATCTCTCATCACTTGCTTATTATCTCTCTGAAATGCTAAAAGCCAGGTGAGCTTGGATGACAGCAGTTTTTCCTCTGAACCTCCAGAACGCAAGAGAGAGGTAATAATGGGAACTATCCCATCATAGACCAAGATGACCTTGTTGGCATCATTCATGGCCACTTGGCACAGACCCCTCAGTAGTTCTATGGAGGAGAATCCACCAGCTCTAAGATCTGTGTGATACAAACAGTCCTCAAGAGTATCCAAAATAAAACGGATCACGCCAGCTTTGGAATCTGCTCTCACTAAATGTGAATTGTCTTCATCAACAAGAAAAGCAATGGCTAAAGTGGCAACAGCTTTGATCTTATTACATTTGATGTCTGCTTTACAATAATGCAGTAGGTCGTTGATGATCCTTAGATCTGACATCTGTTCTTGGTTGCTTTCAAACTGGACACAATTGAAGATAATGTTGCAAATGGATAATATAACATCCTTTATGTTCTGTAAAGAAAAATGCAGATAACTTCAGTACATTGTACATTCAGAATTTCTGTTTCAATGCCCATTTGTAGGGCCATATGATTATAGAAATATAATGTCTTAATGGATGTGATAAAATAAATTGCATCTAATATATCTGTTTAGTGCACCTTACTTAAAATACATGTATTTACATTTGAACTTATACAGTATGCCCTAAAATACCTTATTCTAAGGAAGGACTCAAAACCATTTAAGCAAATACCTCATCAATATTCAGCTTGTCCTTGAAGTCTGAATTTTTCAAAATATCTTGCAAGGTGCTAAACATGCCTGCATCTCTCAGTTTATTAGAGAAAAGTTCAGAGACATCAGTGTAGTTCCAGGCATTATGCAGAAGTAGTTTCACGAACTCCCACTCTCTGTGGGATTCGTTGGTATTCTGCGCTCTTTCACTGGACTCCACAAACTTTTCACAAATTACTTCTGGCACACTGATAGCGGCTAATAGCTTCCCTACAACCTCCTGAACTTCCGCTGAGGAGGTTTTGTACAGGATGAGGAAAAACTCGAGGTCCTTTCTGCTTAGACTGGTAACTCTCAATTTCTCCATGTCATTTTCCACCTGCTTGGGATCATGGTAGTGGATGAATGCAAGTGCATTCCAGGATCGGCGCTTCATTTCGGCCTCTGAATCACGGCAAGTAACGTAGGGTATAAGAACAGGAACAACTCTAGCCTCTTCAAAGAATGGCATATTGCACTGGTACTGAGCTACACCATGCAATGCAGACAAACAGTGTTCAACAATGGTAGACTCCTGTAAGGTAAAAAAGGTTACAAATTACGAAATCCAATATATATATATATAGCAATTTTGTAAATGTCTATTCTTTGTGAACATCTGATTGTCTAAAATTGTCTCCTAGATGTATATTTTCTTGTCAATAACTTACTGATTGAGATCTTAAGCCTGTTTCACAAAAAGTTTCAAGTTTTTTTAGCTTCGCATTTACTGTTTAAGTAGCAAAGCCTGCTAAATAAAATGACATGACTATGACTAGAGTTTCAAATCCAGCAAATCTATTATTTAATTATTTAAGTAAGCTTTCTTTGATGATTACAATACTACATAAATTTCTCCTGTAGCTAGCAGCATCCTTTTCATCTTTTTTTAATTAATTACATGTATGTCATTTAAATATACTCCCATATATAATGCACTCAATACAAAACATTACAGAATTTGATTTTCTTGCTTGGAATTTGTAACAATATAAATGCAATTATCAAAATAATCCAATCTCTGCTTTGGCTAATAGAACACATTCAAGACAGGCCATATTAGACCTATTTGGTTCAACCTTTTCAAATCCTAAATATTTTATAATGTAGCTATCAAAGAAACACCAATGGTATACATCAAGGATGCACTTACCCGACTGGAAAGTTCCTTGGGATCAAACTTGTCATAACTAAGTACTTTCATCAGACTCTTAACAGCCCCGTTTTTGCAAGCCTCATGAGAAAAGGCCTCAGAAACCAAGGCTAGGTTGTTGAGGTTAGCTATGGTAGGTTTAAACCTGCTGAATTCAGAATCATTCCTCAGGTTTTCTACATTCAACACTAGTCTCTGTAACTGTTCAGTATGTGTTACAGCACCCCCTGTGGCTGCCAGATAATCTCCTAACACCTTCTCCTCTTCTGAGTTTGCACTATTCCACATATTGTTCACAAAATCAAGTTCTTCTTCCCCAAGGCCTATTGCAGGGAAGCTTCCTACTATTTCCCTCACATTCAAGTGGCCAGCATGTTTACAACCATAAACATGTGCAAAAGTCAAAAAGGAAGAATAGCGTAGTGGGGAATCAACAACCTTCAACTTTGCATAGAATCCTAAGTGAGGGAAAAGGCCTGGTACCAGAATATGGGTTTTATCTGGACTCCTGGCCGAATGATGAATAATGCTGAGGCAGACCTGGAGGAGGCGCAGCACATTCTGAAAACATGGCATTTAATAGTAAATGTTGGTAAAACAAACTAATAAAAAACAATGTTATAAAATATAAATCCAACTGTGTGTGTGTGTGTGTGTGTGTGTGTGTGTGTGTATTAATGGGGAGTTGGGAGTGGGGAGTTGTCTTTTCACTGAAATATTTTCATTACATGTGCATGTTCAAGTATGACTAATTGTATATATATATATGGAAAAGATAATCTTAAATACACACAAGCCAAAGCATTCCTTTTAACATCAAAGCCTTAAAATTTATTCTCATAGTTTTACTAGGAAATGCTGNACGGCGACGGCGACGACGGCGACGACAGACGCAGATGATGGCTATATGTACAGACACATCTGTGTCTGTACATAATAAAAACACCCAGCATTAGAGTCTAAAACTTAAAGATAACTAATTTGAAAAAAAAGAACTTTTAAGAAAAGCAAATATGTACTTCTTCCCCTCTTCTTAATTTGTAAGTTTCATTTCCTATCACAGTCTTGACAGTCTCAATGACTTGCAGCCTGCACACTTTCTCAGCAAACAGGATGCTTTTATCTGTGAACAGATGTAGGATGGCTAAGGTGCGGTGGAGCTGATCCCACATGTCTCCATGAAAGTCAACTTCTCCTAAAAGTGAAAATGAAAGGAACATCCACCAATGTATCACAAAGATGTTTTAATGATATTTTCTGAAAAGTGAACCCTTAAAATTAATAAAACAAGGTGACAAAGCAAAATGAATGATTCAATCATTGCAATTACAAGAAATGTTCTCCCCTCCCCCCTTTTCCTCACTGATAACATGTATAACTGCAGGTGATATGCATTGTCACTACTGTGATTATATGAAAAGTTTATCAAAATATAAGAAATATACGAACCCCAAAAATTATTTATGTAACATTTAATATGAAATATGTTCACCAAACCAAACTCACAAACTTTATCTTTAAGTCAACTCCGTTATGAAGTTTTTGCTTGAAGGAATGCAGGGAGCATTTGATCTTTGTACAGCAAAACATTAATTTTCCTGAAAATTTCAGCAATTTTCCCCTTTCATCAAGGTATATGACCTATTTAAAACTGTTAAGAAAATTACAATCTATAAAACAGCTTACGAGTTCTAAACTTTCTAATTTTTACTTTCCAAACTGATATTCACCATCAATGAAAAGAGCATCTCATACACAAGACATTTCAAACTATAAAAGAGTTTGTAGTTCATAATTCATGGTGTTAAATTCAGGAAAACTTATTTTTGCTAACACTTATTGCCTGCCTGAAGAACTAGCAAGGCAACGAGGATGTACATGTACCTGATAAGTGGGTGGCCAGATTTTCAACCAAAATACCAGGAATGTTTGTCTTGGCCAAAAAGTTTGCAAGTGACTTCCCTTCCTTTTTATAAGCAAGATAAGTGGCTAGAAATAAATCCACATCCTCCAATGTGAACTCATATTCAACCTTCTCACGTTTTGCAGTGATATTTGCCAGAATCAGAATTGACATCCCTTTGATATTTTGGTTTTGTGACGAAAGATAGAACTTGGTAGCTTCCTCGATCTTCAGTGAGCGAAACCATTTTGCCCAACTATTAAGGCTTGAAATGCTATGCAAAGTGCTGACAGACCATGTTAATACCTCTTTTGCTTTCTGAAAGAAAACATTTCATTTGTGTTTGTAAACGTACATGCTGAGTAAGCTTTCAATAAACAAATGCAGTCACAAGTGAGTGAAATGAATAACTTTTTACATGAATACATGTAGTTATCAGGATGCTTTAACAAGCTACCCAGTGGTTGCATCAGTGATAAAATGAAAGACATTTTCAAGAACATTTTTATGAGAATTATTTTTCCACTTTTCAATTTAAATGAAATAAAGGTATCAAATAAATTAACTGATTATCTTATTCTCATTGTCTGATCAATAGAGGGCAAGTAAAAATTGAAATAGTTTTTTAAAAAATATACCCTTGACATGGACACTGAATACACATACTGAATACTAGTTGTAGTTGAAGGTGTTCAATCTAAACTGGCATTTACAACTTCACAATGTTTAGCTAGATGTGAAGTTCATTAAATCCCAGTGGAAAACCTTAAACATCTTTCTTAAATTTTACTGACATCTTCAAAGACAGCTTATACAAAAAAATACACACTCTCCATTGTGGGATTACTTACATCATTTCTCATGTAGGCTTCTTTGATCTGTTGGTTTGTGATAATGTCTAGTAGCGCCTCAACTATACCCACTTCACACAATGCCACACAAAAACTCTCACTGTATTTGCTGATGGCTGAAATCTTACTGAACCATTCCTTCACAGCCTCCCACATCTGACCATCTCGGTTAAAGGCCAGCCAGCGGTTCTTGTCTTTCAACCTAAAGAGATTTTGACAACTATGTAATAAATCAGTAAAGCAAATCTTCTTTAAAAACACTGATATAAATAAGGCATAAAAAGACATTTTGACATGATTAATAAGGCATAAGATTTTTAGCATAATGAGTGTTGCCCAGGTATTGCGGTTTAATTTTTAATCTTGATATTATTGGTTGAGTAACTTAAAAAATATTATGAAACTATAATAAAATCCTCACCAGGATTTGATGTTTTCCGTGAAGACTTTTGGCATTCCAATCTCTTGCAAATGTTCTCCTTCTTTCTCTGCCATTTTCTCTGGTGCCAAAACCCCAAGTAATCCACCTAGCAAGCTAGTAAGGCCTTCACTCAGCTCTGACAGGTAACCAGAGGCAGCATGAGACTGTGCCTCTTCTTCATTTGTATTAGCAGCTAGAGTAAACAACATGATATGTTAAAAACATACATCCAGATGTCATTATTTTTTCATGTACCTGAATATTTTGTAGACCTATCTTTATTCTGAATGCTCAGCACAAGAAGTTTACAGTCAAGAAATGTACAGCAAGGAAGGGGTGGCATTAAATAATTCTGTTCATTGTCTGTAAATACAATATGAGAATGTGTATTTCTGTCAATTGTTTTCTATGAGGAGCAGTGTGTTAAACATGTATGGTACTTACACTGGTTGTCTGCAGAAGGGGGTGGAGGAGGTGGTTGTGAGGGTCTGCACGAAGCTGAAGGAGTACGGTTGGCATCTGGCTTCATTTCCTTTTCAAGTTCCTCATTTTCTTCTGTGTGCACATTTTCTGTCATATGTGATGTCCTTTGCCTGCGAGCAGTTAAGCTGTCTTTCAGCATCATGAAAAACATGCTTTTCCCAGCTTTATTCTTGGTTTCGTGGTGCTTACATTTCATAAACCCTTCAAATATCTGCTGACAGCTGCCCTTCATTTCTACTGAGAGAGAACTGTAGCATGTTGGAAACAGTTCCATCACCCATGCAAATGTGTCACCAATGTGCTAGAAAGAAGAAGTTGAGTTTTCAGTTTAAAGTATATATGGTGGCTATGTATAGTTTTCATCTTGGCTTATGAATGTGTCTTTAAATGCTCAATGACCACAGCAGTGGTGTCCAGTTTTGCAAAGATTTATACTGCAATGTTTATGAACATTTATAAGTGTCTTAATATAGCACTTTAATTTATAGTTGATATTATTTGAAGCTACAGCTGGTTGGAAAGTTTCCTTACACACACACACACACACACACACACACACACACACACACACACACACACACACACACACACA